GTTCCGATTGGAGAGTTTGCTCACACCGCCACCGCCCACCACCCATCATGCCCATCACGGTGATCCCTGCACACCATTGCAATTGCAATCATTCATCGACCCCTCTCTCTCCCCCCCCCTCTCTCCCCCCTCTGTCCATCTCCATCATCCCCCATCACTCCCCAATACTCTGATCCCTCTCCTCCCTCCCCCTGATCCCCATCCCCATCCCCACCCCATCCCCATCCCCATCCCCATCCAACCACCCCACCTAACCACCAACCCCACTCTGATCTCCCCTCGTCCCTCCCTTCCCCCCCTCCTCGCTGTCCATTGTGTGTCTCTCGGTGGCCCCAAAACAGTTCGTCCGTCAGTCGTCGGCCGAGTTACTCCGCAGTCTCAGGAACAAGGCCAACAACTCGCCGGCACTTTGGCGGCCACAAGCCCAGAGCACAACGCCCAACTCCCCCAACTTCAGCCATGCTCTCGACACCATCCCGTTTGGTGGTGGTACTCGCCCTCTTTGTTCTGCTGGGGGTGGCCAACTCTGTACTGGCAGACGTCTTGCTCCGCTCGAGGACTCTGCCGCATCCGCGCGAGGTGGTGGCCGAAGACCGACCTGCAGCCCGACAGTTTGGGAATGCGCCGATGGCTCATGCTTCGGTGACTGCCGCGCGTGACGCTGCTGCTGCAAAGGTCTCCGCTCACTCTGCGGCTGTGACAGCTAGGGCCGCCTCGCCCGAGGCCGCCGCCTGGCCGGTCCTGGTCGTCATGGACGGTCCGATCCCCAGCCAGCTGCGCGATGAAGTGCTTCACGGGCCATGCGCCGGGCACTACCGCTACGTTCCACACCACTCGGTGCTGGTCTCTGCCTCTGCGGCTTGTGCTGATGCGCTTGATGCTCATCCGCACGTTGCAGGTGCCTACGAGTACGAGGCCTCGGACAAGTTTGATGCTGGCGAGCTCGCGGCGCAGGCTCGCTCAGCACGTGCTGCTGGCGAGGCGCGGCCGCGGCCGCTGCTTGTCTCACTCCTCGACGGCCCGCACACGGCAGACGACGTCGCCGCTGACCTTTCAACCTCGCTGGGCCTGGGGGCTTCGGCAGTCTCGTCACGGCGGGTAGCTATCCGCGGCACGCCGGCAGAGCTCGCCGACGCCGCTGCCTCTGCCGCGCTCCACCCGGCAGTCCACTGGATTCAGTGGCAGCCAAAGGTGGCGGTCCGCAACCGCTTTTCGCGTTCTGTCATGCAGGCTGGATCGTCGGCGGCAGAGTCGACCCACAACGCCGACATGGCGCCGACCCCGTTCTGGGATGCTGGCATCCGCGGCGAGGGCCAGGTTGTGTCGTGCGGCGACACCGGGCTCGACGCCGACATGTGCTTCTTCCGCGACGAAAACGTCTCCATCCCATTCAACGTCGTCTCGCCGCACCACCGCAAGCTCGTCTCGTACATCACGCTCGAGAACGATCTCGACGCCCGGTCCGGCCACGGCACCCACGTCGTCGGCTCGCTCACCGGATGGGCCGACCGCGGCGGCATCCCCGGCAAGTATGATGGCATTGCCCAACGCGCCCGTCTCGTCTTCACCGATCTCGGTGACCAGTACGGCGACCTCTATCCACCGTCGGACCTCGCTGCCAGCTACTTTCCGCGCCCATACGAGTACGGCGCACGCGTTCACTCAGACTCGTGGGGCGGCGACTCGACCCGCTACGACTCGCTCTGCGAAGACGTCGACCGCTTCCAGTTCAACAACCCGGACTTTCTCTATGTCATTGCTGCTGGCAACACAGGAACTGCGGGCTGGGACACAGTCGCCACTCCGGGCAACGCTAAGAACGGGCTCTCGGTCGGCTCGCAGTACTCGACGTACTCGTCGTTTGAGCACAAGTGCGGCATTGTCGACGACCAGGTTGCCATGACCTGCTCTGCCGACGGCGTCGATCACGTCACCAATCATCCCGACTACTTTACCTCTAACAACCTCGCCTGCTACTCTTCGCTGGGCCCGTCTGGCCCGGACCACAGGCTCAAGCCCGACATTGTCGCCCCAGGCCACTACGTTGTTTCGGCCCGCTCTGATGGCGACAACAACTCGCCCACCGACCAGTGCTACGAGCTAGGCAACTCGTGGGCCTTTATCGAGTCCGGCACGTCGATGGCCGCCCCGGGCGTCGCCGGCTCGGCCATCCTTCTCCGCCAGTATCTGACCGAGGGTCGCTGGCCCGACGGCAAGCCAAACAACGCGCGCGGCATCGCCCCGTCCGCCGCCCTCCTCAAGGCCTTGCTTCTCGCCGGCGCTACTCCGCTCGACGGTGGTGTCTTTTGGCGCTGCGAAGACAGCAAAATCTCCATGCCTGGCGACGTCAACTATTACGCCGGCTTTGGCGGTCTCACCCTCAACGCTACCGTCCCGCTCACCCTCAACTCGCCGCTCAAGGTCCTTTTTGACCACCCGGACCACGCCGCAGAGACAAACTCGCTCCGCACCCGCTGCTTCCGCGTCCTCGGCCTGCCGGACACACCAGCACCGGGAGCCTCGCTGAAGATTGTCATTGCCTGGCAGGACTACCCGGCTTCACCGGCCTCCGCCGCCTCGCTTGTCAACGACATCGATCTCGAGGTCGTCGCCCCATCAGGTGCCCACTACAAGGGCAACGCGCAGCTGGCTGACTCGCGCAACGCGTTCGACAACCGCAATAACGTCGAGTTTGTCTTTCCGCCGCCCGCAAACGGCGTCTACCAGGTCCGCATTGCTGGCATCAACATCCCCCACGGCCCGCAGACCTACTCGCTCGTCATCCGCCTCGCCGGCGGTGGCGCCCTGGCCGACACCGAGTGCGAGGATCATACCTGGCCGCCGCCGCCGCCCGAGGCCACAGACGTTCCCGTCTCGCCGCCGGCCTCACGCTTTGCTGTCATCACTATCGCCGTCCTCGCCGTCCTCTTCATGGTTGTCGCCGCTGCCATTGCCATCTTCCGCTCTTACCGCAACCGCTCGCTCGCCCGACCTTTTCAATTTGTTGCCCTCTCGTCCGACGAAGACACCGATGTCGACGCTCGCATTGCCTGCAGCTCCGACCTCCTTTCCGATCTCGAGTCGACTGCCTCGTCAGACTCGATCATCCCGGCCATCGATTAACACTGCCCCTTTCGCCGCGCTTGCAGCCGCACCCGTCCGCGCCGATCAACCTCGGCCAGAGCGCGGACTCCGAGTTCTGACTTGGCGTTGAGCACTAGCTGCGCGTCGGGAGCGCACGGACAGTCGTAACCAAAAGGCTCCACTCGTGTTCGTCCCGGAACGCCGCCACCTCGCGCTGCCTTCGAGCAACGGCCTATGTGTCCTGCGCCTTTTGCACGCTCGACCCCGGGGTGACGAAGCCATCCGTCACGCTGTGACTGATGCGAAGCACCTGGCTGCCGCGTACGCGGCGTTTCTCCACTTGCTCGCGGCCAGCAACCGGCTCGTTCATGCCTTTGCCTGAGATTGCTTCGCTCTACTGCGTCCGGCCTTCAGTGCTGCACAGCGTCGCCAGCCACGCGGCAGTCGCCTCGGCGCCACCAACCCGCCGTTTTCCCCATCCGCCGTCTGCCCGCGGTGCCTGCGCATGGAGCGCGCACACTCGCCATCCGCCGCGGCTGGTGCCGACCCCACGCCCACGGCATCCGCGCACCCCGCAATAATCAACCTCAGCCGTACAACTCTTGCGGCGCTCCTCTTGCACCATCTCCCCGTGCACCACATACCGCGGTACGAGCGGATCGCGGGCGTCGCAGACCAAGCTTGCCGCGCAAGCCGAGCCCCATACTTGCTTGTTGACGCCAACCGCGGCGCTCACCTCTTCTGCAACGCTGTATTCGACCGCGGTGCTTCCGTACACGCCCGCAAGATCTCTCCGCCGGTCAGAAGGCAACAAGACGCAGAAGTCGTCTGCAGGCGACACATAGTACAGTTGACACACAGTGTCCAGGTGGCGGACCCGCGCGCTCATCAGCATGACTGTCCGCCTGCCCTCGACAGATTGCGCCAGAGCCACAGTACCGTACCGCGGATCAGCGTTCCACTCGACAATTCGCAGCGGCTCATGGTCGGCAAGCACTGCGAGGAGGTCTTCAACATCGGCTGGTTCTGTATACGCGTCCACCATGTAGCTTGGAAAGCGTCCGATGTCGTCAAAGGAAAGACCACGCGCGACGGCCTCATCGACGCAGAGCAAAACGTCCCGCCTCCGCTGCCCGTACGCGGTGAACGGCGACTCCCATCGCCAGCGGACAAGCGTGGCATCAAGGAAACGGTCGGGCTCGTCGCCTCCACTACGTGGCGGAGGGATGCTCAGCGAGGTCTGGCGTCCAAGCGCCTCGAACATCGTCGACACCACCGCCGCAAGCTCGGCTCCGGATCCACAAGCCATGACTGGCGAGAAGACCCACTGTGCAGCGCCAGGAAGCGAGTGAAGCTTGCCGGCAATCTCGATGCTCAATGTGGTCTCCACGATCATGCCCAGTGCAGGCGAGGCGGCAGCAGTCAAGGCGCGGGCGCGGATGCCATCCGGCGACAGGACCGAGATGGACACACCCGAGACATTGGCAGCCAGCCTCAGCCGCGCAGCCGCAATCCGCCACAGGCACCGCCGTTGAGTCCGAGCCGCCACAATTTGTGCTTCTTTCGCTGCTGCCTTCTTGGCGGCCATTGCCTCGGCGCGGGCCTTGTCGGCCTCGGCAGATCCGGCCGACGCCCGTGCAGCGAGGACTGACTTTGCACGGCTCGCGGCGTGGGCCGAACCAGCTGCAGCAGCGGCGCCTGCGGCAGCCAGAATAAGCCGGACGTGGGCGTGTGAGCGGCGAGCCCGGGCGTGGGTGTCAGCGACAGCAGCAGCGTCAGCAGTGAGCGCGCGGGCATCAGCGTGGGCGGCGGCGGTGACAGCGTCAGCAGCAGCGTCAGCCGCAGCCCGTGCCACAGCCGTCAGTGCAGGCGCAGCAGCTGCCGCCGAGGCTGCAGCAGGAACGGGAGCACGTTGGCTGGCTGAGGGGGGAGGGAGGAGGGCGAGCAAGTCCATTGGGCATTTACCGCAGAGCGCGGACGGCGCGAGGAGTGCGAGGCGGGAGGGCCTGAGGACGCTCGCCGCGGGCGACGGCGGCGGCAGCCTTGTGCCGAGCCTTTCGCCGAGCCTTGGCCTCGAACTTGGACGCCGTTGAGTGGATTCGCTCCTGGATGTGCCGCCGGACAGCGCGCGAGCGGCCGGGCGTGCACATCGGGGTAAACGGCGTGCCAAGTGGATGCTGTGTGAGCGAGCGCGAGCCACAAGCCGCAGGCGCGGGCGAGCTTGGCGGCGTGTTCTCGGATGCCGCCAGCGAGACGAGCGGGATCTTGTTGGTGGCCAGCCCAACGCGATGCGATGCCAGGACGGGGTGGTCGGTGAGGACGTGGACAAGATCCGGCCGGTCGCTGGGCTGCCACGCCATCATGTCCTTGGCCAGCACCAGCATCTCTCTGAGAATTGGGTCGTCGGCGGCCTCGACGGCGTCGATGAGGTCAATATACGGATTGATGGTTGGGTCCGAGGCGAGCTCGTGGAGCTTTGCGCGGTCTTGTTCGAGTGCCACGTACGTTGGCGACGTCTCGGCATCCTCGGCAGTCGGCCATTCGCCAGCCTGCGGAAGCACGACGCCATGCAGCGCGTACTGGATAAAGGCGACAGCAATGACCGCTGACGCATCGCTCGGATCATCGCAAACAAACTGCGAGCTCTCAGACGCCTCAATCACTAGCTCGACAAGAGTATGGACCGGGGATTCTTCGTCGCGGGTGAGAACACAAGCGAGCACCTCAGTGAGGTGCTGGATAGCTGCAGTTGCCGCGCTGGCTGCCCGATAGCACGCACCTTCGATGCCGGTCAACACCATCTCGAGAAACATGACGCCAAGCGCCCAGACGTCGGCGGCGTAGTCGCGCTCTAGTGCGCCGAGGAACAGCACCTCGGGCGCCAGGTACGCGACCGTCCCACCAGCATGAGACCCGTCTTCCAGCCTCACCGCCAGGCCGTAGTCGATGATCGACGTCCGTGGCACATCGCCGGCCACCTCCAGGCCCGGTGCAGTCTTGTCACTGGCAACGAGGACCACGTTCTCCGGCTTGAGATCGCAGTGCTGATAGGCGACAATGTCGTGGAGAACTCGGACCGAGTTGACGAGCTGAACCGCCATGCCGGCCAGATGCGTCGGCGGCAGCGGTTTGCCATTTGCGGCAGCATCCTCTAGCACTTTGTCGAGCGTCCCGCCGCTGCCAAGCGGGAGAAAAACAAAGGTGTACGGCCCCCGGAAGCGTGCCCGCTTCCAGGCTGTCACCACTGATGGGTACTTTGCGTTGGGATCGACGGCGTCGACCAGCTGCTTGCGCCACTCGGTTGGGATCGAGGCGACGGTACACATGTCGATGACGCCCATGAGCCCCGAGCCTGGGCCCAGCGCCATCAGCTCCATGCCAAGTAGCGCTTCGGCCTCGACGTCCCTTCGGGCCTCGGCCCCACCCGGCCGCTGAATCTTGAGCGCCGCATGCGGACCATCGCCATCCTCGGGCGCCACCTCCCACACTACTCCAAACGCGCCCTCGCCCAGCGCCCGCTCCAGTCGCCATGCCGCAGCCACATCCTCCTTCTTCCGCCGCTCCATCGCGATGGGACGGGGAGTGCGGCGAGGTGGTTGCCTCGACTCGGATGCAGAAGGAGTTCCGTCCAGAGTGATCCAGGTGCAGTCGCCGTACCGTGCAGTTGATACGCTACTACAGCTATGTCTCGTATGCCTGTAGTTGAGTCTGACAAGAGTGTCCTCCCCATACCTGCTTCCGGCAGCGGCAAGGCGGCGCGCCAAACCTCTGCCTCTACCCCCCCTCCTCCTCCTCCTCCTCCTCCCGTCACCACCACCACCATCATCACACCCGATGCCACTTAAAAAAAACTCCCCTAGCTGACATCCTGGGCCGGACAACTAGCAAGTACATTCTTCAATTGCTCCGATCCGTACGATTGTGTCATACGGGCGCCATCGCCATCCCCCCTTCCAGCCCCCTCCCTGCTGCACCCCTTTTCTTTCCCGCCGACCCGATCGCCTAAAAATTCAAACTTTTCGTCATTGCCTCCGAAATGGCGGGCGAATGGTGAAGGGGGTGTCCACCCCCGGGCACCCCACCCCACCCACCGCCACCCCCCCCCTCCCCCCACCCCACCCCCTGTGACATAGCCACAGCCTAGACTTCTGTCACTTCCACACCGTCTCCCCTCCCTTCTCTTTCCCCCTCACTGTCTCTCATACTTTGTCGACTACAGACGTAGAATGCCGCGGAAGAAGGACCTGTTCATGGCCGAGGACGCGCTGGACTCGATCGCCACTCCGAGCCCGACCAAGGCGAGGAGGCCGCCACCAAGCTCGCGGCCGCACAACCCTCTGTTTGACACTCCGTTGCCAGGCGTTCATCCGGGAGCCGGCCTTGCGTCGCAGGAGAACAGCCCTCGATCGCCCCTCGGCAAGCTCGGCCGTAGGCAGCACAGGTCGGGAAGTCCGGGCCGCAGGTCGACTTCGAGTGGCGGCTTCAAGACCATGATGGCCTCGCTGTTTCGGAGAGCCACTACGACGCTCTCGACTCTGACAGAGCCGTCGAGCGGAGGTGGTGGGCGCGGGCGCGGGCGTGGCATTGCATCGCCTGGCCGCCGCGCTCGGTCCGCCGCTCACTCGCCTGAGGATTACGTCGCCCGCATCCAGTCGACCTCGTCACCAGGCATTCTCGAGGAGCTTGTCCAAGTTCTCGACTCGAGCCCACCGGCATGGACGGAGACGTTTGTGCAGATCGGCGGGATGGATGCCATCCTGGACGCCCTTCATGCCGACCACGTGCATCACCGGCGGCAGGATGGTCTGACGAGGACCAAGCGCAGCTCGGCACTCGCAGCCGTCGCCCGCTCGCAGCAAGGACCAGCCTACCGCGCGGCGGCTATCCAGGCACTTCTCAAGCTGCTCAACGCACCGTGCGCCATGCACCACGCGCTCGAGACGCCCGATTTTGTTGTCCGCATCCTGGAGTGCGTCCACGACGATCACGTCCTCATCCGTACCGACATCTACAAGCTGCTCTCGGCACTGACCTTGCACTCGCCGACAGGCTACGCTGTCGTCATCGGGGCGTATACCGAGCTTGCGCGCAAGACCCGCAAGGCCGAGAGCCGGCGGTTTATCGACCTGGTCAAGGAGCTGACGCTCGACCCCAACGAGCGCTCGACGCAATCGACCGATCAGCTCACCCTCCTCTACGCCGCCATGTGGCTCATCAACTGTATTATTTCGAGGCCGGACTCAATTGCGCTTCGCGCCCGCCGTCGCGCCGAGCTTGTCGAGCTCGGTCTCCGGAACGCTGTCGACAACCTCCATGTCATTGTCCTCTCGCCACTGCCCGGCATCGACATGGAGACTCACAACATGCTTCGTGCCCAGCTTGACGTCTTCATCAAGGGCATGAACGATGACGACGCCAAATGTGCGCTCTCGTCGCTGCAGCTTTCTGATCCCAAGGACGTCGTTTCTCAGACCGTCTCGCTTCTTCCCTCGATCCGCTCCAAGAAGCTCCTTTTGGAGCTCCTCCAGCGCTTCCTCTACCTCATGCTCTCGGCTGACGCCAGTGTTGAGAGTGCAGACAGCATTGACGCTGCCATTTCCGACTGCATCGCGGTTGTTGATGGTCTGAGCCCCAACCCCAACCTGGCGTCACTGGACGTCCTACTCGCCAAGCACCTCGGGACGAGCGACGAAGCCGAGGACGAGGCCGAGATTGGCGACGCTGCGCCTCAGCTCAGCACCCCGTCGCGGGAGGCTGGTGAGTCGGCCGGTACAGGAATTCCAGTTGTGCCGCCGGCTGCCGCCCCCCCGCCGCCACCGCCGATGCCTGGCATGGCAGCACCGCCGCCGCCGCCTCTGCCGGGGACTCCAATCGGGGCGCCGCCGCCGCCGCCACCGATGCCTGGCAGCCTGGGCATGTTCGACTCGCCGGCACACATGCCCTCGCCTATCCGCCCGAATCGCAAGCTCAAGCGGTTCTTCTGGACCAAAATCAAGCCAAACGCGCTCGGGCCGACGGTCTTTGCCAAGCTGAGCGAAGTGAGCCCGCCCAAGGTTGACACCTCCAAACTCGATGCCCTGTTTGAGCTCAAGGACTCGGTGGCCAAGACGTGTACCAAGGCTGAGCCAACCAACGAGGACGAGCCAGCCGAGGCCGAGCCTGTCGAGACCGAGATCGACGTCGCTGTCCGCGACTTGATGGCACTCATGGGCCCGCGATGCGTGCAGCGGATGGAGATCATGCTCTCTGTCTACGCCTCGTCGGGTCTTGCGCCAGCCGACATTGTGCGCGCGCTTGTTGAGCTCGATGACAGCGTGCTTGGTGCTGACCGGGTTGCCCGGCTGGCCAAGCACCTGCCGGATGCCGAGACCTGGACTCAGGTGGCCTCCGTGCTCGATGCACTCGAGCCTGCGGCAGTCACCGCCCTTGCGATGTGCGATGCTGTCTCACCAGCGGTTGCGCTCATTGCTGGCTTGCAGTCGATTCCGCGGCTCCATGCCCGTCTGCGAGCCTTTGAGATGCAGCTCTCGTTTGATGAGGTCATGGGCGAGATGGAGCACCAGGTCGGGCTCGCGCTCTCGGCATGCTCACAGGTTGTGGCATCTGATGCGCTCGCCAAGGTTCTGCGCTGCGTCCTCGACGTTGGCAACTACCTCAATGCTGGCGGGAAGCTGCAGGCGGGAGGCTTCAAGCTCGACGCGCTGCTCAAGCTCGCCGACACCAAGACAACCGACGGGTCGACCACGCTCCTCCACGTAGTCATCGAGTCGATCCAGGAGTCGGCACCTGAGCTTCTAGGCCAGCTCCGGACTCAGCTATTCGACGTTGGCGCGGCGTCCGAGCTCAACCTCGGGCAGATTGCGGGTAAGCTGGCGTGTCTCCGCGAGTCAGCGCACACCCTTGGCGCCGAGCTCGAGGCGTTGCGAGCGCTGGCAGCTGGCGGTGGACTGGCGGACGCCGACGGGTTTGTGGCGCGCCTAGAGCCGTTCCACCACGTGTCTGCCGAGCGAATGACGGCACTTGAGTCCACGCTGGCCACTGCCCGCGATGCCGAGTCCCACATGTTGCTGTACTTTGGCGAGGGCGCGCGGACCGGCTCTGGTGACAGCTTGGGCACGTCGGCGTCTGCCGGGGCCAACTTTTTGGCGGATCTCACCGAGTTTGTCGAGCTCGGGGACAAGGCTGCGCGTGACAATACCCGGGCGGCGGCGCTCAAGAAGCGCGCGGCGGCGCAGCGGGCTGAGTCCAAGCAGCGGCGGCGACGGCGCAAGGCCCGTGGCACGCCGCGCGGCACGCCGCGCAAGGGCGACGAGAACTCGCGGCCACCGACACCAGCAACCCCCCTGTACCCTGCCACGCCAAAGACGCCGATGACGCCCACTTCGCGGGCGGCCGATCTCCTCTCGCCCGAGTCCTTGCTGCAGCGGATGTCGCCGCAGCTGCTGGAGCGGCTCTCGCTCTCGCCAACGCGCGTGACGTCGCCGTCGCGCGGCGTGCGCCGGTCGCCGCTCTCGCCGATGGCTAACTAAGACCCGAGTGTAGCAAGTGTTACATGAACGAAGCCTTGGAGACGGCCTTCTGCTGATACATGACTGCGGACGACTTGTCCTTGCGTGCGCGCGAGCGCATCTTCTTCTTGTGGGCCTTCTTGCTCATTCGGACAGTGACATCGGCGGCCTCGTCGTCCGAGTCGGAGAGGAAGAGGCCTGCGGCGTGCTCTGAGGCCTGCTCGTTGCGGGCCAGGTCATCGACAGCGGCGGCGTTGTGGACCCAGGCGACAAACTGGCGCTTAGACTGCTCGGTTGTCGAGATGCGCGAGAGGAGATGCGAGTTGGCGTGCGAGTAGGCGCGGGCCTGTGTGTAGTCGCCTTCGTTAACAAACTTGGCCGAGTGCTGAACGGCGTTGAGGCCGAGGACGGCGACGTCGGCGTCGGCCTCTGCCGCGGCGCGCGAGTGGGTCACGGTCTTCGACTGGGTGATCACCCGGACGCACTTCATGCCGTTGAGCTTGGTGTAGTGGATCTGGACCTGGAACGGGACCGAGGCGTCTTCGGTGAGCGCATCGAGAAAGTCACGCCGAACCGAGTACTGGAAAGTCACGTCCGACGAGGCCTTGACATTGCCGATGGTTCGGGTGAGGATGTTGGAGTCGGCGGCGACGTCGTCCTCACGGAAGCGGAGGCCCTTATGCAGGAGGAAGACAATTTCAACAGCGGTAGCGACCGGCGGCTCGGCGAGGATCGACGAAAAGTTCGAGGTGAGCTCAAGCGGGTCGACAACATCGACGGTGCCCGACGTGGCGTCGGTCACGATGCCGAGGTTCTCCACTGAGCAGTCGGTGCCGTCGATGGTGATGACGTTGACGGTGACGCCAGCCTCACGGGCGTAGAGGCCGACCCGCTCGTAAAACGCAGTCGTCTCATCCTCCTCAGCCTCGGTCGGCGCATCCGAGATCGAGCCGACGCCGATGTTGGCCCGCCCATCGGTGCAGACAATGACCTCCGAGCCCGGGCGCTGCGCCGCCATGCCAACCGCGGTGACCAGCGCGGGGCCGAGTGCCGTCTGGCCCTCTTCGGAGAGCGCGTCAAGCTTGGCCCTCAGGGCCGGCGCCGAGTCGACAACCGGAGCGCCTAGGGGCAGCTCGGCGGCTGCAGAGAGGCAGTGATCGTAGTCATCGAGATGGTCGCCGGCAATGGTGTGCTCGGCGGCGGCAGCATCGCCGACAACCTTGACGTCCGACGCAAAGGTGACGAGCCCGGCGCGGACAGCCGGCTCGGTGGCAGCCAGCGTCTCGATCTGAGTCTCCACCGCGGCCTGCATGCATTGCAGTCGCGAGATGTACGTTGTGTTGCGCGATTGGCCGCGGAGGAACTGGTTCGAACCGTCGCCAAACGAGCGAAGCTCGGCAAACTCCTTGTTGCGCCGGTCCTGGCCTTTGAGTTTGACCTTGCCGGAGACCTCGGTTGTCACGCACATCGAGCCTGAGGTGTCAACGCAAAAGACCACGTTGGACTCGCGCGCATCCGACGCCACCGTCATGCCAGAAACTACGTAGTCGACCGAGTTGGCGGTCGGGATCTCCGGGCGGGCCAGCTCAACCTCGTTGCCGGTTCCGCAAAACTCGCAGTTCCACACGCCGACGAGGTCGTCATCTTCATCGTCTGCGTCTGCGTCGTTGGGCGTGACCTGCGAGACCGCCGAAAAGTATGCCGAGCACTGTGAGCAGCGGATGGCCTCGCCGGTTGCGAGGGTCACACCGTCGGCCAGAGAGCCGAGCGAGAGCGAGATCACGTTGGTGTCTGCCCGACGCGTCTTGATCGGCTTCTTGCGAGGCGGGACGGCCCGCGAGGGGACAGCCCGTCGCGAGTTTGCCGCCTTCTGCCGCTTGCCCATCTTGAACAGCTTCTTCAGCTCAAACCGCACGCCCTTCTTCTTCTTCTTGCCCTTTCCCGCCTTTCCGCCGCGTGCTTGCGGCCCATCGGGCGCCTGCTGCTGCGCCTGCTGCTGCGCCACTGCGATCGACGCATCCAGCTCTGCCGAGCCATCCGAGGCCGAGTCGTTGTCCGAGCCCTCGCCCGACGACGACGACGACGACGCGGTGTTGACCTCTTCAGCCAGAGCGCCGATCTCTTCATCTTCCTTGGCCAGATCGTACATGGCGTTGGCAACGAGTCCGGCTTCAAGCTCGGCTGTGAACGGGATAAGGATGAGTTGTGAGTTGCGGAGAGGAGGGAAGGAGGGAAGGGGGGGGGGGGGGGGGGGGGGGGGAGGAGGGGACATACTCTCAGAAAACTCGTCCGAGGATGATGCACCCGCGTAGACGAGGGGCGATGCAAAGAACATGATGGGGTGTAGGTGGTCCAAGTGGTGTGTTTGTGTTGTGGTTGGTGGTGCCTGCTGTGCCTGTGTGGGGGTGGGTGCCTGTGGGTGCCTGCGAGGAAGCCCTTTTTTAAGGCCTTGTGGAGTTCCTTCCTTTTGTTCGCAGGCGTTCCATTGGCTGGCAGCGGCGTTCGCAAGAGTGTAGAACATGGTCGAGACGTGCTGGGATGGGCTATGCTGGCTGGGCTAGGATGGCTTGGATGAATAGTTTGGTGGTGGGATCAGGCCGAGAAAATGTCTGCAAGAACATCCTCCGGCTGGCGGGTTGATGCTGCGCGCCAGAGGCTGTGCTCCACCTTGCCAACCTTGGATGAAGAGGCAGCCGAGAGGATGTGCTTGGAAGCTAGGGCCCAGTGCTGCGGCTCGAGGCCGTACTTGGGATGATACAATTGGATAGTGGCAGCGATGGCGGTGTCGGGTTCGGTCCGGTGCGGATAGAGGAGCTCGGCGGCCATGATGGCGTTTTCGGCGGTGGCGGCGGCCTCCAGCTCGTTGCGCGGGCGTCGGCGACGATCGAGGCCAACTTGCGGGCAAGGATGCGGAGGTGGCAGATGTGGTGGACGATGACGGGCCCGGCCGAGTAGCGGAGGAGCGAGAGGTAGGCGGCGTGCTCAGAGTGGTCCTTGCACACCGCAATGAGCTGAGCGAGGGCGTTCTCGACCGGGGCGGGCACCACAGACTGGGTGCGCTTGAGCGAGCGGATGGCCGGCGAGTCAAGGACGGCGACGACGGCAAAAAGGAGCGGATAGGTGCCGGTGAGAACGGCAGCGCGGGCAAGGTCGACAGCCCAACAGATGCGCTCGGCGCGGGCGCGCGGCGTGTCGCCGGTCAGCACCTCGCTGGCGACCAGGGCACGGATGTGGGTGTATAGTTCGGTGGCAGCCACAACAGAAGCCGGCGCGTCCTTGATGGCGACGAGAACGTCAGCCTCGTCGGCGTCGGCATCAAGCGGCACGATGGCCAAGGCAGCATCAACTAGTGCGCTTGGCGCGAGAGCAGTGATGAGCGGACGGAAGAGGAGCGCAACTTGCTCGACAACAGCGAGCGGCGGCGTGGAGGAGAGAGTCACCGGGGGCGAGCCCTTGAGGACGGGCCGCAGCGGCTCGGACCTGCGCATGGCATCGATGTCGCCCGACGACGCCGACCGCATGTGCTTGATGCGCCGAAACTGCTTGGGCGTGGCAGCGCGGACGGCGTCGGGCGTGACAACCGACAGCGAGTGGATTCGGTCTGGGAGGCCGGCCGGGTCGTCGAGGTATGAGTGCGCCGGCTTGACAATGTCCGAGAGCTCGAGCGGCGCGGTAAACTTGAAAGCTACCGAAGAGCGACGCTTCTTGAACGACGACGACGAGGCTGACGAGGCCGGCGGCTGGAGCGAGACCGAGGCCTGATACTGCTGGTCCTCATCCCATGCCGGGCCGTCAGTGAGGAGAAAGTCACGGATGGCCGGGATGTGCTGGATGAGGTAGCGGCCGGCGCGAAAGGCGGCCAGCTTGTCGACCTCCTGCACCATGTACCGTTGGCGGTCGACGTTGAGCAGCTCGTAGGCCCCCTCACGCTTGGTCTCGGCCACGTCGATAGTGATGATGCGGCGGTCGTAGAGCGAGGTGAGCGGAATGGCCGGCGGCGACGCACGGGCATGGGCCTCGCGAAGATGCTTGTGGTGGCTCTTGAGCGCGTTGATGTCCTCCAGCTTCTTCATCCGGCGCTCGTACGCCGGCGGAAGCATGGACCAGAGCGACGAGAGCCGGTCGATGGCAGCCGAGCCGAGGGAGACACGCAGGGCGTTCATGCCAAAAAAGTTGTCAAAGGTGTAGCAGATGAGCGCAGCGTCGATGACAACGCACACAAGCTCGATTTGGGCCGCCAGCGGCGACGCAATCAGAATCTGGGTCGCCACCAGGTTCACAATCCGTGAGTACTGCTCGGCAAAGAGCCGGATGTGCGGCGAGTCGACTTTGAGCAGAAACTCGTTGGGCCGGATGGCCATAAAGGCCTCAAAGTTGATGAGGGTCAGCTGGCGCGCAAACTCAAGCGGCCCGATTCGGACCAAACTCAGCCGGGTTGGCCGCAACGAGACCGGGACGACCGGCGACGGAATTGGCTTGCCACACGCCACCACTGACTCGGGATCGACTGCGTAGCTCTGCTTGACCACGCTCGCCACACCTTTGAGCTCGATAAGGACCGCGCGCTGGAGCGCAGCCACAACCGGCTTGTCCGGCGCCGGCGCCGTTGCTTTGACCACCGCACGCGCCTGGGCCCGCCGCGCCGAGAGCTCAAAGTTGTACGGCGCAGTCACTACCCACGTGTAGAGGAAGGCAAGAACGGCGGCGCTGAGCGCCCAGGGCTTGAACGCTTCCGCCGGCACAGCATCCAGCGGCATGCAGGTCATCCGCTCGAGCAGGAGGCCAAGCAGCGTCTCGACCGAGAGATAGTCCTCAAACGAGACAAGGACAACGCGGAGCAGCTCCGGATCCGAGACTCGGATGTCGACCTCGGGGGCGACAGCATCTGCGACCTCGTACAGGTACGGCTGCGGCGAGAGCAGAACCCGCAGCAGCATCTCAACAGGAATGCGCGAGATGCTCGCCACTAGAAACGGAGCAGTGTAAAAGTCTTCCCAGAACGGAAAGTACTTTGCCAAGCTCGGCTTGGTCGGATTGAGCCGGTATTGGTACGCCGAGATGCGCGGCCAGGTGCCTGCGGGCGACTGCGGCGAGGCTGCGAGGTGGACCGAGACCGCCGACCGCGAATGCTGGAGCAGTGCCGACGACTGCTTACGCTTGGCTTTGGTCCGGCGGGCGCGGCGGGCGGCAACCGAGTTGACTGGCGGCGAGCTGCTGCCCAGCTCCGGACCAGCGCTCATCGAGCCCTCAGCCGTGGCGGCCGAAAGCTGCTCCCAGTTTCCAAGCTTGCGGCGGAGGTTGACCATCTTGTTGTCAGTCCGGTCGAACGATTCCCACCAGGCCACAAACTCGTCGCGCGAGATGGTGGCCGACGCGTCGAGGTCGAGCGAAGAAAAGGCCGAGTCGACGTCTGCGTCGCTGAAGGTCGGCACAATGCGGCGGACAAGGGAGGCAAACTCGGAGACACTCAGCGTGCCGTTGCCGTCCGTATCAATGACCTGGAACGCGCTGAGCGCCTGCTTGGTCTTGAGCGCTTTGATGGCCTTGGAGACCCGCGAGTACTCGGCGTAGACTGGCTTGATCAGGTAGGCCTTGACCTTGCGAGCCTTGAGAACCTGAACCTTTTCTTTCAGCTTGCGCTTGAGCTTGACCAACTTTGCCAGCTTGTCGACATCGGATCGGCTGCGGTCGTTGCCGGACGTTGCCTTGACCTTGCGGCGGCGCTGGCGCACGCTTGCGCCCTCACCGCCATCGGCAACCTCGTCGGACGAAAAAGTCGATGACGACGAGCTCGAGCCCGAGCCCGAGCCCGAGCCGCCGCTCTTCTCCGTGCCAGACGCCGAGCTCGAGCCCGACGAGAGAAAGGCCGACTCGAGGTCCAGCACACCCTGGGAGATAGAGCCTCGACGCCTGTGCCCCGCACGTGCATGCGGTGACAGCAGGCCCAGATCACCAGCACCGTTCGGAGAAGGGGACAGCGTTGTAGACCTGGCACTCGGGAGACCTGTCGTTCTCAGCCGCCGCAGTCGCGACGACCGCCGCTGCCCGCCCTCCTCCTCGGCCTCAACCGTTACATGGACTTCCGGCGACGACTGCGACAGCGCGGCCATGTGATGATGATGATGATGTGTGTGTGTGTAGAGGGGAGGGAGGGAGGGGGAGAGGTGGTGGCCTGCCGTGGCGTGGGCTGCCTGCTGTCTATTCGGTCGTTCGGTTCTTTGTTGCCGACATGACGGATGGGACGGCTGCGGTTGCGGTGACGACGGTGGCGGCGATGGCAAACAAGGCGACTGTTGGCGGTAGAGCAGCATCTTTTGATGGCGTGGTCATGATGTACGCTCTGGTCGCTAACTGGCTGGAGGAGCAGCAGATGATTCGTGAACGGCGGCAAAGACGTGGCGCTCGAGGACGGCAAGCACATCGGCACCAGAGGTCCAGCGATGGAGGCAGTCATCCGGGAGCGAGACGCGGGCCCGGGCAGAAGCATCGGTGGCAAGGAGCGTCTCGAGCGAGCAGTCGCCGCGGACGAGCGCGTGGTGGTTGCGACTGGCATCGAGAGCAGTGAGCGCACAGAAGTCTCCGACCGAGTCGCCGACGTAGGCGAGATGATCGTAGGGCACGCCATTGCGCTCGGCCACAATAGACTCGATCACCCGTGCCTTGCACATCATGGGCGGGCAGCGGTGGTAGCGGGTACAGGCGACGCCGTCGGTGTGATACGGGGCCACGACGAGCTTTCCGTCATCGGACCACGTGCCCGGAGTGGCATAGACGGCGGTAAAGGCATCAGATAGGCCGAGATCTTCCAGAACAGCGCCGATGAGCACCGTGTTCCCATTGGAGACAATGTAGGTGTCCATGCCAAGGTCACGGGCGCGACGAACGGCGTCCTCAGACTCGCGGAAGCGCGGCACGTCCGCCATGGCTGCCAGCACAGCATCGGGACCACAAGTCAGCTCGCCGAGAACAGTCGTCATCACCGCCGGCCAATCAGAGCCGAGCTCTGCCACTAGCTCCCGCTGTCGATCGCGCAGGCCAGCATCGAGCCTGTCCAAGACGATGGTATCGGTGTTGGCGTCGATTAGTGACGAGTCAAAGTCAAAGATAAGCGCGCCCGAGGGCAGCGTGTCCGAGGGCAGCGCGCCCGAGGACGACGTCGCCATGTGATGACCGAGGAGGATGGGGTGCGCAGAAGATGGGAGGATTATGGGGGAGAGGGGGAGAAGGACAGAGGAGTGATGGTAGTGTGTGTGTCGCTACAGAGAGGCTCCATCTCGGCGGGCAGGTGGACAGGCGGGCCCGGAGGCGGACACACTGCACTCTGGCACACGCTGTGTGAGGCATGGAGGGCGAGCGGTGGAAGTTTGTGGGCGGCAAAGTGGGCAATGTGGTCTGGCTTCCGCATGGCCGGCACTTTGTGACTGCAGCCTGGGACTCGAGAGTATGTAGATGGAGGGAGGGAGGTGTGTGTGTGGCTGGTGTGGGTGTGTGTGTGGGGGGGGGGGGGGGGTGGAGGACGGGGAGCAGGGATGGGGAAGAAGGGAGAGGAGGGGCACTCATGGAATGTGTGGTGGGGTGGGGGATGCTGCACAGCCGAACATGGTGAGTCTGTGGTGTGACGAGCCCGAGGCGGTGGACCCTGTGGCGGTGGCGTCGGTGGCGGCTGGCTCGACGGCGGACATGGTGGTGGTGGACGATGGGCATGTAGCAGTGCTGTCCGAGGCCGGCACTCTATCGTTGCTGGAGTTGGAGGCGGGGTATGCGGATCTGGTGCCTGTTATGGTCATCGATGATGTGCACAGCGGCGGGGCGGGCGCAGCTCTGGCTGCAGCGCCATCGGCGCCGCTGGCAGCGACGTCTCCCGAGGAGGGCGGCGTGCTAGTGGTCGACTGGGCGGCGGGCGGGCAGGTAGTGGCTGCGATGGGTGGTGGACCGCTGGCTTCGCCGGTCTCGGACCTGGCTTGGGTCGGTGCCTCGCAGATTGTGGCGGTCGGCATGCACCTCGAGGTGTGGGATACTCGGAGCGCAAGCGCAGCCATGGTGCTGAAGGATGCGGGCCCGGGCACGGTGGTCCACACCGTGGCGGTCCATCCCAACCAGCCAGACTTTCTGGCCACGGGTGGCTCGGACGGGATGCTCTCGGTGTGGGACCTGCGATCGGCTGGCTCTGCGGTGACCAAGATCCACGCCCACTCGTCCGACGTGTGGGACATCGAGTTCTCGCCACACGCGCCCGACACCGTCTTCTCCTGCGCCGACGACGGCACTGTGCTGCGTTGGAACTTTAATGCCAACAAGGACCGCAACCGGAGCACCTTTGCCTTCCGCGACGACTCGAACATCGCCATCGACCAGATCCTCGACTCGATGCTCCCGGTCAACTCGCTCGCCCTCTCGGCATCCGATACCCTGCTCTGTGGCGCCGACAATGGCTTTGTTCTTCTCCCAGGCCTTCCTGCCGCCGATGAGTAGACCCAGCGAGTTGATCCAGCCGTACGCAAGTAAACTACTCTTCAGATTGTGCGCTGGAGCCGAGAAGATAAGCAGTCGGTGACTCGTGTCTGTGTCCATAGCCAGCCGACAACCGGCAGCAGCCAGCGGACCACCGACACCCAACAGGAGACACCACCTGGCTCGAGGCTACAGCAGAAACGATATGAACTCTTACCGGCCGGATGTTGAGTTTGAGGTATGTTGAGGGGGGAGAGAGGGAGGGGGAGAAGGGCGGAGGAGGGGGGGGGGGGAGGGCGGAGAAGGAGGGGGGGGAGGGGGAGGGGCGGACTGGCAGCGTTGCAAGGGCCCTCTCCTCCCCTATGCCCATGCCTTCCTCCCACATATCATGGTGCCTGCATCCCTTAATCCCCAATCTACTTCATGGCCATACTCACGCCTTTGGCGCTCTCGTCGTCTCTCTCCTCTGCCGCACTCGACTGGTTGCAGCCGCTCGTTCGCAACGACGAGCTCCTCGAGGGGCTGTACAGCATCGAAGTCAAGGGCATGCCGTCATGGGTGGAGGACGCCATCGATGAGATGCATGATGCACTCGAGGCTGTGTACACTACCCGCCAGAACTTGCGCAACGAAGAGTCCCGAAAGAAGCTTGCAGCCATGATGTCGTTCTCAGCAGAGCGCGAGCAGCAGCTGCACAACGAGTCGCTCGGCGAGGGCCAGGTTCTCTCGTTTGATGACGACGAGTAAGAGGCGCGCGAGAGAGATTAAAGTGCAATCCGCTGCAGTTTACCTTGCCACTTCGCTGAGGAACGAGGGGAGCAAATGCGCCTCAAGCCAGAGAACAAGCGGCGATCGGGTGCCCGGTGCGTAGTGGCCTTCCTTGTGGAAGAGTAGTAGGCCGTCGAGTGTCAGGTCGCCGGACTCGACGGCGGCGGCAAGGCCGTGTGCGTCGCACGGATACGGACCCAAATTGACGATGGCGTGGCGATTGGCGGTCGGATGGACACTCTCCAGTCCGGAAATCTCCATCAGCCGCGACGTCCGCCAGAACGCGCGGAACTCGGCGCCGGTCTCATACAGAGGCTGGCCCTTCCAGCAAAGCACGTCGAGCACGTAGTAGGTGCCGATGGTAGCGCCGCTGCCGGCTTCGGCCTCGGCCTGGTCGGGCACAAATACGCAGTCGAGGATGCAGTACTTGTCGCGGACCCTGCGCGCCGCCCGCGAGCCGCCGGGCAGCCGCGACGGGAACGAGTCAACGGCGCGGCCCCACCGGTTGCGAGCCACGGTAGTGCCACGGTTCGAGACCAGGAGCCGCCGCATGCCGGCTGGCACAGGAACCACCAGCCAAGCATCTGGAAAGTCGCTTGGCACGCCCTCCATATACTCGCCGGTCATGATCTGCTTGCGGAAGTCGATGCGCCGTGCATTGTTGCGACGCTTCGCATTGGCCTCTGCCACCGCACTCCGCTCTTCCATAAACGCCACGCTCGTCGCAGCCTCAGCCTCAGCGGCCAGCACTGCCTCGTCATGAAAGACGCCAGAGACTCCATCGGCGTCAGCGTCAGCATCGGCGTCGATCCAGCCATCGCAGTCAGTGGTGAGCCCCAGCGGGTCAACCTCGCCATCAGGGGCAAGAGGGAGCGCCCAGGACGCCGGCTCGGCTGGGCCCACGCCGTAGCCTTGGCTCGGACCAGCCCCGCCCGAACCATTACCGCACCAGCCCTCACGCTCATCGTCGGCATCGTCCAGCTCGCTCTCGTCGTCATCATCACAGTACGCGGCCATGGCCAGCGATCTAGCCAGTGCCTTTGAGTTGCGGCGGGCATTGGCCTGCGCACGTAGTGCCTTGGACCTCGAGGCCTCCAGCGGATCCCCCAGGCCAGCACATCGCTTGTAGTCGGCGGCCCGGGGCGGAAGGACCGCGCACTCGAGCCCAGTCTCAGCCACGGTCTGAGCCATGAGCAGCGCGATGCAGTCTGATGTTAGGAGATGGTGGGATGGAGTGGTGTGTGTGTGTGTGTGTGTGTGTGTGTGTGTGTGTGTGTGTGTGTGTGTGTGTGTGTGTGTGTGTCTGCTGTGCCTGCTGGGTGAGCTGGTGGTCGCGCTGTTTCGCCAATGATGCCGAACCTTGGAGGCCAAGGCCATAGCCACAGCGATCGACCACGTTCACGCACAGCAACAGAAACAATGCTAGCTGTGATAGCTTGTACTGTCATCCCACAAGCAGTGGCCTTGGATTACCAGCCCTCCCCCCCCCCCCCCCCCCTACCGGCTAACACCTGTTGACAACCACCAGCCCAGCCCGTGACTCCTTCCTCCCCCCTCCCCCCCCCTCTCGGCACTAACCACTCCTCCCTGCCTCACTCACACCTACACCTACCACAGCCGATGTCTGCACCCTCAAGTACCACCCATACGCCGTCTGCACCGCGGAAGCGGACAGCACGGCTGCTGGCGCAGGTGGCACCCGCTGGCGGTCGCGGACGGGCTGCCGGAGGAGACGGCGACGACGATGTGGTGGTCCTGGCGGCGGTGCGGACGCCGATCGGAAGGGCGCGCAAGGGCTCGTTCCGCGATACCCACCCGACGACGCTGCTTCAGGCGGCGGTGACCGGTGCGGTGGAGGCTGCGGGTGTGCCGCGTGCTGACGTCGGCGATGTGGTGGTGGGCAACGTGCTCGCCCCTGGCGGCTTTGCCACCCAGGCCCGCATGGCCCTCTTCCTGGCCGACTTCCCCGTCGAGGTCCCTGTCGTCACCACCAACCGCCAGTGCTCGTCGGGTCTGCAGGCTGTGGCCTCGGTCGCTGCCGCCATCGCCACTGGCGTCATCGACGTCGGCATCGGCGCAGGCGTCGAGTCCATGTCGTCAGCCGACATGATGGCCTCGCTCGGCCCGGTCAACGACGCCGTTCATGACGTGCCCAACGCCGCAGCTTGCCTCACTCCCATGGGAATCACGTCGGAGAACGTTGCCGCCAAGTACGGCGTCTCGCGCGAGACCCAGGACGCTTTTGCGCTTCTCTCGCACCAGCGCGCGCTCGCGGCGCAGGATCAGGGCCTGTTTGACGACGAGATCGTGCCGGTCACCGCCGTTGTCGTCGACGAGAACGACGACGAGACCCAAGTTATTGTCCGCTCCGACGACGGCCCCCGCCCGTCGACTCTGGCCAAGCTTGCCAAGCTCCGCCCGGCGTTCAAGAAGGGCGGCTCAACGACCGCCGGCAACTCGTCGCAGGTCTCCGACGGCGCCGCGGCTGTTGTTCTCGCCTCGCGCGCATACGCCAAGACCCACGGCTCACCGGTTCTTGGCCGCTTTGTCGCCTTTGCCGTGGCGGGCGTCCCGCCCGCCATCATGGGCATCGGCCCGGCCGTCGCCATCCCAGCCGTCCTCGCCAAGGCCGGCCTCTCCATCGACGACATCGACATCTTTGAGATCAACGAGGCTTTTGCCTCACAGGCCACGTACTGCGTCGACGTTCTCGGCATTCCTACCGAGAAGGTCAACCCACTCGGTGGCGCCATCGCTCTCGGTCATCCACTCGGCTGCACCGGCGCCCGCCAGGTGGCCACCCTCCTCCACCACCTTGCCCGCACTGGCGGCCGCTACGGCGTCGTCTCTATGTGCATCGGCGGAGGCCAGGGCGCCGCTGCCATCTTTGAGCGCGAGCCGTAGCATACTTGCCGTGACCAGATCAAGCCCCCATCCTATACAAGCCATCGACCATGGTTTCTGTCCCCTTCCAGGGCATGCATGCGACAGGGTAGAAACAGGCGACCAGAAAACGGGCGGGAAGTTTCGCGCCACCCCCTCCCTCCGCCACCCACCCCGACCCCCAACCTGGACACCACCAAGCACCCACCACCCACCCCACCCCACCCCTTTCGCTCTATCCCCCCCCCCTCTACCCCTACCCCCCTACCCCTCTTACAACAATGTCTGACCAGGCAGAGGCGCTCCGCGCACAGGTGGCGTCCGTGGTGGAGACGGCGGAGATGTACTTTGGCGCTGACAAGGAGGCCCGCCTGGCGGCCGAGTCGCAGGCTGCGCTGGAGGCGCTCGACGCAGCGGCCGATGATGTGTTGACAACGGCCGAGGTGCTGACGCTCCGTGGGCAGGTCCTCAATGCGCCCGACGCGTACTCGGCCGACGCCGAGGCCGCTCTGTCCAAGGCCGTCAAGCTCGCGCCCGAGTGCGTCGAGGCGTGGAACGCGCTCGGTGCTGTGTTCTGGAAGAAGAAGGCGTATCAGGAGGCCAAGGACTGCTTTGAGGGCGCGCTGGCTGTGGCAGAGAACGCTGACTCGCTGCGCAAGCTCTCGATGGTGGAGCGCCACCTCGGCGGCTCCGGCGCCAAGCTCCGGACCGCCGTCGCTTCGTCGGTCGCCCACGCCAAGCGCGCCACCGCGCTCGACATTACCTCCCCGGCATCGTGGTACTCGCTCGGTAACGCCCACCTGACGCAGTTCTTTACCTCGACCCAGGACGTCTCGGATCTGGCCCACGCGCTCAAGGCCTACGCCCGCGCCGAGGCTGCCGGCTACGCCGCCCACCCGGACCTGCACTTTAACCGCGCGCACGTGTACAACTACATGCTGCGCTTCCAGGAGGCATACGACGGATTCCGCCTCGCCCACAAGCTTGACCCGTCGTGGACCGCCGCTGCCACTCTCGCTACAGACCTTGCCCGCGACGTCACCAAGGTGCAGACCCTCATCGCCAAGCGTGCCTCGCTTCGCGAGAAAAAGGTCAAGGCTGCTGCAGCGTCGCTGACCCCGCTGCGCATCCTGCGCGAGCGGACCCATGTGACGCTTGCTCAGCTCGGCGCAGGGCCTAACCCCGGCGGTGCCGTCGCCGTCAAGGTCATGGCCACCGTCGTCCGGGCCAACAACATTCCCCAGACCTTTGTCGTTCTCGATCCTGAGGCCACCTTTTCCACCGTCTCGATCTACAACATGCGTGACGGTGCTATTTCCGTCGGTGACGAGCTCTGGATCGCGGATCCGTTTGTCTGCGCCGTCTCTCTTGATCCCGAGGCCCCGCTTCCGGACGTCACCGCCGACGCCCCGCCTGCCGCCCCCGAGGGCAAGGGCAAGGACGACGCCGAGGACGCCGCCGACGCCGCCGACGCCGCCTCCTCCACCGCTGCCACGTACACCTCGATCCGCATCGACAAGCCCAACGATCTCTGGATCAACGGCCGCTCTGTCGAGGCCAGCGGCGGCATCGAGGCCCAGTCCAACCTTCTGTTCTCGGCCAAGGACTCGGACAACCAATGAACGTGTGGTACTACTTGATTTACGCAAGCGTCGTCCGGGCTGGGCCCAGCGGCGCACGCTCCTCGCTGGGCCCGCCTGCAAACGACGCATAGATTGCACTGTACCGCGCCTGCTCCTCGGTTGAGACCGACGGGCTTGATGCTGCCAGCGCCGCCTCGAGGTGCGTCACGTCTACTGCATGCACACGCGGAGGCTGCTCGCTTGTTTCCTTGCCTGGGAGTGGGTCCGCGCCACCGGCCACGAGCGCAAGACGCTCGGCCCACTCAAAGACAGGCACCGGCGCCGGCATGAGCGATGGCCCGTCGCCAAGCACAAGCACCTTCGGCTTGACCTGGACGCAAGCCGACTGTAAGGTGCTCACAGGCGTGTCAACTGAGTCAAGGACCTGGTGGACCAGTTCGATCTGGGCCTGATACAGCAGCGCCTGCAGGTCTGCGCCGGTAAAGTTGGCAGTCTGTGCAGCAATGGTCTCGAGCGCGGTGTGGGCGAGTGGCGTGAGCTCCATTTTCGACGCGTGGGCTCGGAGAATGGAGCTTCGCTGGGCCGAGTCGGGCATGCCGCAGAGAAGCGACTTGTCGAGGCGACCAGGCCGCAGCAGAGCCGGATCGATGAGGTCTGGGCGTGACGTTGCCGCCAGCACGTACACGCCTTCGAGGCCCTCGACACCATCGAGCTCGGTAAGAAGCTGGTTGACGACGCGGTCGGTCACACCTGTCGAGTCGTGCCCACGGCGTGGAGCGAGCGAGTCAAACTCGTCAAAGAACAGGATGCACGGCGCGGCGGCCGAGGCCCGCGCAAAAACACGCCGGACCGCCTGCTCCGACGCCCCGATGTACTTGTTGAGCACCTCGGGGCCCTGGACGGTCAAAAAGTTGAGACCCGACGCGCTCGCAGCCGCCCGAGCCACCATGGTCTTTCCGGTTCCGGGCGGTCCATAGAGCAGCAGTCCCGAGCGCATGCGGATCGGCGCAGATGCAAACAGCGATGCATACTTGGTCGGCCACAGCAGCGTCTCCAACAGCGTCTCTTTGACATCTTCCAGCCCGCCGACCTCGTCCCAGCTCACTCCGGGATCCTGCAGCCGCACGCCCTGCATCGCGCACGGCACAAAGCCGTCAAGCGCAGCGGCCCAAGCGGCCTGGCCGACAGTGGCTGACAGCTTCAGCTCTTCCTCGACGTCGACGGCCTTGCTGTCGCCGTTCTCGCTGTCGGACGAATCGGTCTCCCACCAGCCGGCGCCGTCAGCAACAACAACGCCAAGCGGCAGCTGAGCAGTGGCATCTTCGTCAGCGGGCTTCACCGCCGGGGAGGCGGCTGCCAGGCTGCCGCCCGGGAGAGGAGCGCGTCAAAGTCCAGCGCGTTGCACGCTCGAGTCGCCGGACCGCAGAGCCAGGCCAAGCCGCCTGGATCGAGGTCCAGGCCGCGGCGAGTGGCTAGAGCCGAGACAAGCGCGGCACGGGCATCGGGGGTAAGCGTCTCTGGAAGCTCGATAGTGTGCGAAAAGAGAGCGCCGGCAGCAAGGCTTGGATGTAGGGCGTCGCGCGCAGTTGCGGTAGCGAGCGCAGCGATGGGCGCTGACGGAGGAGCCTTGCGGAGTTCGGCAACGAGTGCGGCTAGGTATGACGCCAGCTGGGCGGCCCTCAGCGGAACGCCAGCGTGAACTTGCCCTTCGGTGGCACCAGCGAGCGTGTCCAGATCGTCTAGGATGAGCAGTGCCGGCTTGGTGGCTACAGCTTCGGCAGCGGCACGCGCAAGATTGGCTTTGACCACCGCCAGCGGCTCAGACGCTAGACTGGCACACGGAAGGTAGACAGGCGTTACGCCGCAGCTCGCGGCAGCTGCCAGTGCAGCAGCGCGGGCGATCGTCGACCGCCCGCTACCGCTTGCACCAACCAACAGAGGCAGCGGGGCAGCCTCAGAGAGCACTGGTCCTCTCGATTGGACAAAGTGGGCAAGGACAGCCCGGGACGCGCTGTCGAGCGCCTCATCCATGCCGCCGACCTCGTCGGGGTGGAGCCAGTCGTGGTGGAGAGGCGAGAGATGCAGAGGAGGTGCGGCGACAATCTGCATCGGAGCGTGCGGCATGGCGACCGAAATACCTTGGGCCTCGTCGCCGGCAGTGAGTGCCACAAGACGGGTAGCGTCACCACCGGCCTGGCACTCTGCGCAGGCCCGCGGGCACCCGACAACCGCAGGACATGGCAGCAGGCCAGCGGTGAGCTCAAGTACGGAACTGATGCCAGCCTGCAGGCACGTCTCACATACAGCATCACCGGCGGACGTAGGTGCAGCTTGGATGACCGGGGCGGCGTCGGGGTGCACAGGGATCGGCAGCGCCGACGACAGCACAACTGAGCCGAGCGCCAGTGCCGCTTCGGCCCCGCCTGTTGCGCCAAAGATCGACAGCGCAAGAGATGCCGCAAAACTGGCATTGCTATACAGCACCTGAGGAGCCGGAAGGAGCTCGGGCGGAACTGGCAGCGCTACAGCGAGGAGACGCGGGGCGGTGGGATCATGCACGAGCGTGGCTGACGCGAGACGACGGCGGAGCGCGGGGAGCGAGAGCTGGTCATACTCAAGCTGTCCGCGGTCCGAGATCCACTCTGAAAGCGATGGCTCAGACGCGATGAATCCACCGGGCACATCAAGCGAGGCCGCGACAGCAAGCGACGGCCTCCCGTCACCGGCAAAGCACACGACCGGAATGGTGGCGAGGACAGCGGCAAGACCCGGTGAGGCCGCCACAAACGGTGAGGCAAGAAGGCTCGCCATTACGTCAGGATGATACAAAACGCGGGTCCACGAGTTGTCAAAGATGCTGTCGGGCGCGAGCGTAAGGTTGCGCAGCTGAGTCGTGGCTGCCGGCAGCCTCACCGGCTCAGCGCCGGGATGGGGGTCAGATTTCAGCGTTGGGGCCGGCGTCGGGACCGCGGCGGGGATTGTGGATGGCAGTGGGCTGACAGGTCGAGGAGCGGGCGGAGCAGGCGGGTTTGGCGGCTGGGGCTGTGCAGGCAACGGTCGCGCGCGGGCCCGCGGAGCGATGATGATCTCGGTGTCCGGCTCGAGCATGACAAGATGATCTGGCGCGGTGTCCTGGACAACAAATGAGGCCCGTGCGGAGCGTGCGTGGATGACAAGTGTCTGCCCGCGAAAGACAATCCGGACTTGGGCCAGCAGCGAGGCCTCGAGCAGGCCGGCGGCGGTGGCGACCACCTCCCAGTCGTCGGGCGAGGCCGGGACGAGCAGGACCTGAGCAGCGGGGGCGACGGTAGGGACGGGCGTGACGGAGACCGAATCCCCGTGGCGGAGGCCCAGTGCCGCTGCGTGCGCGGCCCCGAGCTCCAGCACATGTGGTGGGCCGGCCGCGGCCATTGGCGGCGGCGTGGTGGTGGCTGACCCGTCCCAGTACACAAAGTGCTCGTCGGGCACCGCCGGCGAGGTGACGCGCAGAACGAGGGCGGCCCTGCCCGAGGAGGCGAGGATGGCGGCGACGACATCAGCCGAGAGGGCGGCAAAGGTCGTTGCCTTGCCCGGGCTTACTACCACAGCCAGCTCCATGTGGGGAGGGGGGAGGGGTGAGGTGGTCGTGCTCTGACAGTCGCCCCGGGGGGTACTTGACTTAGCGCCGGGTGCGGTACGGGCCAGGTCTCGAGGCCACAGGGGAGAATGGCGGCGAGGGCCGAGCGAGAGCTAGAGAAGGAAGGGAGATCGGGATCGCGCGCGAGGCGGCCGCCGCCGCTGGTGATGCCGGCGGACGCGGATGGGGCGGACGGCGAGGGGAAGGCGCAGGAGCTGGAGTTGGCACCCGTGCTGACGCCAGGGCCTGGTCCGGAGCGCTGGACCGGAGACTGGGCGGCGGACACGCTGGGTCCTGCGCAGACTGTGCTGGTGCACCGGCTGGTTGGCGACGGCGGAGGGTGGCGGACGCGGTGGGGGGAGGTGGCAGTGGCCGACGCTCCGTTTGCGCACGGCGCGCTGCGCGCGTGCTGGCGGGCGACGGTGTCGTGGGCGGTCGGCGAACCGTATGTGGTGAAGCAGTACATGTCGCCTGATGCCGATGTGCCGGCCAACTATGTGGCAGACGTGCAGATGCAGACGCGGGCGCGAGCACTGGCCGATGCGTACAACGCGGCGAGACCGCCGTTGCATGTCGAGCTCCTTGAGGCGATAGTGCTCGAGCTGCTTCCCGAGGCATCCGCCGTAGTGGCCAAGGCGAAATGCCTGAGGGTTTTGCGCACGATGGTGGACGGATTGGGGCGTATGGCGTGGTGATGGCGTGTGAGCGGTTTGTCGCCGGCAACTACGTCAAGCACTCAAACAACGGCGGCGTGGTGGGCCATGTCGGCGCAGCAGGCGGAGTTGTCCGCAACACGCCGCAGGCCTTTTCGCACTTTACCTATGCCGTCACTCAGGGCGAGGCAGTAGTGGTCGACATCCAGGGCGTCGGCGACGTGTACACGGATCCGCAGATCCACACCCGGTCGGCGGAACAGACGCTTGGCGATCGTGGGGTCCGCGGCATGGCTCTGTTCTTTGCCACCCACCTCTGCTCACCTGTGTGCGCCAAGCTCGGATTGCGGCCGTTCCAACTCTCGCCGGCAGAGATAGAAGCGTTGGCGGCGACGCGAGTGGCGGGCACGACGGTGCCTGCGACGCCGGTTGCCGGCGACGGCCGTGAGCGGTGGCCGGCGCTGGACGCGCAGGCCAAGTTTGTGGGTGCATTTGCGGCGGCGGTAGCGACAGATATGGCCTGGATTGCAGCGCTGCCGGACGTGTTTGACGCGCCGGCATCTTCAGAGGTGCGGCGCGACGCCGACCTGCACTATGCGCTCGCGCAGCACTTTGTGCGCGACCGTTCTCGGGCGCTGTTCCACCTCGTGGTTGCGGCGCAGGGCGGGTGCGAGGAAGCGCAGCAGGCGGTAGTGGCCATCAAGGTCCAGTTCCATCGGCCCGATGCCGGTCAAAGTGGAGGTGGAGCGCTTTGGCTGGTGGCGGTGGCGGCGGCTGTGGCGGCTTTTGCGGCTGGGTGGCTGGTGGCGGGGCGACGTCGAGGTTGATGTTGATGTGTTCATTGGGGGGCACGAGGTGCGACGTCCACAGTCGTCACTCGGGAACAGCACAAGTCTACAAAGGAGAAGGTATGCAAGGGGGCGGAAGCGCGATCAGTGCGCTGTGAGCCGCGCACGGATCAGTTGTACACCGCAAAGAACACAAAGGAGAGGAGGAGCATGAGCGGGCCGTGCCAGGCAAAGAGGAACCAGGCAGTGCGAGAGAGCGAGAGCCGTGAGCCAGCAGACGCCATGGAAACCGTGCCGTCGTCATTGTGGGTGGCGACGTTCTCGGCAGTAGCGAGTGCCATCAGCTGCAGTTGATCGGGAGTGGAGGAGGTGAGTCGGGGGCGGTGGAGCAGGCAAGCGTGCGGGGAAATCAAGCCGTGGTGGTGCAGGGCACGCGATGACAGCGTGGCATGACGGCGAGAGCTGATGTCGCAGAGGCAGAGGTAGGAGGCTAACGTGCTGCGCGTGGTCAGGGGCGGTTGGGGAGCTGGCCAGGTAGGGCAAGGGGGGAGGGGGGGGGGAACAGGGGTGGCGGCAGTGACAGGGTGCAAGCGGATAAATGGTGGAACAGAATGGCCGGGCGAGTGGCTTTTTTTCCACTGAAACGGCGGGGGCTTGCGCCAGCCAGCCAGGGTAGGCATGGGGAAAGGGAGGCAGGGGAAAGAGAGCAGGGAATGAAGATGAGGGGTGTAAGAGGGGGGAAATGAGGCGGGGAGGATGGGGTGGGGGGGGGGGGGGGGGGGGGGGCTCGTACGCAGAAGAGTGCAAAGCATGCGATGGCGGCGGTGGTCTTGACCATTGTTCCTTGTTAAGCAACGTGAAGAGAAGCGTTACACTCCAGCGAACGTCAAGTCACGGGTCCCCCATTCGTCAGTCGCGGGTCGCCAGCGAGTTGCCAGCGGTTGGCGTTGGTGCGACAAGGCTTGCAGCCTGGCCTGTTTATGCGCCGACCGAGGTCGGCTCGAGGAGATCGTTGCCAAAGTCGTCGACGGAAGAGGCGGTGGGCTTGCGGCGGCATGAGGGGCAGCAAGGGTTCCAGCCTGCGAGCGAGCGCGGGAGCGGGGCGAGGGTGATGGGGGCGAGGCGGCCGGGCCACCAGTTCCAGTCGCCAAAGAACGACATGATAGAGGGGACGAGGAAAGTGCGGACAACAAAGGTATCGAAGAGGACGGAAAAGACGAGGTAGAAGGCCAGCTGGTTGATGACGGCGACGTTGGAGAGGAGGAGGCCCGAGAAGGCGATTGCCATGATGATGCCAGCGGCGGTGATGATGGAGCCTGTGCGCGAGAGGCCTTTGATGGCGGCATCGCGGGTGGCGAGGCCAGTGGAGCGGTACTCTTGGACGCGTGTGGTGTAAAAGATGTCGTAGTCGAGGGTGATGCCAACGACGATGGGGAAGACGACAACAGGTGGGAGCCACTCGATCGAGCCGAACGAGTGCAGGCCCGGGATGTGGGTCCACTCGAGGAGCGAGTACTCGTAGGTGAGGGTGGCCATGCCGTAGACACAGATGATGGTGAGACCGATGGTGAGGACGGCGCGAAGCGGCATAAGAACGGAGCGAAAGGCGACGCCGACCATGACGAGAACGACGCCTGCGGTGATGGAGATCATGATGGGGAACCAGTAGTACGCCGACTCAATGGCGGACCACGAGCCGGCGGGCATGCCGGCGAGGTAAAAGTCGAGGCCGTGCTTTGCAGAGAGGCCGTTGAGCGAGGTGCGCGCCTCCTTGTACCAGGTGTGGCCAAAGCGCGAAATGGGGTCAAAGAGCGGAGTAAACTCAAAGAGCATGGCGTGAGCGTCAGAGGAGACAAAGGTCTGCTGCGCAGTGCGGAGGCCGCGACAGTCGGACGAGTTGTAGGCCTCGCCGGCGGCGTCGTTGCAGATTTCAAGGAGCGCGTAGGGGATGGCCTCGCCGTTGGCATAGGCGACGCCGGTAAAGTCAGACGGCTGGGTGTTGGGCAGCCGCGAGAGAGTGTTGACGACGTCGTGTGCGGCTTTGAAAAAAGGCGTCGAGAGCACCGAGGTGTTGCCCGGCGCCTCGATGAGGATCCAGTAGGGATAGACCTTGCCGTAGCCAAACTCACCGCACATGTCGAGGTAGGCGTCGGTGACTATCGAACCGCGCGGAAGGTCGAGGTCGATGGCGTCCGACGGCGAGTAGTTGAGGGCGTGCATATCAAAGGGGATGGTGGCGGCGACGACGAGGATGAGGATAATGACGTTGTAAGGCCATGACTGAGTGAGGTGGCCAATCTTGTACCAGAGCGAGCGGCGGACCTTGGTCGAGTTGACAAAGGCATGGTGCTCCTCAGCCTCGACGGCAGAGAGCGACGAGGCGGCGAGGCCCGACGACGGGACCGGGATCAGGCCCGGACGCAGAGGATGGCGCCCAGCTCCGCGAGCCGATGGCCCGACAAGGCGGGCGCCGATTGGGGGCGAGGCGACGGCTTTCGGTGAGGCCTCAAAGGCCTTGAGGGTAGCAAGGAGCGGCTTGTTCTCGGCAAGACCCGAGGTAGCGAGGCGGCGCGGCGACGACGGCGTGGAGCTTGCTGGGCTAACACCCTGGGTCGGGGTGCGGAGGCTGGCGCGGACGCCAGCCGGCGCAACGACAACAGCGTCGCTCCCGCGGGCCGGCGGGCTCGAGCTCCGCGACGCAGCGCAAAGCGAGGTCCAGAACCGGCCGGCGCTGCGCCACGAGAGCGGCTCGATGCAGCGCGAGAAGAAGCTCGGAAAGGTGAGGAGAAGCGCCGGCGTGAGCGACATGTTGACGAGCAGGGTGATGGCGATGGCGACGGCGCAGCCGACGCCAGTCGAGACCATGAGGTCGAGCGGGAAGATGACGAGGCCAAGGAAGCAGACCATGAGAGTGAGACCCGAGACGACAATGGTGTGGCCAGCAGTGGAGAGCATGACAATGACGGCGTCGTGCGACGAGTGGCCGGCGCGGATAGCCTCGGCATAGCGGGTGAGGAGGAAGAGCTCGTAGTCGATGTTCATGGCAATGAGAATAGACATCATGAGCGACGGCACAAACGAAATGATGTCCAGCGTCTGCGCCACGCCAGTCATGATGGCAAACGAGACAAGGGCCGAGGTGGCGATGGCGGCCAGCGGCAGGACCATGAGCCTCGCCGACTTGAGGATGTAGGCAAGGACAAGCATGGCGAGCGGCATAACAATGCCGTCCATGAGGCCCATGTCGCGCTCAATCGATGACTGCATGAGGGGCATAAAGGCCGGCAGGCCGATGAGGACCACGCCGTACGGGCCCGCAGGCCGGAGCTCGGTCAGCTTGCGCTGCAGGAACTGGGCGTAGAGGACGGCGTCCGAGTCGGCAAACGGAACGTTGATGTCGATGGTGATGATGGTCGACGCGTTGCGGGCGCCAACCAGCTCATCGGCCATGACAGGCGGCAGACCCTGGGCGAGGAGGCCAAAGTACGAGGCGTAGCCCTGAAGACACGGCGTGCCGCAGTAGTCGGGCGTGTAGGCGCTGACAACCGAGGCGAGGGCGGCGTCAAAGGCGGCGATGGCCGGGTCGAGGGCCGACACGCTCCCGCTGTCGGCATAGACGTAGACCACAAACGAAGAGTCCATGGGGTTGAGCCGTGGAAAGTGGCCTGCGAGCGCCTTGTTGGCATGTGCTGCCTGCGACTTGGCCGGCGGGGTAAAGGTGTTGGTGGTCGAGGTGATCAGCCGTGGGCCGAGCCAAGCCGAGACGCCCAGTGCCAGCAGCCAGAACACGAGGATGCCGACCCTCGTCTTGTGCACTGCAGCCGCGTAGGCCCTGGCCACCCTAGCCATGGTGTTGCAGCAGAGGAGGAGGTGGGCGGGGTGGGTGGAGTGTGGGGTGCGGGTGCGGGTGTGGAGCGGGCAAGGCAGGGGCAGAGGGCCTCGCACTCGCACATGGGTCCGGCATCACTCTCCGGGGCAGAGGTCGGCCTATTCGCGTCACCTGCAAAAAGAAAGGGCATGGAGGGGAGTTTGGCAAGGGGGAGGACGAGGGCGAGGGTGAGGACCACTTGTCGACTTTACTTTTTGCTCCGAGACTGTGCTGATATGAAGGTTGTGATTGCTGTGGCTGTAGCCTGTGTGCTGGCGCTTGCCTTTGGCGGCGCGGTTGCCCAGCCGCGTGTGCAGACACCAGCGCCGTTGTTTGAGGCTGACGCTGTGCTCAACAAGGAGTTTGTGCGGGTCTCGCTGGACGACTACAAGGGTAAGGAGGAGGGGGAGGGGGAGGGGGAGGCCGAGGTGTGCATGTCGTACTCACGTTGGCGATTTGACTGCTCCTGATCGGTGGTTGTGCTGCACTGCGCTGCGCTGCACTGCGCTGCGCTGGACGGGCGATCTGTGGTGGGATCACAGGCAAGTGGGTGGTTCTCTTCTTCTGTAAGTTGTTCGTGTGGGTCGTGGGTCGTGGGTCGTGGGTCGTGGGGAGGTGGAAGGAGGGGAAAGTGGATTGGTACTCACGAGTAATACTGCGGTCGATGTGTTGTGGGGACTGGTTTCCAACATGAACAGATCCTCTCGACTTTACCTTTGTGTGTCCGTCGGAGATCATCGCGTTCTCGGATGCGTACAAAGAGTTTGAGGCGCTGAACACGGCGGTGCTCGCGGCTTCGGTCGATTCCAAGTTTACCCACCTTGCGTGGCTCAAGACCAAGCGGACCGAGGGCGGGCTCGGCGACATTGCGTTCCCGATCATCTCGGATCTCGAGAAGAAGATTGCCGACAAGTACGGCGTGCTTATCACCGAGGGCGAGGACGCCGGCGTGGCGCTGCGCGGCCTGTTCATCATTGACCCGGAAGGCATTCTCCGCCAGATCACCATTAACGATCTTCCGGTCGGCCGTTCGGTCCACGAGACTCTGCGTGTGCTCAAGGCCTTCCAGTTTGTGCACAAGGCGGGCGACAACACCGTGTGCCCGGCTAACTGGCAGGAGGGTGCGCGGACGATGAAGGCCGATCCCGAGGACTGCAAGGAGTACTTCCGTGCCGTCTTTGAGGATACCGAGTAGCCGTCTCACGTAGTAGGCGAGCCAAAAGGCCGCAAAGATATGCCAGCAAAGATCATCTGCATTGCAGCCACATGGAGGTGGCCCGGTACAGATCATGACGTAGTTTGCCAGGCAAAAAGTGGGAAGAGTTGCGAACAGCGGCACGAGGTGGCGTCCGACGGCCGACCGCCGCCAGCCCCCCCACACCGCCACTCGCCCTCCCTCCCGCCCCACACGGGCCACTCTTCTCCCGCTCCCCTACACCACTTGACACACCCACGTACAGTATACACACACACACACAAACACACACGAAACACTCGCCAAACGTTTACAGAGGGAATGATTCGGACGGCCGCCACGCTGGCAGTGTCGCTGCGGCACGCGCCAGCCGTTGTGGCGCCGCCAACGGCAGTCGCGTCGCTGGCCGGCATGGCGCTCGCGTTTACGCCGGTGGAAGCCGAAGAGCAGGCGGCGACGTTTGCATGGGGGCCCGGAACAGGGACCGGGCTCACAGCCTTTGCCGCGCACGAGGCCCTCGGTCTTGTGGCATACGCGCCCAACTGCGCCAACCCTGCGGTGTATGTACTGGCGCACCCGTCTCTCGATGTGCTGGCGACGCTCGAGGCCTCATCGGAGCTCACGGTCTCGGCGCTTGCCTTCTCTCCATCGTCCGAAGTGCTCGCAGTGCTCTCGCATCCGCCGCATCCGGTGCTCACGCTCTGGAGGTGGCAGACCGGCGAACGGCTGGCGAGCGTCGTGGTCTCCGATTCGGTCTTTCCCGCACTTTCGCAGCCGTATGCCCGGGTGCTCCCGCGGCTGATCTTTGACGTGGCCGACGAGACCCGGCTGGTTATTGTTGCCAACGGCTCGCTTGCTCTCGCGCAGTACGAGCAATTCAATCCGCCTGCGCTGCGGGCTGTGGTCCGCGGCCTCGAGCTGAACGATGGGCACGAGGTGCAGGCTGCGTGCTGGGCCACTGGCGGGACGCTCATACTCGGAACGGCCGGCGGTGCGCTGCTCGCATGGCCACTGGTCGATGCTGGTGACGGAACTGCTGTCGCCCCCATGCTTCTGGAGGAGGCTGTGGAAAGTAATTCCGGCGGCGTCGCGGCCGTGGTCTTCACCGACGACGAGACGGTGGTGACCGGCGGCGCCGACGGTGTACTCCGATGGTTCACCCTCAGCCGCAATGAGGCGGACGGTGAGGTGTGTGGAGCAACGGTCACCGGTCTTCAGTCGCTTCCGTCATCGGCAGCCATTGCGCACGTGATTGTTGCCGAGACGTCGAGCCACTGGGTGGTGGTCAACACTGCCGGCGAGACGTACATGCGGCGGGAGGCCAACAGCGACTTTGCGCTGGTGGCGTCTGGCGTGACGCAGCCCGCAACGGCGCTGGCTCCGTTCCCGACCACCCATGCTGTGGCATTGGCAACAGCAGCGGGCACTATCTCAGTGTGGAACTACGTCTCGGGCTTCCACATCTCAAGCACACGGGTGGACGATCCGGTGTCTGTACTGGGCCACGCGCCGCTCGCGCCGCTCCTTGCCGCTGGGTCGTACAATGGAGTGGTGCGGCTGTTTGACGTGACCGAGGCGACGGCGGCCATGGCGCCGCCGCGGCTTGTCTTCCGCCGCCGGCTCCACGCCAAGGCTGTCACCACCGTGGTATTCTCGCCGGATGGGCGCTGCATGGCAAGCGGTGGCATCGACGGTCGCATTCTGGTTGTGGTCCTCGACGCCAGCTCGGAAACCTTGGCCAGCGACGCCTTTCCGGTCCTCCGCTCGGTCGAGCTGGGTTCGCCGGTGGTGAGTGCGCAGTGGAGCACGGTGCCAAATGCGGGCGGCAGCAGCCTGCTTGTGGTCACCGCTGCAGGCAACGTGGTCGAGGTCCGCGGAGCTGATGGGCCTGCGCAGACCGCGGTCAGCCTCGTGACGATGAACCCGGACTTTCCGGTTGTGGCGGCGCTGCGTGCGCCGAGCAGCTCGAGCCGCGGACGGTTGGGCGGGAGCGGCAGAGGCTCTGTCTTTGCGCTCGCCATGGACGGTGCGTTCAAGACGTACACGCTGCCGGAGCGACAAACCGACATCACGCCGGCCAACGCCGAGTATGCCGGGCATGCCAAGCCTGGCGGCGTGCTAAGCCTCGCGCCCAACAGCGAGTGGGTGGCGACAGGCGGGTCGGACGGGGCGGTCATGCTACGGCCTGCGGGCGAGCTGGGAAAGGCGCCTATTTCGCTAGTTCGACATGGTTCTGCTGCGCACGGCGTGGGTGTTCTGGCCTGGTCGTACGACTCGCAGTACTTGTTCTCGGCCGGGCCCGACGGTGGAGTTTTTGCCTTTGTCGTCTCATACCCGTCGTGGTGGTCGGTACCGGAGAGCGAGGTGCCTGCGCTGGCAGGCCTCGCGCTCTTGCCGACACTCGAGGCCGACTCTGCACCGACGGCGTCCGAGCCGGATGTGGTGGTTGCCGAGGCGCTAAAGGTGGCCAAGGCCGAGGCGCAGCAGAAGCTCGCGGTCAAGGCTGCACGGCTGACGCGGGTGAGTTCGCTCCAGACCCGGTTTCAGGTCATTCTCGACGCCAACCGTGCTGTCTTGCCGATCGAGCAGCTGGAGGAAGAGGCATTTGTGGTTGACCCCGAGTGGGTTGCGCTGACGCTCAAGGCCGGCGACCAGGCTGCGTTTCTCGAGTCTGAGCGGCTGCGGTTTGCCAACATTAACGTGGACGCCGCGTGTGCCGCGATCATCAGCTCGTGCTGGGAAGCGATGTCCGAGGCCGGGCTCCGGCTGAAGGGCTTTGACACCCCGGTGATTGTGGCTTCGTACCCGCTGCCGCGCTCGACAGCCGAGGGCGAGCGTGCGGTGGCGAAAATCCGCGTCCTCCGCAGAGTGGAGCTTGCGGCCGAAGCAGCAGCCGAGGAGGAGGCGGCCAAGGCAGCAGCGTCGGCGGTGAGCAACAATAGTCCCAATGTCCGCCCGCCACTGGGCTCTGCGCCGCCGCCGTCGCCGCTGGCGGCACTGCGGCACCCGCAGCGGCGCCGACGGGCGTCTGTCATCTCGCTTGGGCTCCCTTCGGGCGGCTCGGGCGCCGGCTCGGTGGGCTCGCCGGGCTCGGAGCTCGGCTCGTCGTTTGACATGGAGAGCCAGTACTCGGATGACGGCGAAGGAGTGACCAAGAGCTCACTGCTGTACTCGCCGTTCCAGCTCAACACGCGCAACCGGCAGATTTCGCAAATGCACATGCTCCGGCACCGGATCCGGGCCACCAAGCGCAAGTTCAACGCCGAGGCGAGGCGTGTGCTCAAGGCCAAGGCTGCAGCGATTTCGGCGATTGAGGAGCGGAATGAGCGGATTGCCGTCATTCTGAGTGAGCTTGACGAGCCTGGCGAGGTGGTGACTCCTGCGCTTTCTGCTGAGGAGATGCCGTCGTCGGTGCTGAGCGTGAGCGACGCTGAGATGGGCATCGAGCGGTTTGTGCCGCCCGAGGAGGTGGCTGCCGCCGAGGCAGCGCGTGCTGCCGAGGAGGCGCGGCTGCTGCTGGAGCGCGGTGACGACTCGGGCGAGCGTGCGCTGGAAGAGATGATGTACGGCAAGGTGGAGGAGCGGACCAAGGACGCGCTGCAGGTCTCGCTGGAGCGCCCCGAGTGGATGGACAAGCCGACGACCGAGCTGACTGAGGAGGAGGTGCGAGCGGTGAAGGAGTTTGAGGCGCGGGTGCAAGAGGCACAGGAGGAGGCGCAAAAGTACCGCCGGGCACTCGAGACCGAGCTCAAGAAGCTGCGGGTGGCAAATGCAGAGGAGCGCGCTGGGTTTGACGCTACCCTCGCGGAGCTGTTTAACGCACGGCTGCGAACCGACATGTCTGTGTGTGAGGACGAGCTGCGGATCATCAAGCTCGCCAGCAGTCTGCTGCAACGGTCGCGCGACGCCGGGCGCGAGGCTGCGCTTGTTGACGAGCTCGAAGGCACGCGCGTGGCTGCGGCGGACGCAGCCCACGAGCTTGCCGAGTTTGAGGCGATTCTTGACGCGGCTCGCGGCGAGTACGAGGCCGCGCGGGCCGAGGAGGCTGCGCTCGAGCGCGAGTTCAAGACCTCACTGGCCGGGGAGGACTTTCACCGTAAGGCACTGTTCGAGGTCTTCCGCGGACGGAGCTCGGGCGGCCGGCCGAGGTCTCAGACGCGGTGTGGGACCGGGTGTGGACGGCGCGCGAGGAGCGCGCTGAGCTCGACGAGCACGTTCGGCGGTGCGGAGGCGTGGTGGCCAAAGTCCGAGCGCAGGTGGCCGAGGTGGAGGCGCAAGCAGGCGAAGCGGCGCAGGCGATGGACGCCAAGCTTGCGGAGCTCAACGCGTTCCGTGAGGAGCGTGCGCGGTCGTTCCTCAATCTGGAGATCCAGCTGACGCTCAAGCAGGGCCAGGACGAGGCAAGCTTGGGGCGCAACGTCATGGTCGATCGCTCGCTAGTGGAGCGACTCAACACACGGATCCGCGAGCTCGGCGAGGCAAGGCTTGGCATTCTGGAGGAGATCAAGGATGTCAAGGCGCGGGTGGCACTCGTCGAGTGGGAGGTTGCCAAGAACGCGCTCGTCTGTTCCGAGATTGCGGACGAAATCCGCGACTTTCAGCTGCTGCGGGTGACCAAGTCGCTGCAGGAGCTGATCAAGGGTGGCGGAACCGACAAGCGCGCCACCGAGGTGGCCAACCTGGAGCGGCGGCTAGCAGCGGCGGCGGCCAACCACGAGAGCCGCCGCGCCGAGCTCGGCACGCAGCTTGGGCGAGTCCAGGCCGCAACCGCTCGGGTTCGCGAGGAGAACGCGCTGCTCGAGTCGCGCGAGCGCGAGCTGGTCGCCGGCGTTGAAGAGCGCCGCCGCATCGCCTCTGTCCAGGCCCAGCGCGAGGATGGCGGTGCTTCGGCCCGCGAAAAGCGGGTCCGCGCCAAGCGCCGCCTCGTTGAGCGCCTCAAGATGGGCAAGGCCGAACTCGAGCGGCTGCAGGCCGAGGCGGACATTGTCCGCGCCAAGGTTTGGCCGCGGCTGTAGGTGTGTGTGGATAAAACACGGTAGCGTTTTAGGAAAGGGTTGGCGGCCAGTTGGACGCCACTACTACACGCTTGATTCAGACGGGTCGAGGGCTGAAGACGAGGCTGACGCTGATACGACGTCGAGTGGAGGGTCTCGGGCTACGGCGCGAGCGCGCCGAGAGTGCCTCGCATAGCCAAAGGCAGCGGAAGCGGCGAAAGCGATGAAAACAACGGCAGCGGAAGCGAGAGCGACAATACTCGAGGTCGACGAGAGGCCAGAGGGCTTGGAGGCGTTGGCTTGGTTGTCATCAACGTTGGAGACCGAACCCTGGACGTTACCTGTGGCGGCGACCGGGCTGACCGGCGACGGCAAGACTGGCGTTGTCGCGGGCGCGATGCAAGAGGCGCGAACGACGACGATGCGGTTTTTTGCATCGAGGTCAGAGCATACTGAAGCCGATGACGACGCGCTCCCAGAGCCGAGAAGTACAGCAAACGAAGTGCGGGTGGTCTTGGCGGGCGTTAGCGGGACCGAGGTTGTGTACGCCACCTCATACTTGAAGCAGTCGACCGAGAGGCACGAGACGGAAAAGAGGGTGAGCGAAGCATCATCGGCAACCACAAGATTTCCCCCGTTAATTATGCCTCTCGATGTGGTAGGCGAAGCCGACGCGGTGCGCGTCTTGGAGATCGGGGGGGAAATCAAAAGGGTGCCCGGCTTGAGCTGGCGGAATGAGTTGACGGGAACGGTGACGCGGAAGATGTCGGGCAGCGACGGGTCGGCGTGGACGGTGAGGAGCACGGCCGTGCCAGGCTTCTTGGTTGCGTCATCACCATCAACAGTGCCGTGGACGGTGACGATGCTCGGGCCAAAGACGGTGATGCCGCCCGGGTTGAAGCCGGGATCGAGGTCGGTTGAGACGACGGCGACATAGCGGTAGGAGGACACAACCCGCTTCTTAATCTTGCCACGGCGAATAAAGGCACGGGTCCCGATCTTGATCGGCAAAGCTGTCTTGGGCGGTGGGGTCTTGAGCACCTCCTCGTCAGTGACAACAAAGGCGTAGACTTGTGGAGTCTTGCTGAGAGTGTCGATGGCAAGGGCGATAGTTCCGGACTCTTCCTCTCGCACCTCGGCGGCATCGGGCTTGTCAAGGTCGACAAAGGCTGAGAGCAGCCGTTTGTCGGACGCATCTATGGGGGCGAGCAAGAAATGGACGTCGCGTGCGCCCGTACCTGCCTCCATGCCGACGATACCGCGGGAGCGGGAGCCGTAGTCGCCATAGTCGATGTCAAAGAACGAATCGATGGTGCAACAATCCGCGCGAGTGTGGGTCTGGGCCCGGGAGCGAGAACGGGCGGCGAGCGACGAGATGGTGATGGCGATGACACGGGGATGCCAGACGTCATCGAGCGGGGACGGCTTGGACTTGGTCGTGCCAAGCTTGCGGCCAAGGAGAGTGGTGGCGACGAGGAGGGTCGAGCCGTCGCCGGAGAGACGGCACCACGCGCCGCGGGTCTCACCCTTGAGCTTGGTGTCGGCGACGACGACGTTGGCCGAGTTGCGGACAACGATCGAAATGCCGCCGCGCTTCTTGCCCTTGCCGAGGATGTTGGTGCAGGTGATAACGCTGCCAGGGCCAAACGTTGGCGAGTCGTACGTGAGGGTCGAGGGCGAGTCAATGCGCGAATCGGGTGGAGCTGTTTGTTCGGCCACAAAAGTGGTAGGTACGCCGGGGATGCACGCGCTCGAAGTCGGTGGGACTGACGGCGGGTGAGCTTTCGAGTCTTTGGACGACTTGGACGACTTGGACGACTTGGACGACTTGGACGAGGGTTTGGACGAGGGTTTGGACTGGGTGTGGTCAGTGTGGGCGCGGGAAAAAAGGGGAAAAAACTGACAGCGTGGGCTCGCATCTGCGTGGATGAGTGCAGGACAAAGCCTGCGGGTGGTGGCGGGCGAGAACGGGGCAGGATGGGAAGGGAATGGATGAGGCATGGGAAAGAAAATGGAGTAGCATACGCTTTTGGCTGTCTCCTTGCCGATGGGGGTAGGACTTGCGGTGAGGGGAACATAGCGGGGCCTGGTGGGCGCGGCTGCATCCTGGGCGAACAAAGACGACGGGCGCGCATTTTCTGCCGCGGCAGCGGCAACAAGCAGCAAGGCGACGAGGGCTAGCGCCACAAGAGCAGGCGGAATAGAGTGCATCGTGGGTGGCCTTGGCTGGTGAGCTGGAGTGTGTAAAGGGTCCTGTCCGCGAATTCAAGTCGAGACAAGAGTGGCCACGCTGCAATAGTGAGTAGGCTACAAGTGCCACCGGACCGTCACACGCGATTTTACATTGGCGAGTGAGGGTATGGGTGTGTGCACGTGGACTGCCAGTTGCGGCATTGTGTGCATGCCCCAAGTGGACATCAAACGGATCCGAGTTGATCACATATAGACACATGGAAAGAACGCCGCAATTCAGGCGACACGCGCACGAAGAGTTGACTTCTGTTGCCGCGACGGCTACGAGTCGCTAACACTCGCGGCCGGCTGAGCGAGACGAAGCGGCTAACACCTTACTCCGCTAAGAGCTCCGATGGCGTCGACACAGTCGGCTCTGACGGAGCGGGAACTCACCTGCCCACCCTTTCTGATGATGATGCGCGACGACGACGACGGGCGCCATCTGGGCGCCCAATTCTTGCCTTGATATCGTGTGTACGCGAGCCATCGAACAGCGCTCACGTACACGCGGTTGACTGTGCCAATTGGCACGATGTGCTGGCAAAGATGGTCAACACAGTAAATGCAAGGAACTCTCCAAGCCGTCGAGCCAGCGGAGTGACCGCTCGGCCGGCCAACAGAGAATGTGAGTGAACCGGTGCCAAAAGCAAGCAATGAGTGTGCCCATCTGCGGTGTGGATCCCCTCTCGAGAGCTATCAAAGCTCATTGGTTTTCTTTGGACAACATGTCGATTGGGAGCGTGCTGCTATTGCGGGAGGTGGGCCAAATCTTTGCCCTCGACTGTGGCCTCCTGGTGGTGGCGCACACGCAACTAACGCTGACGGCTGGCCGGTCAACTCTCGGCGCGATGTTAGCCCGAGACTAGAAGCCATCGGCCGAATGCGCCCGTGGCAGACATGTTCCTTGCTGCCACCATACTGTAAGAGTTCGACACTCGATGGGTAGCCTTTAGCGGCCTCTCGCCTGCTGTTTGTCTCAACATCAGTGCCGGCGGCGCGCGTTCATCGGTCGACTCCAAGCTGCGGAGCATCATCCGCCAGTCCTGGTGTGTCGCCGCGAGGCAGTGAGCAAGTGCCGCTGATGTGCTGGAGACACAGGAGACGCTGAATCGGGTATGAGACAGGTCGAGGTAGTTGCTCGGCGCCGAGCAGTGTGGCGGATCGGCTAATAGTTGGCACTTCTGAGAGCGGCAGGCTTGGGCGAATGCCTACGCGTGCTCCCACAACACCGCACTCCAACGAAAAAATCTGATGCAGCCTCACATCGCCAAGGTGAAGGAGGGCGTCAAGGAAATGAATCCCACGGTTGTGGCGTGGAAGCCGTTTGTTGCCCTCCTTGTTTCTGTCCTCACTTTTATCTTTATCTGCGTCGGTACGCTCTCGCTCTCTTCGGCCGTGTTGAGCCAGTTGTCAGACCGCGGTGCTCATGTGCGAGACAGGCGCCTGCGTGGCACCGCCCCCCCCCCCCCCTCCTGTGAGGCCACTCTAGGTGCGAGTAGGGTGAAGGATAGCGAACGTACCTTGGAGAGCAGCGTGAGAAGCGAGCGTACTTACAAACGGGGGAGGTACATGTGTTGCGGTGGAGAGCGCAGCTATGGGTACGCTGGAGTGGGTGAAGTTTGACGATGGCCACGTTGGCCTGTTCAAGGGCTGCGCCAAGGGCGTTGGCTGCAAGTCCATCTCGTACTTTGAGAAGCACTACGACTCCAAGTACAAGAAGTTCCGGCACGGCGGCGGCGCGGCGTTCACCTTTCTCTTCTTTGGCTTTCTCGCGCTGATGGTGGCGCTGGCGGCCAATGTGGTGGCCATCTGGGAGATCTTCACGAACGTCATTTCGCTGGAGCAGGCGCGGTTGACAGCGATGGTGGGCTACTTTGCAGTGGCGGGCAACGTGGCCTTTGCTTGGTTCCTCTATCTGTGTGTTGTGGGCAAGCCAAAGGTGAGCGGGACCAAGGGCAAGTACTCGACGGGCTTTGGCATGGCGTTCATGACCATGATCTGGGGCATCGTGTCGGCCGTGTTGATGCTCTTCGAGCGGAAGGGCATGTACCACGTTGGCGGGCGGCGGTTTTCGCTCAAGCAGAGGCAGTTTGTGCCCGACGGTGACACGCAGGGTCTTGCCGACAAGTCGGCTGCGCATGGTGCGACAGCGTACGGCGCAACCGCGTCTGCGACGACCAACGCGACGCCGTACACGCCTGCGACCGCCGCGTCGCCCTAGAAGTTACTTGTTAAGGGGTAGGATGTGCTTGACGTGATGCCGATGCCGCTCTTTGCAGTAAACGATGGCGAGCTCGATGATGGTGACGAGGCAACGATTGATCTCTCGAATGATATTGATAGTTTCCCAATGACGATTGTGTGCGCCACATAGTAGATCAAAGTATAACGCTGCTTGCGTTCGATAACTGAGTACTTGGAGCATCCGTACTTGCTGAGTCACTCTTAAGGGATGACTACAAGCGTACTGGGGGTGAGGAGGAAGGTTTGTGGTGACTCCTCGCGCTTGCCACGACTGATGTAAAAAATCTTTGCGAGTTGCACCTAAAACGCTGCAAATACTTGTTTTATATAATTCTGTAAAGAATAGTATAACTTTTTTGACTTTGTACAATTGTATTTATACTGTTATATTTTTACGTTGTAAATATATATATGTACATATATATATTATGAGAGTGTCGCGTTTCGGGGATAGCATCGCGTCTTGCATCGCGTCTTGGGGATACCGTTCCGGGAACGGTCGCAGAACACTGGCGCCCAGGACCGTTCCAGGAACGGTCGCAGGACCGTTCTGGGACCGTTCTCAGAACGGTCCCGAACTAGGCCTTTAGCACCCTTCTCCCCTCTCCTGTCCGCATGCCGCAGTCTTTACGGAATCCCCTTGTGTACAAGTTGTAGGAATGTCGTGGGTACACACATGCCAAGTGTAGACCCTATGCGCTGCGCATTGCGCATGCCAGGCGTCGAAAACCGCGCGGGCGTCGCGCGGGCGTCGTGTTCAGCCGCCCGCCACTGGCCACGGCGAACGGGAACGTTCCCACAACGTTCCTGGCGATCGCAGAGGGCGCGGATGATTGCGTCGCAGACAGGCCCGCAGCCGATGCGCATCTGCCTGCAGAACTCATAGTCGACGCGCTGCTTACTTTGACCATGCAATCCGCCCTGTAGCGACGACGCGCAGATCGGCACGGCTCGTTCTACAACTAAGTTGTGATGCATGTTTACGGCGACCCAGTTCCGCGTGACCACGACTTGCTGCGGGCGGACCTGGTGCGCTGCAGCAGGAACGGCGGGTTCGGCCACTCGCTCGGTAGCTTGCCGACCGCGGCCCCGTGCTCCTCCGCTTTCAACGATTCGACGAGAGCGATCCACTCGCTCTGTCTGCCATTGTCGACGGCTTGGTACAGCTCCATCACGCCACCCAACGCAAATACGTCGTGCGCAACCGCCATGCTGGCTGTTGAGTTGACACAACCAGGCGCGCGTGACCCGTCGCGCACCACACGGAGACGTGCCGGGTACACGGTTCCGACCGGCCGCGCAAGGTCAAAGTCAATGAGGTAACCTTTGCCGTTGTTGCCAAAGACAACGTTGCTACGGCGGACGTCGCCATGGACAATGCCCGCGGCATGGAGCTTCTTCAGCCGGGCCGCCACGTCGTCAAAGTGGGCCGTAGTCACGCCCGTGTCGTCGACCTCAACATCGGTCACAGCCTTGGTGACAACGACAGCAACATGACCAGGTAGCGCCTCGACCGTCTCGTTGTGGGGCCCGTGGAGAACGGTGAACGCTTTGTCGACCACCATCAAGCACATCCGCAGCTCGGGCGACGCAATCGTCCACGCATCCAGGTTCGGCCAGCGGCAGGAGGAGGGGCGGAACCACTTGAAGACAAATCCGGCGACAACCGCCACGTTGGGCCCAAACTGCTGCGGCGCAAGGCTTGGGTCCGCCAGGCGCTTGACCATGATCTGGGTGACCTCGGACATCGAAACTGCAAAGCCGGCCACAATGTCCACGTACGATGTGAGCGAGTCGGTCTTGAGGAGGCCCACAGCTACATGCTGCACCTGGTTTTCGCCGACAAGGTGAGCTGCAAGTTGCAGCGAGATGTTGGCGCCGGAGTTTTCCGGCGTGGGAAACGACCCAGAGAGTGAGAGGATCGAAATCACAGCAGGGTAGCCAGCAGCAGCCAGCCCCAACGCAGAAGCGTACGCCTCGACTTGTCCCCCCTTGGAGGAACTGCCGGGCTCAAAGATGCCAAAGCCGAGCTTGACCTGCTGGGAGTGGAGGCCCCAGAGTACGTCCGGCTGCGCGTTGCGGAGTACCGGGTGTTCGACCCACATCCACGTCCGCAATGGGCTTCGGTTGAACACAACAGCATCAGCACTGCGTGCGTCCGAGGAACTGGGATCATGCGAGTCTTCGCGGCTCTCGCGCGCATTCGTCACCCGAACCGGAATCTGCTCCAGTTGCGGGTTGGTCAGTTCTTTCTCCGCCTCGATCATCGCGGCAAGCAGCTCGGTTGCCCGACGGCTTGAGTCTGGACGCGACGACGACGACCCAGACTGGGCCAGCTCCGACGTGATAGCGGCCAAACGCGTTGTTGCGCGCTCGACTGATGTCGCGCTGGCGATGACCTTGTCGAGATCTGCTCGATGCTGCAAGCAAAAATCCAAAGCACTGGCCGTGTGCTTGGCCAGCTCCGTGTCACTCGGAAAGGAAGTCGAGATCTCGTCGCGAAGAAAGACGTACAGCGACGACGTGAGCTCCGAGAGGAAAGTGCGTTCGAGATGGAAGGTCTGCATTGGGTCAGCATCAAGCCCGACACACGGGCTAGAGCTGGAGGTGAAGACCAGAGGCCAGAGAGATTGGGTGATGTCACGCACAGCCTTTTGCGTAGCAGCCTGCAGGTTACCAACGCGGCTAAACATTCCCAGGGCGACGTTGTGGTCGAGCTCGACAAACTGGCGAGTGGGCGGAGAGGCAGCAGCGCCACTGCCGAGGTCTTCCGGCCCACTGGCAAGATCGGCCACGGACAAAGCTCCACTGCTTGCCGAAGGTGACTGGCTCTCCTGCTCCGGCCATCCAACCATCTTCAGGTGCCCGGTCACCAGCAGAGGGTAGAGTGCTGCCGGATCCGAGACCGGCGATAGGTGTGACGCAAAGCCCTTTGCCCTAGACTTGGAGGCCGCCCCGTGCGGCTGAATAATGCCGATCTGCGGGTGGAGCTTCTCGTTAGCCGGCGAGGCATGGGTCAGTTCTTGCGAGGCGAGTTTGAGTCGTGTCGTGATTGATTCGATCTCGGCCTCGCTGGCGCCACACGCAGTCGCTTCGCGCAGTTTGGCCTCGAGCATGACAACCTTGGCCTCGAGCACGACAACCTTGGCCTTGGCCACGTCAACCTTGGCCTCGGCCACGTCGGCATCCGTTGCGACTCCAGCATGCCGTGCGCCAATCACTGCCTCGTGCCTAGCCTCGGCCACCCCGACCTTGGCCTCGGCCACCCCGACCTTGGCCTCGGCCACGTCGGCATCCGTTGCGACTCCAGCATGCCGTGCGCCAATCACTGCCTCGTGCCTAGCCTCGGCCACCCCGACCTTGGCCTTGGCCACCCGGATCTCGGCCTCGGCCACCCCGACCTTGGCCTCGGCCTTGTCAACCCTGGTCTCGGCCTCGTCGACCTTGGCCTCGGCCACTTCGACCTTGGCCTCGGCCACTCCGACCTTGGCCTCGGCCACCCCGACCTTGGCCTCGGCCACCCCGACCTTGGCCTCGGCCTTGTCAACCCTGGTCTCGGCCTCGTCGACCTTGGCCTCGGCCACTCCGACCTTGGCCTCAGCTATGCGCACCTTGGCCTCGGCTATGCGCACCTTGGCCTCTGCTGCCTTCTCCCCCTTTCCCTCACTCATGCAGCTGTCGTACGCCGCCAGGGCAGAGTGGTAGTTCTTGTAGGCCGTTTCAACTCCCCTTCTTGCCCTGCATGCATCCTTCCGCGACCTGGCCGGTGAGTGTCTCCTCGCGGTGCTTCGCGCCAACTACGACCTTTTTCTGTACCCACTCACCCCTTGCCTTCCCCCATCCACTCCCATCCCACCCCAACCACCCCCCCACCCAGCCACACGAGCACCTACATGTCTTGGAGAAAATTCACACTCATTGTTCAACCATGAACGAGAGAGGAGTGGTGTGAGAGAGAGAGTGTGTGTGTGTATGTGCCCGGGGGTCTCGCGAGCCGCCTGATCGCCGCCTGATCGCCCGCCTCATCACCCGCCTGCTGCAAGAATTGCCACGCGACAAGGCTTGTCGCCTCGTGCCTCCATTGCCAGCCTTTTCTTCGTCGAAGGGGCATCACCAAGCTGGTGACCTGGTACGTAGCATATACGTGTCTACGAAGCGATGATCGTCGATGAGGGGCTTGTCTGGGAGAACTAGATCAAACAGCGCGACGCGCATGTCGCGGTTGTCGCCAAGAGGCGCAGAGCGTGGCTCGAGCCTGTTCGACAGTCTGAGAATGGTAAAGTAGTCGACGTCGTCAACAGTTGAGACCGGCTCCATGGCCGCGATCTCGTCGAAGATCTCGAGCGATTCGTCGTCGCGCATCAAGCGGATCGTCTGCTTATGCTCGACACCATCCTCATCCTCGTAGTACGAGATGAGAAAGTTGAAGGTGTCGACCCGCGGGCCGATGACATTGACTCCGAATGACTCGATAGCCGCAGAGGTGTGCGATCATTGCTCGCCAGCCGACGAACCATGCGTCGTGCGTCGGTGACCGTGTGGTGCCCCAGTGAGCACGACGTTGGCAGCTCGTGCATGGTCCCAGCTACTATGCCATTGGCTGCAAACGATGAGATCTCATCGACAAAGATGGTGACGAGCTTGTTGGTCGCTCCAAGAAAGACTGCGTGGCACAGCGCGGCCGAGCCATAGTGCTCGGCCGCGCCTGCAGTGCCATTGCAAGGACCCCTGACTGCCACACCTGGGCCACATGCCTGAGTTGCGAGAGCCGATGGGCTGGCGGCGCGCCCTGTCACAGAAGCACTCGCGCTGCACTGCAGCAGTGCAGCAGCTTTGCGTGGTACTGGGCGGTGGATGGTGGTTGGGGCGGGGAGCAACTACCGGCTCATGTCCGGCTGGCGAAACCGACCTTTACAAAAGAGCACTCGTGAATTTCGTGCACATAGCTGGGCCAGCCCCCGTTTGGGCGATTCCCCGTTTGGGGGCGCCAGCTCTCGCCCATAAAACCACCACCGGCCGTACCGGCTACGATACACGCATGCATGCATACAACCACATCTACAAATTTTACATGGCCACTGAGTATCACATCGTCGTTCTGGGCTCCGGCGGCGCTGGCAAGTCTGCCATCACCATGCGCTACCTGCACAACCACTTTATTCTCCAGTACGACCCCACGATCGAGGACTCGTACCGCAAGCAGGTGGTCATCGACTCGGACGCCTGCCTCCTCGACATCCTCGACACGGCTGGACAGGAGGAGTTTTCGGCTCTCTCTTCGCAGTGGATCCGCTCCGGTGAGGGATTTATCATCGCGTACACCATCACAGACTCGAAGTCGCTCGAAGAGGCCCGCGAAATCCAGGCCCGCACCCTGCGGGTGAAGGACGCCGACGCCGTCCCGACTGTCATCGTGGGCAACAAGGTCGATCTCGAGGACCAGCGCACAGTGAGCACCGCTGAGGGCGTCGAGTTTGCAAAGTCGGTCGGTGCCTCGTTCTTTGAGACCTCGGCCAAGGACAACATCAACATCCACGAGACCTTTGCCGCACTCGTCCGCGCCATGCGCGAGACTCGCGCCAAGGCCGCCGGCAAGCTGCTGCCCAAGTCCAAGCCCAAGAAACGGTGCGCCATTCTCTGAGCGCATCGAACGATCACCTCCTCTCTTACTCTTCCTTAATCCTCTGCACGTCTCTGTAAACGACAATGCTCCTTGCTCATTCTTGCTACTTTTGCTCCCACCGCTCGGCCGCCATCGAGCCGGGCACCGGCTCGTACCACTCCGGATGGTCAAGCGACGGATTATAGCGATAGTCCATGAACAGCTCAGCAGCGTCGACGTCAATGTCGCGAGTCGCGAGCATGACCATGCCCTGCTGGATGACGCCCAGCCCGGCTGTGGTCATCAGCGTCCTCTGCTTGCGCACGTACACGTTCGGAATGAATGCCCGGTGCGCGCCAGGCATGCTCTCCATAAAGTCAAAGCCCAGCCACATGACGTTTGGCTCGAGGCCGGTCGATGCCGCCGGGTGGTTGACAAAGTGCATGAGCGCAAACGGATTGACCCGCGCCTGCGCCGCCCCGGCGGCATGCACAAGCTGTGACTTGCCCGTCTGCTGCATCTGCCGCCGCTTGCGCAGCCGCAGCGCGAACTCGTCGGCCGAGATGCCCGCCCCGAACACGCCCTTGGCGTCGAGCACCGTGTTGTCGAACCGAGCCATCAAGTAGTCATTGTCCGCGTCGACATTGGGGAAGTTTGGCATCAGCCGCATGTCCAGCGGTGGGTACACAATCCCGGGGTAGAAGCCGAGCACAGTCCCGGCCTTGATCACCCCGGCCCCGCGCCGCTCGACAAACACGCCCAGCCCAGCCGCAGGATGCGCCACGCTCGACGGCTTCACAGTCAACGTCCACGGTGCACCGCCAGACTCCACCACCACGCTTCCAACCACCTCGCGCGGCGCGCTGTCGGCCTCGACGCCCATGTCGCCGCGCGCCGCAACAACCTGCTCAAACAGCGCGTCAACTTGCCGGCCCACCAGCTTAGCCACAACCTCCTTGAGCAGGCCCGGCGGTTGCGCCGCCACAAAGGCCGCCTCATCCTCACCTCCGCGCCCAACACCCTCGATCTCAACCGCGCCGTCGTGCGCCCGCACTGCTTCGCCTGCGCTCACCCCGGCCTGGTGTGTGGTAAGCACCAGCGCCCGGAACACGTCGTGCCGCTCGACCGCAGCACGACCGCCCTCTCCCGACTGCAGTCCTGTGGAGACCCGGTCTGCCAGCGCTCGCACCACCTTGTTCCACCCTGACCGCAATGCCTGCATCTCTGTACGCTTCCTCTGGAGCCAAGTGGGTCGCTCACAACAGCTGCCAGCTTCCATCTCGGCCTCGCGCCACCAAGCGTAGCTCACAGGCTCCACTCGTCCGCTCGGCAGCACATCGAATTGACATCGTTTACACCCAAGCGTTCGGGAGCGGCCGCGTCTCCGCCATCAGCTGCGCCATCTGCTGTGCCGCATGCGTCGTCGAGACGCCGCGGAACGGCCGCTGGATGGCCACAGGCGCAACAACAGGCGCAGGCTCGCCGGCGTAGGCCGAGGCCTTGTGCACCCGGTACTGAGCCTGGTAGCTGGAGACTGCGTGGAAAGAGGCATTGGGATCAGTGAGATGATCAGCTTCATGATGAAGGCTCGGCTCACTCACGCCCCGGAGCATCGCGCCCGTCGAGTCATCTGACGCCGCTGCTGCCGCTGCCACGGCCGCAAGCGCTTCCTGTGTTGTCGATCGGCCCTGGAATGGGTAGCCAGGGCGAAGAGGGGGCTCAGCCGGACTCTGACCAGCAGCAGATCCCACAGCTCCAGACGCGCCGCCGTCCGACGAGGTCGGCGGCGCCGCCAGCGCCCGTGGCGAATGCGCCGCCTGTGTCGCCGTTACACCGCGGAATCGGAGGCTCACGTCAACCGTCGGCCGGCCGTGCAGCTTCTGAATGGGCGCTCCAATCTGGGGATTGATTCTGCCAGCCTGTCCGCTTGCATAAGCGTCCTGCGTCGTTGTCCGCCCGCGGAATGGGAGCCTCGGCCGCTGAGCGGCGGCAACGGCCACCTCGGCGTCAACCTCGCCAACGTTGCCTGCCGTCTGCGTCACGTCGATGCCGCGGTACGCACGCGCTGTCTCAGAAACTCCCTTGAACGGGGCGCCCGTCTGTGTCAGATGGTCTGGCCGATGATGCAGAGCTTGTTTGTGCATGCTGCAAGCTCGTCAGCGTCGAGTCTGGTACTCCCTCTCACTAGTAGTCGACGGTTGCCACGAATCAGGCGATCAATGAATGTGCCACCCGCGTCGCCAGCAGAGTCGCCTACGTCCACCCACCCGCACGCTCGTCTCTACCGCACATGGCCTATTTTCAGCCGTACGAGCTCTTTTCAACCGAGGACCCGCTCAAGGCATGGGAGATTGGAGACAAGATCGGCGAGGGCTCGTTCGCCGTCGTCCACAAGGGTATGTCCGTGCTTCATCCCCCTTCCCTTGCGCTTTCCGCCAGCCTGTGCCTGGAGGCAGCCGTTGCGAATTTTCAAATTTAGTCCCCCCGCATTTCCCCCCTCTGCCCTCGTTCGACAGCCAACGTCATGCCTCACCCTCTCCCTCCCCTGCGCCCCTCCTCCTCTTCGGTCACCCAGTTCGCAACCGCGAGACGCGTGAAATTGCTGCCGCCAAGATCATCAAGTCTTGCAACACCTCGGCCATCAAGGAAATCCAAGCCGAGGTCGAGGTCATGATGCGCGGAACGTCACATCCCAATATGGTCACGCTTAACGCCACCTACAACCGCAACGGGAAGATCTGGATCATCATGGAGTACTGCGGCGGCAACTCGGTGTACGGCATCTACCAGCGTCTTCGCCGCCCGTTTACCGAGAACATGATCAAGTTTGTCATCCGCGAGTCTCTGCAGGGCCTCGATCACATGCACCGCTCCGGCCTCATCCACCGCGACATCAAGGGTGCTAACATCCTCCTCACCCATCGCGGTGAGGTCAAGCTCGCAGACTTTGGTGTTGCCGCTCAGCTGACTCACTCCCGTCAGCGCAAGTCGACGCTTGTCGGCACCCCCTACTGGATGGCGCCCGAGGTCGTGTATGACGGCGCCACCTACGACTCCAAGGCAGACATCTGGTCGCTCGGTATCACATGCATCGAGATGGCCGAGCTCAAGCCGCCCAACTCGTCCATCGACGCCACAACCGCCATGTACCTCATCCCCAACCAACCCTCACCCAACTTTGCCAAGCCCTCCCGTTTCTCGCCTGAGTTCCGCGACTTTGTCCGCCGTTGCCTCCACAAGAACCCGGCCAAGCGTCCGTCCGCTGCAGAGCTCCTTGCGCATCCCTTCCTCGATGGCGCTGTCATCGACGAGATGCAAGCTGCCGTTCAAGAGGTTCGCGGTGCAGGCTCTAAGGGCTCGTGGGCAAAGGCCCAGCGTGAGCTCGAGCAGGCCGCCGCAAAGGCTGCTGCCGTTGTTGCTGCCAAGGCCGCCGCAGATCTCGCCGCACAGAACGCCGCAGATTCAGACGCCGCCGCCGCGTCTACTGCTGCAACCACTGCCGCTGCCATTGCGTCCGAGCCTGCACTCGTTGTGCCGGCCGAGACTCGTGGCCCGGCCGTCTCTGCTGCGATCTCTGCTCCGTCCAAGGACGATCTCGCCGCCCAGCTCCGCTCGCAACTCGCCGCCGCCCGCGCCATGGAGCTTGATCTCATGCAGCAACAGCAGCAGTACCAGCAGGCCCAGCTTGAGGCTGCTCGCGCCCGCCGCGCCCGTGCCCAGGCCGACTCGGACGCTCGCCTCGCCGCCCGCGCATCAGCTGTCTCGTCGCCGTCGGCCGTGTCATCCGCCGGCCTCCTCCGTGAGCGTAATGCCTTTTCGCCGCGCGCCGCATCCTCCGCCTCGCCCAAGCACCACTCGCCTGCAAAGCTCGCTCATCGCTCCGCAGCCCATGCTTCCTCAACGCAGCAACACTTTATCCGAATGTGACAAAGCTCGTTATCCCTTTACGGTACGGTCGTTCGGACGCGTTGTCGCGCGTCTCAAAGTGAACAATTCAATGATGCTTGACTTCCAAATCACCGGCCGACGCTGTGCGACGCCTGCTTGGCCTGTGGCTTGAGGTGGGAGGCGCGCCCGCACGTGATGGCGGCCGACACGTAGACTCCCCCGCCTAAAAGATGCCCGAGTTGTCGTCGCGGTGACGGACGCCTGGGAGCATGGGGCGAGGCGCGCGAGGTGCCGTACAGCGCCGATCCGGAGGAGCGGTGGGCGCGAACGGTGCGGAGCTTGTCGTTGACGACCCCGACGACCGGGAGGGAGAGCATGACAGAGCTGACCACAGCGGCCGGACAGGAGAGCGGGAGGACGTTGCGGATCTTCTTGTGACGCACGAGCTTGCCGGTCGGCGTGGCCGCGCAAGTGGTGGTACGTCATCTTGGACGCCGCGCTCATCAACGCGTACGCGCTCTACGCTGATGCGAGCCCACGCCCCGCCATAACTCTCGTGGCTTTTCTCCCCGACATCATCGACACCCTCGCCGCCAGCGCCGACGCGGTCTGCTCGCGCCGCCGCGCAAGCGGAAGCGCACCTCTGCAGCGGCTGCTCATCATCATCACCACTCTCCCCAGCAAGCCGCTCTGCGATGCGATTGCCTCGCCTTCCGGAAGCTTCATAGCAAGCAATGGCGGCCGCGGACCTTTGCGCCGCGTGCGGCGTCCATCGCTGCATCGCCGACTGTTTTCTGTTGTGGCTCACCAGTGGCCACAGCAGCCATCAACACGTTGTACTGCTCTTTATTACCGCGATTGATGGACGTTGCGACGTCTGTGGAGCATCGCGGGTCACGGCTTGCGCGATGGACAAATATATCCGTAAAAGATAAACGCAAGCAATCTGCTTGTCTTCTTCTACGGCACAAAGCCGACCACGTCGCGGAGCGACGTCGCACCCGTTAGGAGCATCACAAGCCGGTCCAGCCCAAGCCCGAGCCCGACCGTGTTTGGCATGCCGTACGCCAGCGCGTTGCAGTACGCCTCATCAGGCGCAGGCACCTCTGGATCGGCGCTCACTCCGGTCTCAGTCTGGCCCTCGAACCGAACTAGCTGCTCCAGCGGGTTGTTGATCTCATTGTACCCGTTTGCTACTTCAACCGGTCCCAGAAAGAGCTCAAACCGATCCGCCACGCCAGGAGCATCCTCGCGCTCCTTGGCCAGCGGAGAGAGCAGCAGCGGATGGCCCGTCACAAACATCGGACCGGCAAGCCCAGCCTCCACATGTACTCCCCCAAGCTTATCCAGCAGCGCGCTTGCCGTCATTCCATCCGCTACGTTCTTGCTCACAGCCTCACACGCCACAGCCGCCTCGCGCAGCACCTTCCGCAGTTCGTCCGTTGGCAGCTCAAGATCAAGATCAAAGCCGAGGCCAGCGTTGAGCGCTTCCATGAACTCGACGCGACCAAAGGGCTCCGACGCCGCTACCTCGCCCGCGCACTCACTTCCGCCGGCCGCATCCAGAGCGGCCGCGTCAGCCGCAAAGCCGCGGACCATGTCCTCAGTCAGCGTCATGAGCTTGTCAAGGCCTAGCCGAGTTGTGTACAGCTCGGCCATCGAGAACTCGGGAAGATGTGTCGGATCCACGCCCTCGTTGCGGAACACCTTGCCGACCTCGTACACCGAGTCAAGGCCGCCCACCACGAGCTGCTTCAAGTATAGTTCCGGGGCAATGCGGAGGACCTTTTCGCGCTTGGTTGCCTCGTGGAAGGTCACGAATGGACGCGCCGTTGCCCCACCGGCCGCAGCGCCCAGAATCGGCGTCTCCACCTCGACAAATCCGTCGCCATCAAGCACCCGCCGCAGCCGCTGCAGCATCCGCGCCCGCACCCGCACCGCCTTGACAATGTGCGGTTGAAGTAAGAGCTGGCCCGCCCGCGGCATCGCTGCAAGACTCTCCGCCCGCCGCATGCTACCGGGCTCCGGCAGTGCCTCCGCCGTCACACACGGCGCCTCAACCCGCACCTCGGATGGAATGAGCGCAAGCTGTCCACGCTGTGTCCGGCTCGGCACGCCCGTCACCGCCACACAGTCGCCACGCGCAAGCACCTCCATCGCCCCGCGGAACGCCTGCTTCGGCCCGTCAAACGCCTTGGCCGTCGCCATCACCTGCACCGCCGCCTCGCGTTCGTACCCGCTCGCCACGTCCACAAAGTACAGGGACTTGGACGCAGATCGCTTCGCGACCACCCGCCCGCGCAGCACCACTGGCTCATTCGGCATTGCCTCTTTCTCAAATCCGCCAAACGCTGCCGTAAACGACCCAGCATCGTGCACAGCGTGCCCCTCGGGCACCCGCGCGTATCCGGTCCCGCCCGCAAGCCATCCCGCCTCCGCGGCCTCCTCCACCTCGGCCACCCGCACCCTGTCCACCGCCACCGCGCCCATGCTCCGCCGTACCGCTCCGCCTCGTCCCTGCCACAGCATCGTCCCCACCATCCGTCTCAATCTCAGCATCTCTGTCCACCTCGAGCGCAGTGTGCTCCCAACTCGCTCGGTACGCGTCAGCCAGCCCCCCCCCCCCCCCTCTCTCTCCTCTATATCTCCTCTCATCCGTTGTCCTTTACAGCAGGGCATCCTCGCTCCCTTTGCCTCCCCACGTCCTCGCCCATTCTCTGGACCCGGCGCAGGAGGGCAGGAGGCGCGCACTCGCAAATTTTGAATTCAGTTTGGCGCATTCCCCACAGCCCAGTCAGCTAGCTTTCCCAGCCCACCGCCTTTCCTCACACCCACCACTTCCTTGCGTTACAGATGGACTTTGTGCTGGAGCTTCCGTCGCCTGTGCGGAACCCAGTTGTAGTGCTGGACGAGAACGTCGACACGGGCCAAAGCCGCAAGGCCGCCGTGGCCATGACCATTCCGTTCGGGAGCCGGGCGCCACTCTCACCGCGGACCAACGTCGACCTTGGCACGAGTGCTGCCAGCGGAGCTGACAAGGCCAGTCTGTGCGCCGAGCCATCGGTTCCAACACTTCGGCTCAAGAACTTTGCCAAGACGCCATGGATCGAGTTTGGGCATGTTGCGCCGGGGGCAGAGGCTACAGCCACACTTCGCATCGTCAACGACTCGGCGCGGGTCGCCTCCGTCTCTGTCGACCGCCCGCCCAAGGCTGGCTTTTCGGTCGCTGTTGACTCGTTCGATGTCGACCCGTCGTCAGCGTTCGATCTGGCCCTCACCTTTGCGCCCCAGCAGCCCGGCGATGCCACTTCGTGTATTACCTTTCGATGGGGCCGCTACCGCCTTCAGGCCAAGCTCCTCGGGTACTGCAAAGCGGCCGAGACCGTCGCGCCACGCCAGCGCCGTGGTGGCAAGCGCCCGTCACGCCGCCGTCCGCTTCGGTCGCAAAAGGCTCAATTGCCATCCAACGTGGAGCCGGTCTCCGTCCCAGTCGCATCCAAGCCTCTGGCATCGTCGTCGGACAACGTCTCGGTTGACGCTGAGAACGAGCTGATGGACTCGTCACTTGAGCTCATCGCCAAAAAGTGCAACGAGATGGATGCCGATCTTTGCGCCCGCAAGCTCTCGCTCGATGACCTCACAGCAACGGCCAGCAACACTGAGCCCGAGTTTAAGCTCCATGTTGCGGCCCAGCCGACTCCCCGGGCCAAGAGCAACTCGCTGCGCAAACGCGCAGCGTTTAACGCCTCAGTGGCAACCCAAGGCAAGAGCTCGACTGCTCGTCCGCGTCCTGGCCGCTCGCTGCGGCTTGTCAAGCCTGCTCGCGCGGCAGCATCGACAGCCCGGAAGTCGATCAACCCGTTTGTGGCCTCGGGCTTCTTTGATGAGCAGTGGCTCGCCAAGGAAGAGCGTGGCTTTACCTCGTGGCTCAACTTTATGTTTGCTCATGAGCGTGAAATGACTGACACTCCTGGTTCGGCCCGTCTTGCCGACAACCCGGCCGAGTTTGATCGGCAGCGCCGGCTCAACGCCACGCGTGAGGCTGCGGCCGCGCTCTGGCGCAACGGCGACTTTGGTGCCACTGCCGCCCGGCTCGAGGCTGAAATCTCTGGAGGCCGTCTAGCCATGCGTACCGACCGTGCTCCGCACTTGGACGTCGGCCTTCGCTCCACCGCCTGCAGCCTTATCTGCTCGTACAACCCGCAGTGGCTCCGGCTTGGCCTGGAGGTTGTCTTTGGTGAGCTCATCACCATCGAGGCAGGGAGCCTCGACGCATACCTGGCGGTCTTTGTTCAGACCCGACTGTTGGCCGACCCGGCACTTGCTGCCGAGTACGCTGGTCTCACTCAGGGCGTGTTCAAGCCCGGCTACGATGCCGCGGTCCAAAAGTTCACGCTCGGCAAGCTTCTCTTGCTTGTTCTCTTCCTCGATCGTGCTAAGAGCCGCAGCCTTCTGCCGTCCTCGCTTCCTCTCTTCCGCAACGAGGCCACGGTCAAGTCGTCGCGCGCCCTCGTCTACGCCTTTGCCAAGGATTTTCTCTCTGGCGAGGGTGATGTTATGCGCCACCTCGGCCACCTCGGCTACGTCCTTGAGTGGGAGCAGGCGCCGCTTGAGGAGTTCTCGTTCGAGGTCACCAACATCAAGGTCGATCTGACCGATGGCATCCGTCTCGCGCACCTCTTCGACGTTATGGTCAAGCCGGTGGCGCCGCTCAAGGACACGCTCCGGCTCCCGGTCGTGGCCAAGATGCAAAAGTTGCACAACGTCAAGACTGCACTGAAGGCGTTCTCACAGGTCGGCGTCACCTTTGCCGGCATCAAGGGCGGACTCAAAGCCAAGGACGTTGTCGAGGCTCACCGCGAGAAGACTATGGCCATGCTTTGGCGTGTCGTCGCACACTTTACTCTCCGCGATCTCATTGACGAGCCGGCGCTGAAGACCGAGACGGCGCGCCTCAAAGCAGCCCGCGGCGAGACGTCTGGAGCCGATGCGTCAGCCACCGTCATGTACTTTAATGACGAAGCGTCCAAGCTGGGTACTCTCATGGAGTGGGTCCGCACCATCTGCGAGCCGCATGGCGTCACGGTCCGCAACTTCACCTCGTCGTTCTCTGATGGCCGTGCGCTGTGCCTCCTTGTCTCCGAGTACTACCCCAACGTGCTCCCTGTCGATGAGATCAACATGCACACCACTGTCACGCTCCAAGCCGACCAGGAGGCCAACGTGGCATCAGCGGCGGCGGCGGCGGCCGGAGACGGTCGCTGGGCAGCATCGTTCTCACCCACTATCGGCCGCGACTACAAGCGGGCCTGTGGTGCGGAGCGGCGCAACTTTGTCACTCTCCGCGAGGCCATTACCGAGCTTGGCGGCATCCCGTCGGTTGTCTCAGCATCGGACATGTCCAACACGGTGCCTGACGAAAAGCTGGTCATCACGTTTTTGGCTTATCTCTCCTCGCGGCTGCTGATGCTGGCTCACGAGAACCGTGCTGCGCGCACCATCCAGCGTGCGTGGGCGGCCATGAAACTTCGTGCTTTGATGGCCAAGCAGGAGGCGGGCATTGTTCGGCTCCAGGCTGTCGTCCGTGGAGTGCTCTGCCGGGCCAAGCTTCGTGCTGACGCTGTTGCTGCTGCGGATGCCCGGCGGCTCGATGCTGCTGTGTGCATCCAAGCTTGGTTCCGTGGGTGCCGGGCGCGCACGGCGCTGCGCGATGCGACCGCTGCTGCGGCTGCAGAGGCCGCAGCTGTGCGCATCCAGGCACTGTGGCGTGGCTTTGCTGCCCGCTCCGTGTTTGCTTGCCGTGTTCGTGCCGCCGTTGTCCTGCAGTCGGCTGCCCGCATGGTGGCTGCCCGCACCAGCTACCTGGCCACTCGTGCTGCGGTCATCTCGCTCCAGGCGTTTGGCCGCATGATTGCCACCCGCCGCGAGTACGTTGTCACTCGCTCTGCGGGGATCACCATCCAGACGACGTGGCGCGGCTACATGGCCCGCAAGGCCGCCGCCGGCAAGATGTCGGCCATCATCACGCTCCAGGCGGCCGCCCGTGGCATGATCGGGCGCCGTGTCGCCCGCCAGGCCCGTGCCGCCATTGTCATCCAGGCGGCTGCCCGCATGGTGGCTGCCCGCACCAGCTACCTGGCCACTCGTGCTGCGGTCATCTCGCTCCAGGCGTTTGGCCGCATGGGTTGTCACCCGCCGCGAGTACCGCACTACTCGTGCTGCTGTGATCGCCATCCAGACGACGTGGCGCGGCTACACGGCCCGCAAGGCAACGGCGCGCCAGCACGCTGCCATCATCACGCTCCAGGCGGCCGCCCGTGGCATGATCGGGCGCCGTGTCGCTCGCCAGGTCCGTGCTGCCATTGTCATCCAGGCGGCTGCCCGCATGGTGGCTGCCCGCACCAGCTACCTGGCCACTCGTGCTGCGGTCATCTCGCTCCAGGCGTTTGGCCGCATGGTTGTCACCCGCCGCGAGTACCGCACTACTCGTGCTGCGGTGATCGCCATCCAGACGACGTGGCGCGGCTACATGGCCCGCAAGGCCGCCGCCGGCAAGATGTCGGCCATCATCACGCTCCAGGCGGCCGCCCGTGGCATGATCGGGCGCCGTGTCGCCCGCCAGGCCCGTGCCGCCATTGTCCTGCAGTCGGCTGCCCGCATGGTGGCTGCCCGCACCAGCTACCTGGCCACTCGTGCTGCGGTCATCTCGCTCCAGGCGTTTGGCCGCATGGTTGTCACCCGCCGCGAGTACCGCACTACTGGTGCTGCTGTGATCGCCATCCAGACGACGTGGCGCGGCTACACGGCCCGCAAGGCAACGGCGCGCCAGCACGCTGCCATCGTCACGCTCCAGGCGGCCGCCCGTGGCATTATCGGGCGCCGTGTCGCTCGCCAGGTCCGTGCTGCCATTGTCATCCAGGCGGCTGCCCGCATGTTTGCTGTTCGCACCAGCTACCTGGCCACTCGTGCTGCGGTCATCTCGCTCCAGGCGTTTGGCCGCATGGTTGCCACCCGCCGCGAGTACCGCACTACTCGTGCTGCTGTGATCGCCATCCAGACAACGTGGCGCGGCTACACGGCCCGCAAGGCAACGGCGCGCCAGCACGCTGCCATCGTCACGCTTCAGGCGGCCACCCGTGGCATGATTGCGCGCGTCTACACCCGCCGACTCCGTGCCGCCATCACCATCCAGGCGGCTGCCCGCATGTTTGCTGTCCGCACCAGCTACCTGGCCACTCGTGCTGCGGTCATCTCGCTCCAGGCGTTTGGCCGCATGGTTGCCCGCCGCGAGTACCGCACTACTCGTGCTGCTGTGATCGCCATCCAGACGACGTGGCGCGGCTACACGGCCCGCAAGGCAACGGCGCGCCAGCACGCTGCCATCATCACGCTCCAGGCGGCCGCCCGTGGCATGATCGCCCGCCACCTTGCCTCAACGCTGCGTGAGACGGCGGCCAAGCGCCGCGCCGAGCACGTCGCGCGGTTTGCGCGTCTCACATCACTGCACATGTCTGCTCTCCGCATCCAGCGAGCCTTCCGCGCCTTTGCTCTCCACAAGTCGATGCTTGAGCGCGTGGACAAGGTTCTCACACTCCAGACCTGGTTCCGAGCCTGCCTCACTCGCAAGGCCTTCCTTGCTAAGCGCGCGGCTGCGCTGTCCATCCAGCGTGCTGTGCGCGAGTGGCTCTCCCGCCGCGCTGTCGCCGCTGCCAGGATCCAAGCCTTGTCTCGCGGCCGGGCTGTGCGTGTGCGCCTTGCAGCCCAGAACGCAGCCGCAACTCGCATCCAAGCTTTGGCCCGTGGCGTCCTTGTCCGTCGCCAGACCGACGACCGCCTCGCCAACCTGCGCTCGCGCCTCCGTGAGATCAATGCTTCGGTGACTGAGGACATGAAGCTGGGCAACCGGACCCAGGCCGCACTCGCCATCCTGCTCACGTCGAAGCACCTGACCCACATCCATAAGGCTTGCTCCAACCTCGAGGTGTCGACACGGCTCTCGTTTGTGTGCTGCGATTCGCTCGCCGGCAACGACGCGGTGCCCATCATCTTCACCCTCATCAAGTCTTGTAACCGCTCCAAGCCGCACGTCGAGCTGCTCAAGATTGCGCTCAACATCCTGCGCAACCTCGCCCGCTGGCGCACCGTCGACCTTGTGCTCTCCACACCGGGCTCGGTCGACATCATCATCGAGCTCATGCAGATGTACCGTGACAAGGTTGATATCTTCCTCCGCTGCCTCTCGCTCATGCGTCTGCTCGCCGCCAAGCGCCGCCGCGCCGCCATCATCGTCGCTGTTCCGCTCGCCGTCCGCCGGCTCACCTCCATCCAGTCGATTCTTAACCGCAAGGCAACCATGGAGCGCAAGCTTGCGGCCAAGCGCAGGCGCGCTGGTACCGACAAGCCCTCACCGGTCATCCAGTCGGCCGAGCAGCTCAAGTCGCTGCTCTCCACCCTCGGCGCCGCCGCAGCCTCCTCCGCCGCTGCGCCCTCTAAGTGAATGCTTTTGTACACTCGTCGCCATGCGATGCTACTTGTGTGACACTTCATGTGTCCACTGCTGTGCCTGTGGCGCCTGCTTTGTGGCTCCCACCGCGACCGCCGCCCGCGCCCGCCTCGCTGCCCACGTTGCCCTCTCTTGCTCACCCACCGCCGCCGTCGCCGGCCAATACCGCCCGCTGCCGCAGCGATCACTGTTTGCAACCCCGTCGCACTACCCCGCAGCCCCTCCTCTTCCCGTGTCGTCGTCCCTTGTCCCCATGGACGGCGCCTCGCCGCCGCCGTCGTCCGCTTCTGGACCATCGGCCAAGCGCGCCCGTAGCCCGTCGCCGCCGCTCCTCCCTTGCCCGTCGCCCAAGCGCCCTCGCGGCCTGGCCAGGTCCGGCTGCTCCGCACTCGGCTCGCCGCCATGAACGCTGCACGAGGAGCTGCTGCCGCTGCAGCCCTCGCCCTCGGCCTGCCGCTGGTGGCTTGGCCGGCCACCTTTGCCCTCGCCACCCGCCTGCCCGAGTATGTCCACCTTGTCAAGGCCCGCCCGGGTGCAGCTGCGGCTGCGGCGGCTGCTGCCGCCCTGCCCACTGCTGCCGCCGGCCTCGGCCTCGCCCACGGCTACGGCTGCGGCCTGTTGTCATCCTCTGCTGCTGCCGCCGCCACCTTTGCCGCCGCCTGGCTCTACGCCGCCACCCGCCTCGTCGACGCCCGCCCCCCGGTCCCTCCCTACACCTCCATGCTCCCGGCGCAGGCCTCGCCGCGGCTCGCGGTCGTCACCGGCGCCACTTCGGGCATCGGCGCGGCATCGGTCAATGTCCTTGCCCGCGCAGGTCTCCGCGTCATTTTTACCACCCGCTCTGAAGAACGCGGCGCCCGCCTGGCTGTCCCGGGCTCGGTCACCTACTGCGTCGTTGATCCCAACGAGCTTGCCCAGGTCGCCGCCTTTGCCGACGCTGTGGTTGCCGCCTCGCGCGGCGAGCGAGCGCCCCTGCTCAGCGACGAGGCCGCATCCTGGCTGGTCGATGCCGGCGGCGTCCACATCCTTGTCAACAACGCCGGCTTTTTCCCGCGCCCCGCCCCGCTCACAGGTGACGGCCTCGAACCGGGATTCCAGGTCATGCATCTCTCGCACCACCTCCTCACTAAGCGGCTAGCCCCGGTCCTGAAAGCTTGCCAAGGGCGCGTCATCAACGTCGCCTCCGAGGGCCACCACTTTGCCACTCCGCGGACACCTGGCGAGCCGACAAGCGTCTTTGCGCCCGAGCGCATTGCCGCGCCCACAAAGTCCAGCCTGCTCTCCTACGGCCACAACAAGCTCGCCAACATCCTCCACACCCGCTACCTGCGCGACGACGGCATCGCCGCTTTCGCACTTCATCCTGGCGCCGTCGTCACCTCCATCTGGACCTTTCCGTACGCGCTCGGCTTTCTCGGTGCGCCGGTGCGGGCCATCCAGCGTGTCGTCTTTGATGCCACTGCTTCGCTGGTCATGAAGACTGCCGAGGAGGGTGTCAGCACCGTTGTCTATCTTGCTCTTGCTCCGCTCGACCACCTAGACTCGGACCTGTACTGGATCAACCTCGCCGGCGCCGACGCCACCATGGCCTCGCCGCTTGCCCGCTCGGCAGACCTCGCCCGCCACCTCGCTGAGCTCTCAGACATCCTGCTTGCCGAGCGCGGCCTGGAGTAAACCGTGCCTGATCGCCTCTTGCGCCTAGCTCTTCTCTGGCATGTCGAGCATGACTATCGGGTTCTCCGCATCCTGCGCCACCGGATAGACCCGCACCACCAGCGCCCTCGCCGACGTCGTCAACGGCTCACGGCTCGGCCCGGCCGCGCCCGACGAAGAGGCCGGTGCCGAGCCAGGTGGTGCACGAGCCTGCGCTGCTGGCGGTGCGTCCTCGTCCACCTTGCGTGCTTTGCGTGCCCGTCCGTCTTCGTCCTCCTCGCCGGGCAGCTCGCTTCCGACGGGAGCTCGCGGCCGCTTGCCCGATGCGACGGGCCTGGCAGCCGGGCCCATCCGCAGCCTCAGCAGCTCGCAGCGGGCGGTCTCTGCCGCAGCAGGCGCCCAGCGGACGGTGGCCTGCAGCAGCGATCCGACTAGAACTCGCGGCGGAAGCGCGTCGTCGAGCTGACCTGGGCGCAGGGCCTCAGCAACCGCCAGTGTCTCGGCCACCAGTGGGCGGAGAAGCGGGAGGAGCTCATCGCGGACCATGGCCATGCCCAACCACTCGAGGTCGGCAGGGCGGACGTGGAGGATCAGCGGCAGCATCTTGGTCTTCCCCACTCGGATGTATGCTACGTTGCGCTCGTACAGCCGCATCGCCGATGAACACGACTCGAGTTGTCGTCGTCGATGGGGAAGACAAGTGCTGCCCGCAGGCTGACCGCGGCGCTGTGCGGGCTCGTTGCGGGCTCGCTACCGGCTGCAGGCAAGAGGGTGAAGCCTGTTTACAAAATTACTCCTTGTGGGCGTGCTCGCCGGCCGACTTGCCGACCTCATCGAGGTTGCGGAGCGTGTCCCACAGTGTCTCAAAGTAGCCGCGCGTGTCGTACTCGAGGCCGTGGTCCTCGACCCACTTGCGGACGCGCGGCACAAGCTTGAAGAACCGGTACTGCGGCATCTGCGGGAAGAGGTGGTGCTCAATCTGCTGGTTGAGGTGGGTCATGACAAAGTAGGTGATGAACCAGTTGCCCGGCGAAATGTTGGTGGTGTGCTCGACAGAGAACCGAATCCAGTCCTTGGTCTCGCCCTTGTGGACCACCGGCTTGTGGGTGTGCGAGAGGGCAAAGTTGGTGAAGATGTACATGCCGCCAAAGAGCGCGCCGCCGATGTACATCATGAGCGTCTTGGCCAAGCCGAGATGCGGGAGGACAAAGTACGCCACGCCACCGTAGCGGACTGCCAGGTAGAAGAGCTCAGCCCACTTACCCTTGCGGATCATGTAGCGCGGGTGGAGGAAGAACTGCCAGCCGAGCGTGACGAGCAGAGTGACGACCGGGAGGAAGAGGTAGGCCTGGAAGCGGAGCCAAAACGGGTTGCCCTTCTTGGCGATCTCAGCGTGGAACGCCACCAGCGGCAGCGTCTTCAGGTCCACGTCATGCTCCAGGTGCTGCGGCATCGCATGGTGCCGGTTGTGCTGCGACCGCCACCAGCCAGCCGACATCCCGTCGCCCACGCCGTACACAAACTCCTGGATCCGCCGGTCGAGCCACATGTACCCGGTGCCGGACCCGTGCCCAAACTCGTGCATGAGCCACCCGCAGTGCCCACCGGCGTACCCAAGACAGAGCGCAGCCGTAAAGTACCACTCGGCAAACTGGTGTGGCATACCCCCTCAGTGAGTCGTTGTCGCTCCTTCCCTCTTCCCCCCCCCCCCCTTCCCTCACCTCTGTCTCTTCCTGACCCAACAAGAAGGATGCCAACGTGGCACCTTGGCGCCTTGGGCTGCCGGCAACACCGCAAGCTCTCCCACCTCCTCCCTCTATCCCCCCCTCCCCCCTCCGCCCCCCCCCCCCTAAAGCCACATGCACAAATATCTCCCTTCCCTGCCCCTCTGCATGATCTGCATGTGCCCGTCCATCCCCCGGTACGGCGCCTACGGAAGAGGCCGGCCATGCAAGACATGGATGACGGCAGGCAATGCGGTTTTTCGCCCCGGGACAAGCTGGCGTACCATGAGCTTGAAGGCCACCCAGTGGCAGAAGAAGAGAAAGGCGAAGCGGTAGGCAAGGTGGATGTACGAAGGCTCAAAGTAGCCCTCGTCCACAAGTTGCTGGCGGAAGATGCGGAAGTCGCGCTCAAGCGGCGACAGCGGCTGAGTAGCCGGCCGCGACTTGAGCGTCTTGAGCCACTTGTAGGCACGCGGCGAGCGGCCATGGAACTCGTTGAAGGCCACCGTGGCGTCGCTGCCAAAGTAGAACTTGAACACCCCACCGCCCGGGTGCTTGCCCTCGAGCGACGACACATCGTAGATGCGCCCATCGATGGTGATCTCCTTGGGCTCCGACGTCTCGTGAACCATGTTGAGTGCGAGAGAGAGAGAGAGGTGCCAGCGCGTTCGGTTCCGTCACGCCCCGCTTTCCTGCCAGAGTCGGCTGCGGGTGCGAGGCTAGCCGCCAGCGGGACTGGCTTATTTGCTCGAGCCATGCCTTTATTACAAGGCCAAGGCCTCGGCTGCAACGTAAGAAATATCGCCCTGATCCGCGCGCTCGCCAGAGAGCAGCGCAGTCGATTGGCCGACTCCAGCGGCCTGGCTGGCGGGTGCGGCGGCTTGGATGGACGGACCCATGGCCGAGATGGTCGAGTCCGTGTCAAAGTCGCCGCCGTGGTTGTCGCGGTCTTCAGCGTCTTGGCGAATGATGTCGACATCCCAGGCCTCGAGCCAGTCAGCAGCGTTGGAGATGGCGGTCGAGACGCCGGCGGTTCCGCTTGTGGGCCGGATTTTCTTGAGCCGGAAGAACAGCAGAGCCATGGCGTAGATGAGCACAAAGTTGACGGCAAAGAGAATAAGCGAGTACATGGAGATGTACATGGCGTCAGTGTAGGGCTTGGAGCGGAACCAGAGGACAAGGCCGTAGGCGACGTACATACCCGAGAGGCAGATGGGAGGGAGGAGCGCGGCTGAAATGGCAACGCCGACCAGGGCCGAGATGCCGCCGCCGGTTGTGGCTAGTGCCACGCCAGCGCCTGACGGGATGGCAAGCGCAATACCGGCGTACACACCCGAGGCCGTGCCGCGCGAGATCTGCTCGTTGGTACCCCACAGATCCGGGAACGGCCACGCGCCAAAGCCCCAGAGCATGCCAAACAGGTAGCACAGCGCAAAGCCGATGATCTCATTGCGCAGGCCTTTGCGGACCATGGCCGCGTCGCGCATGGCCGTGCCAAAAGTCACCGCCATGATAGGGCCCATCAGCGGCGAGACCAGCATCGATGCCACCACCACCGCCGGCGAGTCTGTGGCGAGGCCGACGTCGGCAATGAGGGCAGCGACAACCACAAAGCCAAGGTAGTTGAACGTCAGATGATTCATCGAGTCGACAATGTCGTAGATCTCGTCCAGTGAGAGCCGATCCTGGACCCTGTACTTGCGCTTCTTGCTTCCCGAGACCAGCCGCGGCTTGGTCCCTGCAGCGCAATGATGTCGATGACACCGACGTCGACGCCGATGCCACGGGCCTCCAGCCGCGAGACCACCTCATCCGTGTGCTTGTCCGCCGTTCGGAACAGCAGCAGCGAGTTGGTCTCGCCCGTAAACGCCGCCAGCCCGTGGACATGCGTCTCGCTACCCAGCAGCATCGCAATCTCCGCCGCCCGTTCATGCGGGAGCGTGACCTGCACCTGCCGTGGCATGCCTGCTCACACGCCTGACTCCTGTGAAACCTTGCCTACCCTCGCAATAGAGGGTGCGTTGGTGGTGTGTGGGGTGGAGTGGGGTGGCGTGCGAGTGTGTGTGTGTGTGTGGGGTGGTGGTGGAGGGGGCGTGGCGTGTGTGTGTGCGGCGTGGCCGTCCGCTCGTCTGCTGACCGTGCTGCTTTCAAAGAGGAGAGCGCTACCAAAGCGCTTTCGTCTTTTTGGTGCCCAGCCATGCAGCAAGCTCCGGCGCCAAAGGCATTGATGGACGTCTTTTGCAAGTGATTCCGCTCAAGCCCCCAGCCTGATCAAGTCCAGCCCAGCCTGATCAAGTCCAGCCCAGCCTGATCATTGCCCCCAGCCCAGCCCAGCCCAGCCCAGCCTGATCAAGCAGTCGATGTCTTTCCCACAACAATAACCCTATCCCCTGCTAATCCAAGCCTAGAAGCTCCTATTCCCCCAACGCCAACCCCAACCTCTACCCATGCCGTAGCCATGCCCACACATCCCCCCCCCCCACAGATCGGCCCCCCCCCCCGCCCTCCCCCAACCCCGCCCACTCGCCACTCTCTCGCCTCTCACCGTCACCACTGGCCACCCCTCTTTTCCCCGCCCCCCCACCCGGCAACCATGCGCCTGCACAAGTGCTGGTTCTGCTCGGCGACCATCTACCCGGGGCACGGCATCTCTTTTGTGCGCAATGACGCTACCATGTTCCGCTTCTGCTCCTCCAAGTGTCATAAGAACTTCAAGATGAAGCGCAACCCCCGCAAGGTACGCCTGCTCCTGGCCTGGCTGGATGGGCCCGAGGATGATCCCGGGCTCCCTCCCTGGCTCTCCCCCTGGCCCCCTCCCTGTGGTCCTACACGCCGCATGCCTGATATTTCTTGCCGCCCACCCCCTCCTTTGCCTTTCCCTCGTCCTCTTCTACGCTCTAGCCACCATTATCTTCCTCTATCTTCCTCCCCCTTGCCACACTCTCCCCCACTGCCGCCGTTCCTTCCTGCCCCGCTGATGATGGCGATGGCGGCGGCCATCACTCCGCCACACCACTCACCGCCACTGTTTCCTGCCTCGGCTCGCCACAGGTCAAGTGGACCAAGGCCTTCCGCAAGGCGCGGGGCAAGGAGCTTGCGGTGGACTCGACGTTTGACTTTGAGCGTAAGCGGAACCGCCCTGTCCGCTACAACCGCGAGCTCGTCTCGGCGGCGCTCAAGGCCATCAAGCGAGTCGACCAGATCCGTGCCGCCCGCAAGAAGGCCTTCTACAAGAAGCGCATGGACGCAGTCAAGTCGATGCAGCGCAAGGCCGAGGAGACTGAGATTCGCACCAACATCTCGCTCATCGCTCCGCAGGGCACCGCCGATCTCTCCGTGGAGGAGATGGCCCAGACCGTCACCCGCACCGTCGCCGAGCGCAAGGCCCGCTCCACCCGCGTCATCGCCTCGGCCCGCCGCAAGGCCGGCGCCGCCAACATGTCCGAGTCAGACTCGGACTCGGAGGCCAACTGATCGCCCTATTCTGTCCATTCCCGGCGGTCGGCCAGAGCGCCACAGAGACCTGCGGCCTCGGCACTGCAGCCGCGCCCGCAGCCGCCTCCCTCCCGCCCTTGCCTCCTCCAATCCCATCCCCGCCACCATCCTCTCATCTCCACCGCCACCCCCTTTACTCCACCCCCACACCGGGCCTCTCCACCCCCATCCATCAAATCCTCCTGCACCAAACACTTCCCCCTTTTCAATCGTCCCATCAGCCTGACAACTCCGCTCTCCGCTCCGCTCCACGCACCACCACGTGGCCTGGAGCGACCCCACCCCACCCACCCTTCCCCCCCTCCTCCCCCCCCTCCCCTCCCCCCTCCCCCGTCCTCTTCCCTCCCTCCCTCCCTCCCTCCCTCCCTCCACACCCGCACGAATGGACGCGGGCCTTGGGGAGCTGCTGGCTGCCGCTGCTGGAGCTGTGGGCGGACCAACTGCTGCCGTCGCCGCTGTCGCCGCTCTTGTCCTCGCACCATGGCTCATCATCCTCTTTGCGCTGGTTCTGCCGCGCCTGGCCCACTCGCCACCGGCGGATGTGCCGCTTCCGCCGCCGCCGTCGTCGTCGTCGTCGTCATCAACGCCGCCGTCGCCCACAGCGGCGCATGTCCGCCCCGCTGCCCGGACGGTGGCTTCGGCGCTCCGCGATCTGGCTGGCCGCGGCTCCCGGGCCCAGTCATACCCACATCGGACAATCGATGCCCACGCGGTTGTGCCTGGACTTAAGCTCGTTGATGTAACCGGGGCAAGCTCTTCGGCAGTCGCCTCGCCGTCACCTACTATGCCAGTCGTCCTCACCACAGCGCCAACACCTGTGCCGACGCTACTCTTTGCGCCGCCGCCGGCAAAGACCGGCAAGCGCTCGGTCTCGACGTCTGCAAGTGAGGTCCATGCTGCTCTCTACGGGCCGCCATCAGCCTTGCCCACTCCAGTTGTCACGCCGCGGTCCAAGGCGCTCGCCAAGCAGACCCGCGCCCGGCGGAACACCTTTTCCACCAACCTTGTTCCCGCTAACCTGCTCAAGCCTGGCCGTCCAGCCGATGCGCACCACGAGTCGACCACTCTCTCGCCGCTCTCCATCGATGAGTACACCGTCGGCGGTTTGACGCCTGGAACCTCGCGCTCGATCACCCCGGACTCATCGCTCGGCGACTCGATGCCGTCGACCGCAGGTCCGAGCTCGGATGACGAGGATGGAACGTCTGGCGAGACACGCTCACGGTCTGCACTCTCGTCGGCAGAGACTGACCAGGCCGATAGCGGCGACGACGTCGACAACGTCGAGGTTGTCTCGATGAGCTCCTCGCCCAAGTGGAGCAAGCCGTCCGGCGAGCGCTCCGACTCAGGCTCGGACGACGGCGCCTGCTCGACCAGTACCGTCCAGAGGCACGACCCGCCTGTTGTCTCGGCACAGACCTCGCCAACGGCCTCCGAAAGCGTCGAGCCGTCGGCTGAGATGCCGATGATGAGGACACAGTCGCTGAGCGCTGTCTCCAGCAAGCCGCGGCCGTCCAGCCTGCTCTCGGTCCACTCGCGGCAAGTGAGCGACTCGCAGCTGCCTATCTCTCCGCGCTCCAAGGCCGGTCTGCGACTGACGCGGTTCTCCGGCTCGCAGCAGAATAATGTCAAGGTCGACGTCGTGCCCGATGCCCAGATTGAGACTGCCGAGCTGCTCTCCAAGGTCCGCATGGCGTGGGAGACGACGCCGCTCTCAGTCTTTGTTGTCAAGAAGTGGCAATCACCCGAGGTCTCGCTCCGGGCGGAGCAGCTCATCCGAATCCTCATCAACAAGTACAGGCTCACCGTCTACGTCGAGCCGGTTGTCAAGAGCTCCGACTACTCCGACTGGGACGGCGTCCATGCTCTACCGGCCGAAGGTGTCGACGTGGCCACCATTGTCGACTTTGTTGTCTGCCTCGGCGGCGACGGCACACTCCTGCACTCGACAACCTTTTTCTACAAGTCGGTTCCGCCTATCCTCTCGTTTGCACTCGGCTCGCTCGGCTTCCTCACACCGTTCTCGTTCCAGCGAGCTGAAAAGGTGCTCAACAAGGTGCTCGAGGGCGGGTTCTTCCTCACCCTCCGCTCGCGGCTTGTTTGCTCCATCATCGAGGGCTTTGCCCTCGACGAGCACGACGAACGCAAACCACTCGCTCAATTCCAGATCCTCAACGACATGGTTGTTGACCGCGGGCCTGCCGCTTCGCTTGCCTCGCTCGACATCTTTTGCGATCACGACTTTATTACCAATGTCCAGGCTGACGGCATTATCGTGGCCACCGCCACTGGCTCAACCGCCTACTCGATGTCGGCCGGTGGCTCCATTGTCCATCCGGGTGTACCATGCATTCTGCTCACCCCCATCTGCCCCCACTCGGTCTCGTTCCGCCCCGTCGCTCTCCCGTACTCGTCCACCATCCGTATCCGCGTTGCTGATAACGCGCGCAACACCGCGTGGGCCTCTTTTGACGGTCGCTCCCGCACCGAGCTACTCCACGGCCAGACCCTGCAGTGCTCCGTCTCACCCTGGTCCGTCCCCACCATCTCCAAGGTCTCCGAGACTGCCGATTGGCTCGTCTCGCTGCGCCGCAACATGCATTGGAACAAGCGGACAAGTCAGAAGCCCATGGGCCCCGTCAAGTCCAGCCGCACACAGAAGAGCAAGCGTAGGGCTGCGCGCCGCCACACCACAAGTCTGCTCTCCACCTCGCCGCTCTCCACCTCGCCGCCCTCAACCTCGGCCAACGCCTACAGTGCTACATTTGATGACGATGCCGCATCTGACGCTCGCCCTCACGGCGATGGCGCTTCTGACAACACTGGGCCGCAATAAACCTGCATCTGCTTGCCCTCTTGCCGTCAAGCCTACCGCCACGGCTTGCATCACACTCCTTCCTCCGCATGAGACCGCATCAGCTACCCCTCCGCTGATTCGCCGCAAGTGACACACCTCCATGAACCGGGACGCGTCCGCCGGCACCAACGGTGACGACCAACCTCCAACACTTCTCCTCCCATCACGACGTCACCCTTCCCTCCCCCCCCCTCCTCCCCTTCTCTCTCCCTCCCCCCCTCCACCTCCACCTCCCCACCCCACCCAATCTTTCCTTCTCTACTTTCCCTACCTCCGCCCCCACCTCGCTCAGACCGTCGGTGTGACGTAACAAGTGCGCGCGCATGTCAGCGTGGCCAAGACGGACCGAAGCACCGCCGTCGCCGCCCTCTCCAGCGCGTGGACGAGCACCGTCCCCCGGTCGAGGGAAAGCAGGTAAGGGCAAGAGCAACTCGCCTGCTCGCGCACCTTACGACGTGCCTGTCCCCTTTGTGTGGACGCCGCAAGTCGCCGACGACGGGCGGGTGTTCTTTGTTAACGACTCGGCCGGTGTGGACAACGCGAGCACGACATGGGCAGATCCGCGGGCACCGCTGCCAGAAGGATGGGTCGAGCGCAAGTGGCCTGACGGCACGTCGTACTTTCTGAATCTTAACGCGCCACTGGACGACACAGCCTCCGAGTTCTTGCCCACCGATGATCCTCGCCCGCCGCACATCGCCGCCTGGGCTGCCGCCAACAACCATCCTCTTCCCGACGGCATCAAGCCACTACTCTCACCGGAGCGGAGGGTGTACTTTGCCGATGCGGCCCGCAGAACGACGTCGTGGACTGACCCACGCCTCCCGCTGCCGCACGGCGTGACCGAGAAGAAGAACGACGACGGCCTTTCGTACTTTCTCTACGAGGGAACCGGCAAGGTGCTGCCCGGTGATCCGCGCGAGTCTATCACCAGCGCAGGCTACGCTGCAAGTCAACGTGCTCGTGGTGCCAAGGCCAGGGACAAGGGTAAGACCAAGGCCAAGGCCAAGGGCAATGGCAAGGCCGGGCGAGGAAGCGACAGTGAGGCCGGACCCGGGGAGGCCCAGGCCAAGACCCGGCGCCGGGGCAGCGGCAAGGCCAAGTCCAAGACCAATCGTGGTCAGCCTGGTGCCAGCGCGCCGTCGGAGAGCCGAGTCAAGGCACCGTCGGCAAAGCCACTGGTCAAGGGCGCGTTTCAGTCGCATTTTGAAGTCGTCGAGCCGATCACCCGCGGCGGCTTCGGCTCGATTCTCAAGATCCGCGCCAAGAACATCCGTGGGTCGGACAAGTCGAGCACCGCCGAGCTTCTTCGAGCTCTGAGCGGACGTGATCTGGTGGTCAAGGTCATGGCGCTGAAAAATGCGTCGATCCTGCAGCGCAAGGCGGCCAAGCTGGAGGCCTCCATCCACTCGCGGCTTGAGCATCCCAACATTGTCAAGTGCTACCGGGCGTACCTGGCGAGCTCGCACATTGCACTCGTCCTCGAGTATTGCGACTTTGACTGCCTCCACGCGCTCATTGCGTCACGGTCGGCGAGCGGGCCTGATGGCCGGCCCCAGTACCTGCCGCAAGACCATGCGCTCCTCTGGTTTGCACAGCTCGCGTCCGCGGTCGAGTACCTGCACGATGTCATGGGCGTTCTACACCTGGACCTCAAGCCCGGCAACGTTTTCCTCGCCCTCGACATGTCGAATCCATCGACACTGGCGGTCCGACTCGGCGACTTTGGCTTTGCCACCCGCTACCATGACGGGGTCTGGCTCAAGCCGATGGACCAGTTCTGGGGCACACCCGAGTACACTGCACCCGAGCTTCTTGCGTCGGCCAAGGTCCAGCCGTCGCCGGCTGCAGACGTGTGGGCCATGGGCGTTGTCCTCTATACCATGCTTGCGCTCTCCACCCCGTTTGGCGAACGGTCCAAGGCCTCGGCCCAGCTTGGCTCGATCGTGCCCAAACTACAGGCTCGGATGGGGACCGGGACGCTCGCACCTCTGCCGGTCGAGTACACTGATGATGTCTCCGAGCTTGTTCATATGTGCCTCCGCAAGCGGCCATCCAACCGGCCATCTGCAGCCCGTATCCTCACCCTTCCTGTCCTCGAGTCGTCGCTCAAGTACGTCTCGGTCCCCCACCCGCCCGACACTCCAGATGGCCAGGCCAGTAAACGGTAGCCGTCGAGCGCCGGTCACCCCAACTCGCTGGCCAAGCGCCCATCCTTTGACATCAACCATCAAACAGTAAGGGGGGAGGATGGGTGGGCATGGGAGGGGAGATGGGAAGCCGGGCACCTCTTTACTCGACGACATGGGCAAAGACAAGAGCAAGGCCAAGAGCAAGGACAAGAGCAAGTCCAAGTCCAAGTCCAAGTCCAAGTCCAAGTCCAAGGCCAAGGACAAGGGCAGGGACAAGGCTAGCCTGTCGGCCCACTCGGAGGATGCCGGGGATGGCACGGATGTGGCAGCCATGGAGATGTCGGCTGGCGGGAGCAGCGGCGATGGGGCGCAGAAGTCAGTGTCGGGCAAGGGCAAGGGCAAGGGCAAGGGCAAGGGCAAGGGCAAGGACAAGTCCAAGGACAAGGCAAAGTCCAAGGACAAGGGCAAGGGCAAGGACAAGGCCAAGTCCAAGGACAAGGCCAAGTCCAAGGACAAGGCCAAGTCCAAGGACAAGGCCAAGTCCAAGGACAAGGCCAAGTCCAAGGACAAGGTCCCCCGAGGGTGACCATGCCCGCAAGCGGCGGAAGGGACCGGTGGCCGGGGCCGAGGACGAGCTGCGCGAACGGATGCACGACCCGCTGGCGCTGCGGCCGGACGAGTCCAAGAAGTCCAAGAAGGTGGTCAAGCCGATGACAGTGCTTCCGTCGTGGGTGACGCACGCAGAGATCCTGCGCAACGACTTTTCGGCGCTCGCCTCGCTGGACGATGTTCCGCTCTCAGACGAGATCAAGCGCGGGCTGGTCGACTCGGGCGTCTCCAGCCTGTTCCCGGTCCAGTCCAAGGTCGTCCCGCACATTCTCCGGTCTGCGGCTGCGGTGTTCCCGCCGTCGGCCGATGAGGAGCGGCCCGACTCGCGGCGCGACATCGCCGTGTGCGCACCGACTGGATCCGGCAAGACGCTGGCATATGTCATTCCGCTGGTCGAGGCGCTGCGGACACGTGTGGTTCCCAAGCTTCGGGCGGTCATCATGGTTCCAACCCGTGATCTTGTCCTGCAGGCCGAGTCTGTTGTTCGCGCCGTGGCCAAGCACACCGACCTTCTGGTCTGCACACTTCACGGCTACTCCAGCTTTGCAAAGGAGCGCGCAGCTCTGGCCGACGCCGAGACCGGCGAGGCCACGGTCGACATCCTCATCGCCACGCCCGGCCGGCTCGTTGACCACGTCAAGCAGCGTGACGACATCATCTCGTTTGAGCACCTCAAGTACCTGGTCATTGATGAGACCGACAAGCTGCTGGCAATCTCCTACCAGCAGTGGCTTCCGCACCTGTTCCAGACCATCGAGGGCCGCGCCCTGGGCTCGGCTGGCTCGGGTGCACGATCGCCGGTCCAGAAGCTGCTCTTCTCTGCCACGCTCGGCTTTGACCCACAACAGCTCGGAATGGCCAAGCTGGTGCGGCCGATCTACTTTTCGGTCTCGCGCGAGGCCAAGTTCACTCTGCCGAGCTCGCTCTCCGACTTTTACATTGTTGTGCCTGAGGAGGAGAAGCCGCTCGCGCTTCTTCACGCGATCCGCCGCGAGAAGGAGGCCGAGAACAGTGCGCGGTCGATCCTGGTCTTCACCTCGTCGCGTGAACATGCCCACAACCTCACCCGCCTGCTCCAGCTTATCGACGGCGAGATGCGGGTGGCCGAGTTTTCGGCGGCGCTCTCGCGCAGTGAGCGTCTTCAGGCCATTCAGACGTTCAAGGACCGGAAGGTGGACGTCCTCGTCTGTTCCGATGCCCTCACCCGAGGCATCGACATCGAAACCATTGATCTGGTCATTAACTATGATGCGCCGGCGCACCTCAAAACCTATGTCCATCGTGCTGGACGGACAGCGCGTGCTGGACACACTGGACGTGTCGTCACCATCCTCCTCAAGAAGCAGGCGCGGTTCTTCAAGCACATGATGTTGACGGCGGCCCCGCCTCGCAAGCCAACCGAGGACGACTTTATGAGCTTCCGTAAGACCATCAAGAGCAACCGCTCCCAGTACAAGGTGGCGCTTGACAAGCTGAGCAACGTGCTTGCCCGCGAAGAGAGCGGCGAGATCACCACCACCACCCCCGTCGACGTGCTTGAGTTTGACACGCCCAACGTGTCCAAGGAGGTTGTCAACCTCTTTTCTGCTTCTTCGGCCAAGAAGAAGAGCGAGCGCGAGAGCGCGAGCGGGAGTGGGAGCAGCAGCGGCTCCTCATCGGGATCTTCCTCCGACGACGACAGTGACGACGGCGACGCGCCACTGACGCTTGAGCAGCAGATGCTGGCACAGCTGGCGCATCTGGCCTCCGCCGCCTCCGCCGCCTCCTAGCTAGGCTCGCCGGCGTAGACGTAGGCGTCGCGCATGCCTTGCACCACCTCGAACGCGCTCTCCAGGACCTGATCGGGGCAGTCAAACTTGCGATACCAGTGCAAGTACGCGCCAGCCTCGTACATCAGCGCGGCGGCGTCGATGGTCCGCTGAAGCTCGCTCCCAAGATTGGTATGGTTCCACAGAACCGCCAAGTTCGGCCGCGCTGGGCGCACTATACTCTCGACCGATGCGAGTGCGTCAAAGCAATACGGGTTCCACGCCACTGGCTGGTACCATCCGCCGAGGGCAGCCAGCGCCCGCTTGCTGCCTTTGACCCACGACTTGCCCGGCACGCCGCGCGCATAAACGCTGGCGGCCAAGGTGAGACCAGGACAGCCGTTGACGTCGTACTTTGGCAGCGCCCGCGCCGCACGCCTGGCTAGCTTTGTCCACGAGTCAGTATCAAAGATAGCAGCCTTGCGAGCCGGCTCCACGCCGACGCACAGGTGGGCGAGCTTGTATGCCGGATGCGCAAAGGTGGTGCCCAGCAAGTCCAGCGGACGGAAGGCAATCATGTCAGCGCCGGGAATGTGGGCATCGCTCGACGAGCCACCGGCCCTACTCAGCACGCGCGGTGCAAGGATGGAGGCGAGGCCGGTGCCAAAGTGGCGATTGATGTCTGTCATGGCAACCTTGGGCGCCCGCCGTACCGCCGACGACGACGACGCAGCGTCTGCCGGTGGCGCAAGTGCGCGCGCGGCCGCGTCATTGGCGCAGTAGATGATGCCGTCGGCGAAAGCTTGAGCGTGTGCGAGACACAAAATCGAGTTGTAGTGCTGCAGCGGCGTGTCGCCCGTGGCAAACGGGGCGATGGCGACCGAGAACAGCGGGGTCGACGGGTAGTCCTGGCGAATCGAGCCAAGCAAAGCCGAACCGAGTCCCGAGCCGGTGCCACCGCCGATGGCATGCAGAACAAAGATGGCGCCGACAAAGGCAGCAGCTTCGATCTCGACACGGATGGCTTCGAGGGCGCGATCGAGCAGGTTGTCGCCCGGCAGGCCCGCATAGCCGAACGCCCAGTTGTTGCCGCGACCCGACTGGCCAACCACCACCGATCGCGGCTTGGGGCGGGCATCGCTCGAAAGCGCAGCAACCACCTTGGGCTCTGAGTCGACTGCCACCGCCCGGACCGCACCGTCCTCGGCGTACGTCCACAGCGCGGCGTGTGGGCCCAGGACTGGCCTCAGCACCTTCCACACCTCGCCGGCCACCGCGTTGCCAGCCTGGCCGACTGAGACCAGGAGCACACCCATGTGAGTAAGAGCCGAATGCTGGTGTGTGTATGTGTATGTGTATATATATATATGTGTGTGTGTGTGTGTATGTGTGGGGGTGGCAAAGAGGTGTGTTTGGCGGGAGCTGCAGGCGTTCGCCGCTCCGGCTCTTTGTCTCGGGGATGGTCACGCTGTGGCCAGGTCTGGGCCGCGGGGTTCGCGCACTGAATTCATCGCGGGCACTCGGGCATTAAAGGCGCGATAGAAGAGGGCGGACTTGGTACGCCCGCTGGCTAGTCTCTGCAGCCGGGCGCTCCCGCCCATGCTTGCTCTGATGATCTGCTGCATGCCGCTAACAGCGCGCGGCGCCGGGACGACCGGAGCCGAAGCTGGAGCGTGTGCAGCGATGGAGAAGGGAAGGATACAGGATAAGACAAGGTAGCGCACGAGAGGATTACCACTTGCGGACTCGAAAGACGACGACCTTGACAATGCCCCAGAGCTCGAAAGCGGCGGGAATGGCCGAGGTAAAGAACCAGATGGACCAAAAGTGCATGTGATGCCAGCGCTCGATGACAAAGTAGGAGAGAGCGATGGTGGCGGAAAAGTGGGCTGCGATCTGGAGGACAGCCAAGCCGTTGTTAAAGGTGGAGAAGCCGCCAAGGATGCCAACGAGCTCGATGGCGAAGCAGAGGATGGCGAGGGCAAGGACAGAGTCAAACTTGGCCGCCGCCTCATCGAACTGTTGGTTGGCATAGCGGATAGGGAGAGCAGCTCTTACGTTCTCATCCTTGGAAAACAGAATCATCAGCACCATCATGAGGTGCATGATCATGGTCAAGAACCTTGTCGGCTCAATCCTGTCACCGGAGGGCCAAGAGAGGATGGTGTAGTGAGTGCGCGCCAAAGGGGGGGGGAGGGAGGGAGAGAGGGAGGTGTGCTGGTGGTGGGGAGGGAAGCGTACCGAGAAGTCATGTCGGCCATGGTTGAAGAGAGGAGGAGCTAGGGAAGAGCCTGTTGTGTGTGGTGTGCGGTGATGTAGTGTGGTGTGTGTGGGTGTGAGAGGGTGGCGGTGTGTCGGGGAAGGAGCTGCGGGCTGGTCGGCAGGCAGGCGGACTGTAGTGGCGATTCGAATTGGGCGGGGCGACAGGCGACGGGCTTGTGGGACACGTTTTGCAACAGTTTACAGATTGGAGGCCAGCCTCGACTCAGCGGCGGAAGAGGAGCGCATCCTGGGCAGCAAGGTTCTCAGCCATGCACGAGGCAACGTCGGGGTTGGCGCTGACGGCGTCGATGAGACCACAGCGGAGTGAGTCGGCGACTGTGGCGACGGCGTCGGGCTCTGGAGCAACGTTGACAAGGGTTTCGAGGAGTGTTGTCCACATGGCGTTGACCGGCATGGCGCAGGCCAGCTGCTTCTTGCTCGATGTCGAGCAGGTGTCGAGCTCAAAGGTGGCGGCGGGCACGAGCAGGGCGTAGATGCTCGCGGCAATGCCAACAACATCGGCGTGGAGCGGCGAGCGGGTGGCACCGAGCTCGCCGAGCTCTGGATGGTCAAGATCGACGCCGTCGCCAAAGTCGATGAGTTTGACTCCGGTTGTCGACCACGCAGCATCGGTCGAGCACGGCTCCCAGGGGGCCACCGGCTGGACTGCGGGCATGCGGAGGAGGAACTTGTCGGTGGCGATGTGGGTGTGGGAGACGCGGGCCTCGGCGAGCATGCCGAGCACGTCAAGCATCTGAACCGCGTACATGACAGCCAGCGGCTCGGACATAGATGCGCCAGCCTCGACGTAGACGTCGAGAAGATCACGGAGCGAGAGTGACGACGCTCGGCTCTGAACAAGGATCGAGGCGCCTGATGCGTAGAGGTGGCCGGTGACTAGATCAGCAACAAGCGGCGAGCCGCGCGCCACGCGAGCCGAGCGCGATGCCAGCTTGGCGAGGATGTACATCTCCCAAGCCAGCGAGTCGACCGCCGAGTATTTGAGGGCCAGAGGGCTGGCGTCCTCGTCCCACGAGGCTCGGTCTTCGACAGCAAAGATCCACGAGCCCGAGACGCCGCGCCCGAGGACGCGCTCCAGATGCAGGTCGGGCGAGTCGCCAAGAACAAGCAGGCCGTCACCGACGGCCGAGGAGATCAGGTCGCCCTCATTGTCGACAACATCGTCAAGCTGCGGCGCGTGGATGCCGTCGTCGGCAGCGTAGATATGGACCTGGGTCGGGTCCAGCGAGGCACGGGCGTGGGCCTCACGAGCACACGAGACCGGGTCCAGCCCCATCATCGAGTTGCCGAATCGCGTCTCGTTCACCGACTTGGCGATGGGAGTAATGGGCGGAAGGCCGCGAAAATGGCCCGGCGAGCCGCCATCATCGAGCACGGCGTGGGTCTCATTTGCGCCTGCCGCGTTCTCGTCGTAGATGACAAAGCTCGGCGGCGCCATGTCTGCGCGGCCGATCATAGCGTTACGCTGGGTGTTTGCCACCAGCGAGGCCATGTCAAAGGTGGCGGTAGGTGAAGCGTCGTTGAACATTGCCATGACGTCCGACATGGCCTCCTTGGTGTTGACGGTCGGCGACGGGGTGGTGCCAATGTTGGGCGCCACGGCGTTGTCGAACAGATTCTGTGCTGGCGTGGGCGCGGGCGTGGGCGTAGCCGGCGCCGCTGCGTTCTCGTCAAAGATGGCAAAACCAGCCTTGGCGAGAGCAGGGGCCGGGGCGGGAGCTGGCGACTGCGGTGCGTTCTCGTCAAAGATGGCGAAGCCGGCCTTACTAGGAGCAGGAGCGGGTGCTGGTGCGGGAGCCGGGGCCTGGGCGCTCTCGTCAAAGATGGCGAAGCTGGCCGGGGCTGGGGCCGGGGTGGGCTTTGGCGCCGGGGCCGCAGCCGGAATCGGAGCTTGAGCGCTCTCGTCAAAGATGGCAAAGCCGGATGCACCACCAAGGCTGGCGTTCTTGCGGGTGTTGGCTGCCAGGACGGCAGCCGAGAGGTCTGCGGTGGGCGAGGCAGCGTTGAACATGGCCATCACATCCTGCATCGCCTCCTTGGTGTTGACTGTGGGTGACGGCATGTGTCCTGCCGTCCGCATCGACTCAAAGGTACCCGACGGAGTGTCGGGCGCTGTCGAGTCGGGCGTCATGGCCGGCGCGGCGTCAAAAAACGTTGCGCGTTTGGTGTCGGACGACGGCGTTGATGGGAACTGCGGCTGCGGGAGTCGGTTGGCGCTGATGTCAAGGTGCTGACGCTTGGCCTCGGCTTCAGCCTGTGCCTGGGCCTTGGCCTCGGCCTCGGCCTCGGCCTGAGCCTTAGCCTGGGCCTCGGCCTGAGCCTGAGCCTGGGCCTTGGCCTTAGCCTGGGCCTTGGCCTTAGCCTGGGCCTCGGCCTTGGCCTTGGCCTGGGCCTGGGCCTGAGCTTGAGCACGAGCTTGAGCTTCAGCCTGCTGACGCTTACGCGCGGCAAACTTCATGCGCCATGCTAGCGCGCGGTGCTCCTCAAAGCATGACTCACGGCCATCCAGCTCGAGGAGCGCGGCTGCGTAACCGCCGCCTTCCGAGTTGCCAACGGGGGCATGCGGCGCAGGCTGTGGCGCAGGCGCCGAGGTCGTCGAGGCGCCAAGCGGTCTGAGTACAGGCTTGGTCTTTGGGGCGAGAGCAGCAGCAGTGGAAGAGCCACTAGGCTTGGCAAAATTCTTCAGCGGATTGGCGCGGAGGTTGGCCACTTCAGTGGCCTCGGCCTCGGACAGCGCCAGTGGACCGTCGAGCGCCTGGCGGACGCCTGGGCCGTCATCGGCGTCGTCGGTGGCAACCGGCTTGGGCTGCGGCAGATCCTCTTCCACAAAGATAGCAAAGCCAGAGGTTGCAACCGGCTTGGCGATGAGTGGAAGGCCAGGCAGGTCACCGGGCTTGTGGCCGGCCGAGGCCAGTGCTGAACCCGTCCATGCTGCCGGACGTGCAGTGTTCTCCTTGGTCTTGGCCTGCTGAGTTGGCAGGTTGGTGAACGACGGAGCAGCCGAGCTCGGCGCGGCGCCGCCAAGCTGCGAGTCGTCAAAGATGGTGAAAGACGCGCCCTGCACGTTGTCACGAGTCTTGGACTTGAGCTTTCCGGGTCCACGGAGAGCCAGCCGCGAGCCGTGGTTGGCCTTGCGCTTGGAGAGCCGGCCGAGGATTGACCGCTCGGTTGACGATGTCCGGGTCGGGCGCTTGGAGCGCGACGACGAGCGCGCGGCGTGAGCAAAGAACTCCTCTAGCGAGGACAGGCCCGCATCCTGCATCTTTTGCTCGAGGCGTGTGTGCAAGGCAGAAGCGCGAAGCTTGAGCGTCTGCTTTGGCTGGGCACCCATGCGGATGCCGTCCTCAAAGACCCGCACAGCACGGCGGTACGCGCCGGTGTCTTCGAGGACGCCGGCCCACGCCTCGTAGAACAGCGCGACCCGCTCGCCAATTCCGTTCGAGGCCATAAAGGCGAGAATATCTGATGGCTCGTCTACCATCGCGGCGTAGTCGACCCAGATCTGGACGTACCGCACATCGTTGGCGTACATGGTCTCGTGGACCAGCGCCCGAGACGCCCGCTCGAGAAGCGGAAGCACAGCGGCGTCGGCGCCGCCGACAACATAGTTCTGCTCGACCCAGTCAATGTACGGGAGCCAAATATCCCCGAGCACATCGTACCCGTCGTAGTTGGCCAGCTTGTCCTCGTACTCGGCTCGCTGGGCTGCAAGTTCTGCCGCAGCCTCGGACCCGGTCGTCTTGTACTTTGTCGAACCGTCGGCGCCAAAGGCGGCGGCCAGAGCGCCGGGCCTGCGGCCGCGCTTCCGCGGCTGGACGTTCTCTTTGGAGCCCTCAAACTGAGCCATCTCCACAGGTGCCCCAGCCTTGACCATCTCCTTCTCCGAGCCGACACGGTTTGCTTCTGCTGCCTGCGTCTGCTCTGCCTCTGCCGGCTGTGCCTGCAACATGCTCATGGCGCCGACTTGTGTCTCGCTACAAAAGTTTGAACGGGCGAGATTGAGAGCGATGCCGGCCACCATTCGTCGCTCGTACTCTACCCGCCGCCGCTCGTCACCGTCTCGCCGCTCGCAGACCTGATCGACCTTCCTCTTGGCCGGCACTCCTCTCTCTCTCGAAACTCCGCAAGGGGACGCACCTCCACCACTACACATATCAGTTGGGTACGTTACGTGCTGTACATGGCTAAGCTGTGTAAGAGGAGATGATCTGGACAAGGGAGCCAGGGTGTGCGGTCATGGCGTTGTGGCCGGGTGGGGCAAGCGGCGGCGCCAAAGTTGGAAAAAGCCCATTCAAATTTTGAACTGTCCGTTTGCGCGCGCAGGTCGCCAGTCGGGGCCGCCAGACTCCCGAGGGCAAGGGCATAGCTAGTGACTCACCAGTGGGACGGGGGCCTTTGCTCTGCTGTGGACGAAACAGATATATCAGCGGAAAACTCGCATCATGTCTCGTAACCGCCGGATGACGCTGGGCACGCTGTCGTCGAACAGCCTCAACGCGCGGACGTCGCTCGGCCGGTCGGCGTCGAAGCGCAACTCAATGGCGCCCAAGCAGGGCATGCAGAGCGGGCTGCGCAAGGGCCGGCGGAGCCTTGCCCCGTCGTATGCACAGCGCGAGGCGTATGGCGAGGAGGAGGACGACTACGGGCGCGGGATGCACACACCGGCACGGTCGCGGCAGTCGACCGGCTCGGCCATGGGCTCTGCGCTGCGGTCACGGCGGCGGTCGTCGGCGATGATGATGGCGCCGCCGTCGTCGGCCAAGAAGCGGCAGTCACTGTCACTGCTCCCCAACATGGCATCGCGGCGGTCGCTGATGCTCAAGAACGACCCGCGCCCTGTGCGGTCGAAGAAGTTCCAGAACCACACCATTCACACGCTTATCTCGTACCTCACCCACCAGCAGTACTCGGGTGCGGTGACGCCGACGATGCTGGCGCAGCCGACTGCACGCGACTTTCAGCACATGTTCCAGTTTCTGTACCACGGCTTTGACCCGTACTTTAAGTTTGGCCAGCGGTTCGACGCTGAGGTTGCCGAGCTCTTTATGTTCATGGCCTACCCGTTCCGCATCAACAAGTCTGCCCTGGCCTCGGTCGGCTCGTCGCACACATGGCCGACGGTCCTGGCAGGCCTCGGATGGATGGTCAAGCTGCTGACGTATGAGGAGGAGATCCTGATGCTTGAGGAGGAGGCGCGCGACTCGGGTAACGAGTCTGGCGACGAGATCTTCTTCAACCACATCTGCCGGTGCTACCAGGCCTTCCTTGCTGGCGCCGACGAGTTTGAGGTCTTTGAGTACGAGCTTGCCGAGTCGTTTGAGCTCCGCAACAAGTCGGTGACCGACCAGATTGCGTCGTCGCGCGATGCTGTCGCCGGCATGACTTCCCGCATCACCGAGCTGACATCGTCGGACTCGGAGCTCGCCTCGCTGCGCAAGGCCAAGGCCGAGTACACCGCCGATTTGAGCAAGTTTGGCAACATGCTCTCCAAGCTCACGGAGCACATCGGCATGCTCTCTGCAGCGGTTGAGGAGTCGGCGGCCAAGGAGGCGTCGACGACGAGCGAGCTGGCGCGGCTTCGCGAGCAGAAGTCCGCCATCGAGCTGGCCATTGCCGGGCAGCCGGTTTCGTCTGGCGACGTCGAGCGCATGAACAAGGAGAAGGCCGCCCTTGAAGCGTCGGTCGACAACCTGGGTGCGCTCCGCGAGGCCGCCGACAACGAGGCGTGGGACGCCGAGGTCAAGCTCTCCAAGGCCAGCGAGAAGCTGGCCGGCCTGGTCGCGACCATCAACTCGCGCATCGGTGCCGTTGCCTCGTCGTCGCTTGCCGCGAACGCGTCGTTCCCGGCCGAGCTGCGCTCGTCGCTCGACCTGGCGTTCAACGCCAACGGCTCGACAACAGACGATCTGGTTTCGGCCACGCCGACCGCCGTCGAGGCTCACATTACCGCCCTCCGCTCCGCCTTTGGCAGCCTCTCCGATGAGCTGCATGGCGCCTCGCTTCAGGCCAAGGAGCGCAAGGAGGTCCAGGAGGAGCAGCTTGCCGAGAAGAAGTCGGCGGTCTCGGCCCTCGAGTCCAAGATCAACAAGATAGAGCTGCAGTGCACGATGGAGAAGGAGGCTGCCGCGCGGAGCCTTGCGCAGCTCACCTCGGACACGGCCAAGCTGGAGGAGGCTACGCTGCGGCTCAAGGCCGACAAGTCGGCCGGTGTCACTTCGACCTCGCAGCAGGTGGAGGACCTCCGCGCTGCCTACGCTGAGACCGAGCGCCGCTGCGCCGAGGAGAAGGAGGCGCTCTCCACTTGCGTCATCGACACCTTCTCGCTCCTTGTTGAGCACAAGCAGGCCATCCAGACTACCTTTGACAACGTCCACACCATGTGGGAGGGCACCATCGATGACCTTGCCAAGACCATCGCCACCTCACAGTTTATGCAGGCCATGTAACTCGCTGTAGCTGACAACCCATATCAACAAACACCCGTAACCTGAACTCTGCTAGTCTCCGCCATCCACCAGCGCCATCCAGTCGCGGACATCAAAGCCGCGGACAAGGAGCACATTGCCGTCGTGCTGAGCTTCCCACGCATCGACGGCGCTTTCCAGGTCCGACCGCAGTCCGGCGGCCGTGCCGACATGGCCGGCAACAACCGCCCGCTCCCAGTGCCGGGCGAGGGCAAGAACAGACGCCACGGCAGGATAGAGCTCTTGCAGCCGGCCCACCTCATTGGTGATGCCGGCCGGACCAAGGGCGGCGCCCGACGAGACCATGGCGACTCGGCGTAGGTACGAAGCATACGTCTGGTCCCACAGCGCGTACAGCTCGCGGATGACGTCGTCGTTCACGCCGGAGATCGACAGCGGCGGCAGGTTGGCAAACAGCTGCTCGGCTTGCTTCTCCTCCTGCCATCGTGCCAATGCCTTGGAGCTCGCTGCGGATGCGGCTGGCGGCACGCGCGAGCGTGAGATGGGACCGAGCGCCGTCGTCGACCGAGCAGGCGAGGCGAGGCGCTCGCTCCGTCCGCCAAAGGTCGAGGTGAAGACAGGCGAGCGGGGCGGGCTGCTCTCGGGACCGGGGCGGTACTGAGCCCGGGCGCGGAGAATGAGCATGGAGGCCACAGCCTTTGGGTCAAACGACTCGTCGAGGATCGAGGTCGAGGCGTCGGTTGCGCTGGCGACCGATTGGACAGCCGACTCGACGACAGACGCAGCGATGCGTGGCGAGGGCGAATGAGGGGGCGGTGAGGGTGAGCGGCGGCGGGGCGATGGCGAGGGTGATCGAGGAGCCGGCGACGACAAGCCCTGGCGTGCTTGCAGCCGCTGGTTCGGGGAGGAGTTTGAGAGACTGCGGATTTCGCGGGCATCAAGCGCCTTGGTCCGCTCGCGGAGATGCTTCTCCTTCCACGCCCACTCTGTGCGGGCGTCTCGAATGCGCTGCTCAAGAGTAGCGCGCTGGTTGGCAATGGTTCGCTCAAGCTCACGGACCTTGGACTCACGCGATTCGAGCTCGCGAGTCTTTTTGCGGCGGTAGGCGTTGAAACTCGACTTGAGGCGCGCAAGCTCGGCGTGAGCAGTCTTGATGGTGGCACGCTCTTTGGCGACCGACTCGCGAGCCTCTCGGACTTGATGAGCCTTAAAGTGAGAGACAAGCTTGGATTTTTCCACCTGCAGCTGCTCCTCGACCTGGAGCTTGACTTTCAGCTCGGCCTGAGCCTCGAGGTGAGACTTGGCGTCGGAAACTTCCTTGGCAACAGCAGCGTCGAGGCGATCGCGGAACTCGGCCTCAAGCGCGGAACGGTGCCGTTCGGCCAAGACAGCTTGCTCACGCTCGGCAAACTCGGCACGGATTTCGCGCTCGAGCTCGACAGCCAGCTCGGCGCGGAGCTCTCGACGGATGGTCGGCGCGAGCTCCTCACGTAGCTCGGCGGCAATGGCCGTCTTCATCTTAGCAAGGAGGGCGGCACGCATCTTGCGCTCGACATCGGAGCGGAGCTCCTGGCGAACCTCGTTGCGGACGGCATCGAGCTGGGCCGTGTATGCAGCCTGGGCTTGGGCGTGGGCTTCGGACGCAACCGCTGCGCACTTGGCGTTGGCCTGCTCCTGCAAAGCCATCACTTGGGCCTGAACCTGCTTGTGCATGTCACTCTCGAGATGGGCGCGAGCGTCGGCGAGCTCGGCTGCTGCATCGGCGCGAACGCGATCGAGCTCGCGGGCGACCTGGCTCTCAAAGGCCTCTTCGGCCTCGGCAAGCTGGCGGGCGTACTCCAGCTCGGCGTTGTGGGCGCGCGTCTCAGCAAGCGCCAGCTTCCCAGCGTACTCATTTTCCAGCGCAGCGCGGAGCGAGGCCTCGAGCGCGGTGCGCATGGTATCGAGCTCGGCGCGGACGTGGTCATGCAGGCCCTTGGAGTGGCGCGGGCGAGGCGCGGGTGGTGCGCCACGCGTCCCATCACTGTCATCATCATCGCCATCCGCATCGGACCAGCCGGCAGCAGAGCCATTGCGAGTCTCTTCACCTTCGACAGCAGGCGGAGCAAGAACCTCCATCGAGTCATCCCACAGCGACGCAGCAGGCCCCGCCGATGGCGGAGTGAGGCCTGTCCCCAGGTCGTCAAACGGAGACGGGCCGACGTAAGGCGACGCTGGAAGCACTGCCGCCACGGCCTCACTGACCGTCTGGGCCATGAGAACGTTGTTTGTAGAGAGTGAGATAGTGGGGTGGTGAGTGGTGGTGGTGGTGCGTGTGTGTGTGTAGGGGGGAGGGAGGGCGTGGCTGGCAACCGGCGGTTGAGCGGTCGATGCGCGCCAATGGCGTGCGATGGCCAAATGGGACACAGGGTGGTTGGCTAACCTTTTTTTCAGAGGGAGAGCATGAGAGCGAGGCACTGGGAAGAAAGGATGATGGTGGAAGAGGCAGTATTATGGTCAAGTAGAGAGGGTGGGGGGGGGGTCGGGGGGGGGGGCAAAGATGTTTTCGATGAACAAGCTAGAGGTCAATGCGGACGCCATCCTGCTTCATCGACTTGTCGGCCGAGTTGAGGATGTGGACGACCTTAAGGCCAAAGGAGCCATCAGAGCGCATGTCGTAGTGGACGTCGCGAATGGCGGTGCAGAACTCGGTCATCTGGCTGCCGAGAGGCTCGGACTTTTCAAACTCGGGCATGTAGACATCACCAGGGGCAAGGGCGAGGAAATCCTCGACCGATGACATGTCGGTGGCGTTCTTGCCGTCTTCCTGGAGCTCGTGCGCGCCCTTAAAGTAGACAGAGATCGGGTGGAGGGTGGCGGTGTCGCGGAAGACGATGCGCGACTTGGAGCCGACGACAACAACCTCGCGCTCCTTGTTCGGGTCCATCCACGAGGCATGGACGTGAGCAACAAGCGCGGAGCCCTTGAAGCCGATGGTGAGGAAGACCACGTCGGCGAGGTCTGAGCCCGGCAGGATAGACGAGCCGGTGCAGGAGACCCACTCGGGCTCGAGGCCCTGGCGGCCGAGGATGTCGAGGAACATGGAGACGTCGTGGGTAGCAAGGTCCCACAGCGCCGAGACATCGTGGCGGATCGGGCCGAGGTTCGTCCGCTTGGCGTAGACGTACTGCAGCGCGCCGCAGTCGTCGCGAGCAATGAGCTCCTTCATCTTGGTCACCGACGAGTTGAAGAGGAAGGTGTGCCCCACAAGGAGGCGGACATTGTTGGCCTCGGCGGCGGCGATCATGTCGTTGCACTCCTCCTCGGAGACCGCGAGCGGCTTCTCCATGAGGACGTGCTTGCCAGCGTTGAGAACCTGCATGCCGACGGCATGGTGGAAGCCTGTGTCACCCAACAAGCCAGTCAATGGTTAGCCAGTATGGGTGAGTCGCTGTCGAAAAAACGAGTGTCTCGCCGCTCCATCTCCCGCAAACACTGCCCTGGACGGCTCCCCGCATCGCTACACACGAGTAAGGCGCCCAAAGCCCAAGCTTCGCGTTGGTGCTGATCTCAACGGGACACTCGTGTAAATAGACAACGTACGGGCCGGGACGACAATGACGACAGCCTCGAGCTCGGGGACGGCGAGGAGCTCATCGACCGACGAGAACGCGGGGACGTCCGGGAAGCGCTCAACAGCCTTGGCCAGGGTCGGCGGATGCATGTCGCACATGCCGACCAGGTTGGTCTTGGCATGCTGTCCGGTGAGGCGAACATAGTTCTTGCCCCAGTAGCCGACACCAACGACACCGATGGAAACAGGGTTGGCCATTGTTGAGATTGTAAGAGGTGGGGAGAGAGTGGTGGAGGTGAGCGAGTGGTCCAGACGCGAGCGCTGGAAAAATGAGCCTTTGGTCCTCTCACTTCCGCCGCACCAAGACCGATGCCGCGATGCAGGCAGCCAGGAATAAGACTGCTGCGTGTGATTCATCTGGCTTAGCCCTCTGCCACGGAGTTATGTTCCTCCCAGTGTCCATGTCGTGGCGATTCAGCCTGCGCTTGGCATACTAGCTCCCGCCCGGGAGGTGGCTGTGGTGGCGGCCGTTGCGTCAGTGATTGATCGCAACGAAGTTTGCCGACGAATGGCTCAGCGCGCCCGACTCTGCCGCCCCGTCCGCGGCCACAGCGAGTGCCGTAGCGAGTGCCACACCGCACCCTCGGCTTCCCCTTCTGGCAAGAGACACATGGCAGAGGGCCACGAGGACTACGAGGGCGTGGACCTTAACAAGGTTGAGGCTGACGACCTTGAGGAGCTCATGCTTGACGACGGTAGGTCGGTCGACGGCCCGGTGCCGTTTGCGCGCCAAAGAGCGACAGGCTTGCTGAGCGGGCAACTGGGGCGAGGGTAAAGAGAGCGACTCACTTGGGCGGAGCGATAGATGAGGTAGGAGTTGTTGATGGCATGGGATATGCTGATGAGGCCCAGTCGCGGAAGGACAAGGAGGTGGAGGACGAGCAGTTTGCAACCGACGATGTGTGCGGACCGGAAGATCTGAGTGACTCGGAAGGCGAGTCGGACGAGGACCGCGGCGAGGATGATGATGGAGGTGAGGAAGAGAATTGCGATGGTGATGCTGGCGAGTTTGGATCGCGCAAAAAGTACCGCGTCAAGCGCAGGCGCCACGGAAGGCGGCGGCGGTCGCGCAAGTCGCGCAAGTCGCAGAAGAGCGACGATGGCGGCGCGGTGGTGAAAGAGGAGAGGGAGGTCGAGTTGGAGGAGGAGAACGTGATACCGACGGCGGAAGGCAACGGCGAGTCGCGGCGGCGGAAGAGACGGCGGCGGTCGTCGCGCAAGCCCAAGGGCGACGCTGGCAGCGGGGCCGAGGTGGCGCAGCAGGTCACCGGGGCTGCGGCGGCGCCGCCGATTGAGAGTGATGACGACGAGTGGCAAGAGGAAGCCGCGGCTGCGGGCGCAGTGGCACCAAGCGAGCCGTCGACAGCGGTCTCGCATGTCACCGGACAGCACTGGGAGCAGCTGCGCAAGACGTTTCGGCAGGGCGCCCAGATGGCGTCTGTGCTCGAGGGGTGGTACCCCGGTGTGCGCGGGTCAACGCTGGCGCACATCTACGAGCTTGGACACCACCGGCCGTCGGCACATCTCATCCCGGCGCTTGCCTCGCACGGGCTCGGATACGCTGACCTTGCGGTAGAGCGCAACACGGGTGAGCTGCGGCCGGTGTACTCGCGGTCAACGTTTGCAGTCCGGCTGACGACGGCGCTCGGCGTGCCGACGCCCGGCAACTATGCAGAGATTCTGGAGCGCAAGGCGCGGATCTGCCTCTTTGACGGCGAGTCAATCCTCTCAAACATCCACGTGGTGGTGGCGACGAAAGATTCGCAGTTCTCGGCCGAGGTTGGAACGACGACGCGGATCCGTGAGCAGTGGAAGTTTCCGCGGCACGGCGGGTTTGTGCCGTCGTCGGAGGAGCATGACAACGTGCTAGTGGTTCGGTTTCCGGCGCCGCCGTCTGTGGAGGCTGCGTCGCGGATGTGTCTTCTTGTCGAGCTTGCGATGGTGTTTGTCCGTCGCGGCGAAGTCGACGCTGCGCACCCGCAGGGCCGGATCATCGAGTCTGGCGAGGTGTCTGCAGGATGGACAACGCTGCCGCTGTTTCCGGACCGCGACGGCAAGCTGGTGGACCTGTCATCATACACGCTTCCCCTGCACGGCGGATCGCCGCAAGCGCCCACAACCCTCATCTCGCAGCAGGAGATCGAGGCGCAGCGGATCCCGATGTGGAAGGTGTTCTCAAAGCGGGCGGGGCCCAAGCTCAAGCTGAAGCTCGGCTCGCTCTCGCGGTCGCACATGCACGCGTCGGGCTTCCTGCCGTCGACGTTTCTGGCGTCGTTTTCGACGCTGCCGCTGCTGGTGCTGTTCCGGCAGCTGCTCGCGGCGCGGCTGCTTGGGCCGAGCGGCGGGGCGGGCGAGGCTGGGGACAGCGGCGAGGCGAGCCGGGCGACGGCGGTCTCGTACGATCCTGTGCTCACGCTCTTCCCGATGATGCTTGACGAGCCGGACATGATCGAGTGGCTGGAGATCATGTGGGCGGCCAAGACGCGGCACATGACCAAGTCTGAGCGGCGGAGTGTGGGAGCGGCCGGCCCGGTCTTTTCGACTATGATCTCTGAACTCTGGCCGCTGTTCTACGTTCACTTTCTGGCACCGCTCGGCAACCCAGAGCCGCATGTCCGGCGCGAGCGGCTGGCGTTTGTAGAGGACTTTGTGCAGGAGCCTGTGGCGCGGACGGCGCTGGATCCTGGCGCGTATAACGTGTACCAGCCGTTCCACATCGAAGAGGTGGCCTTTGATCCGCTTGCTAACCTCGGCTCTGCGTGAGCGGCGCAGCGCCTTTGCCGCGTCTGCCTTACTAAATGCAATCGATCATCGGCCGTGGAGCCGATTCATCTTGATGACGATCTTTTGGTTAAGGCGATGGGCCGAGGCGCGGAGCGAGTCGAGATGGCCAAACGGCTCGGGAGTGAACGGCGACGAGACCAGCGTGTCGCTGCCGGGGTCGGCTTCGGCCTCGAGGATGGTGTAGAAGAGTGGTGGGGCGACGCCGTGGACGAGGCCGCGGGCGTCGCGGGCATCCTGGAGGACGTCGACGTCGATGTCGCCTTCGTCGTCGTCAGGGCGCAGCGGACGATAGTGGTCAGCGGAGCGCGGCGCAGAGCCGGACGAGGTCTTGCGGGACGACGAGTCGGCCGAGGTTGATGAATCGAGTGAGGGCGAAGACGACGAGGCCGAGAGGTAGGTGGCGGACGAGGCGAGCGAGGCGAGCTCGTCCTCGACGCCGGACCATGAGCGGAGCGAGGCGTCCATGGCCGAGGGCAGGCGGAGGATGGACGGGGTGGGAGTGGGCGGCGGCGGCGGCGTGGGCCCGTGCTCGGCGGCGAGAGCAAGGGCGCGGCGAGTGAGGCGCTGCGCTTCCTGAAGGGCCCCGTTTGCAGCGTAGGCGCGGGCGAGGTCGAGATAGGCAGCGACGTGGCGCGGCTCAAGCTCGATGGTTTTGAGCAGGGCGCGGAGTGCGGCCTTGCGCTGGCCCTGGGCGCTGAGCACCTTGGCATGCCAGTAATGGCCGGCGGCAAAGTCAGGATAGCGCTGCATGACTTCGGAGAGGAGCTCGTCGGCCTGGAGGTGCTGATGGAGGGCAATGAACTCGAGGGCGAGCTGAAACTTGATGGCTGCGTTGCGCGGGGCGCGCTCGAGAGCGGTGGCAAGGGCTCGGACGGCGGCAGGGTGGGCACCACACGATGCGTGAATGTAGCCAGCGAGACGGAGTGGAGCGGCCCACGCCGGCTGGAAGGCTGTGGCAATGTCGAGGGCGGAGAGCGCCGGCTCAAACTCGCCCAGCTCAACCAGTGCGTAGCCGAGTATGAGCGCGTGGAGGGCCGAGGTGGTGTCTGCAAGGCGGGCGACGGCGGCAAAGAGGTTGATCGCGCGGTCGGGCTCGCCGTGGGCGAGCTCAAAGCACGCGCGCTGAAAGAGGTACAGCGACTCGTTCGGGGCGAGGTTGACAGCCTGCTCATACTGCACGGCGGCAGCAGCGGGATCGCCGGATTCCTGGACGGCGAGCCCGTACTCAAAGGAAAGAACCGGTGAGGAGGGGATAAGAAAGGCGGCGGCGCGAAAGTGGGCGAGCGAGATACCTTGCTGGGCGGCCGCACGAAGGGCGTTGCCGACAACCACCGGCGCGAGGACAACTAAAGGCTCGGCGTCGGGAGCAGACGCTAGGTGGTGCGGGATGATTGTAGAAGGGTGCGGGCCGGCAAAGGCGGCGCGCCACTCGAGCAGCTCGCGGGCAAGCTTGGCTTGTGTGGAGAGCGCAACGATGACCTCTGCAGTCGGCTTTGCGTGGAGGGCGGTGGAGACAAAAGACCAGGCGTGGTCAAAGAGGTGAGCGGCAAGGAGGTTGCGGGCGAGCGGGAGGGCAAGCTCTTGCTTGAGGCCGACGAGCTCGTGGTAGACGTCAAGGGCAGCAGCGAGGAGCGACGATTTGCCTTCGTCGAGGTAGAGGGCAAGGTAGACCGAGGAGCGGAGGAGGAGCGGCTCGACAGCGAGTGAGTCGAGGATGAGGGCGGAAAAGTGTGGCGCCGGGCCGCCGCCGATGCCCTGCAGCCGGGCGTCGGCGCGGTGGTAGTCCTCGATGGAGACGAGCCAGGCGTCGTTGTCAAAGGCGTCGAGCCAGCGGAGGGCCTCCCGGTACTGGCGGGCGTCGACGAGGGCGTGGATGGTCTGCAAAACCGGGCGGAGGCTGTCGTAGTCGCCGCGCATCCAAGCGGTTGTAAAGAAGCGCGAGATGGCGGCGGCAAGAGGGGCCGGGTTGGGCAGGTCAAGCCGGAGGCTCGGATACGGCAGCAGCTCCCTCAGCGGGAGGTGCCATCCGAGGCCGGCCCGGTGGCGCGATGACCACCATGCGTCAATCTCGGCGCGGCTCGGTGCAAGGCGGAGAGTGTCGGCGTCGTCTGACGGCGGATGCGGGAGAGCGGGAGCGAGACGCGGGTTGAGGGCGTCGCGGGCGGCAGCGAGCGTAAGCGGAGGCGGCGTGAGCGGCGGGCAGACCGGGCGCGAGGCGCCGAGCACACCGAGGCCAGCCCACCGCCAGCCGGTAGCGCCAACAACATGAGTGGCTCGGCCACGAGAGCGGAGGCCGTAGACGGCGGCCCATGTGGATGACCACGCCCGTGGCAGCTCCACAACCGGGACCGACTCGCCATCGCCAGCATCCGAGTCCGAGTACGACTCGAAGAGCCAGAGCGAGGCGCCCGAGCCGCCCGACGACGAGCCGTCCGAGACTGTTGATGCCGAGTCTGTCGAGTCTGCCGAGTCTGTCGAGTCGTCCAAGTCAGCCAAGTCTGTCGCTGTGCCAGCCACCAGCCGTTGATGAGCCAGGGCATGTCCGCCTCGTCGTCCGCCACCTGCTCTCCGTGCACTCCGCCTCAGCCTCCTCGTTCGTCGCCTCCTCCGTGCCCTGTCACGGCTATATGGCACCAGCGGGTGTGAGGCCATGGCACCCATGGTGTGTGTTTTGGGTGGGGTGGGGTGGGGGGGTGGGGGGGGGTGGGGGGTAGGGAGAGGGAAGTGTGGAGAGGGAGGGTGAAGGGCTCCTTTCTGGCTGGGCTCAGTTTGGCCTGCTGCGTTGTGGCGTTGTGGCGACCAGCGTGAAGAGGTGGTTGCGTAGGTGGCGAGAGATTGGGTAAGGTGTGTGGTGTGTTTATATGTATATGCGTGTGTGTGTATGTGTGTGTATGGGGGTTAGATCGGGGATGTAGGGGATGTGGGGGGGGGGGGAGGAGGGGCGATGGAGATGAGGTGGGGTATTGTAAGTGGCCAGGGCGAGATCGAGAGCGAGAAATAGAGAGAGAGAGAGAGAGAGAACAAGCGTGAGCGCGTGCTTGCGTGTGTGTGAGTGTGCGGTGCCCAGAGTAGGTCGGGAAGAGTAGCGATGAGCGTAGTGTAGGGCGAAGGGTAAGGTGTGCGGCGTTGGTCGTTGGGCGTTGGGCGTAGTGAAGGTCAGGTGCGTGAGGGTGCATCATGTTGACGGCGCCGATGATGGCGCAGGACGAGGAGGAGCAGAGGCAGACGACGGCAGCGGCCGCAATGAGTACTCGTCATCGTCAAAGTCATCAGGCAGCTTGTTATCGAACGACTTGTGGACGTGGCGGGCTGCCAGCTGCTTGCGAAGGCGGGCGCGGAGGGCAGGCGTGGTGGCGTTCTCGGTCTCGGCCAGGACAGCATAAAGCTGGTCCTCATCGTCCTCGCCAGCAAACTCGTCACCGGGGAAGCCAATCACATCCATGTCCTCCATGATGAGCCGTTGTGGGTGGTGTGTGAGGTTGTGTTGGAGCCTGGCGAGGAGGGGGGAGGGAGGCGAAGGAATGCGACCTGGATCTGTTCACGAACGATTACCTCAACCAACAGAGTAATCGTTCTCGAATACGTCTACAACAAATAATCGTGTTCGGTTCTCGAATACCTCAACAACAAATAATCGTGTCCGGTTCGCCGGCCACCCCCCCCCCCCCCCCCCCTCCGCCAGATGTGGCCGGCCGGCTGAGGCCAAGCAAAGGCTTGCGGCGAACAACCGCTGGTCGGCCGACCTCACTTTGCGAACCATCATGGCGGCGGTGTCTGAGGAGGAGCAGAGGCGTGCGGATGAGCTGAAGAACAAGGGCAACCAGTACTTCCAGGGTACGTTAGATGGGCGGGACGGAGGCGGGGGTGTGTCGGACCGTGCGGGGCTTGGACGGTGTGGGGGTGCGTCGAGAAGGGGCCTCGGCTGAGCCATTTTTCTGCGGATGGGCAGGGCAGTGGCGAGGCGGCGTGAGGACTGACGGAAGCAGGGCGGTGTGGTGCGTGAGATAGAGGCGCACTACGGGCAGTCGCTGGAGGCGTACTCGGAGGCGATCAAGATCAATCCCAACTCGGCGGTGTACTACGCAAACAGGGCGTTTGCGCACATCAAGATGGAGGCGTACGGCGCGGCGTTGACCGACGCCAACTCGGCCATCGAGCTCGATCCCGACTACGTCAAGGGCTACTACCGGCGTGGATCGGCCAACTTTTGCCTCGGGCACTACAAGGAGGCACTGAAGGACTTTAAGCGCGTGGTCAAGCTCAAGCCGCGCAATGCCACGGCCCGCAACAAGCTCAAGGAGTGCGAGAAGGCCGTCAAGCGCATGGCGTTTGAGGCGGCCATCGCGTCGGGCGAGGCGACCGACGAGGCCTCACCGTTTGACAACCTCGACTACGACTCGATTGCCGTCGAGGACTCGTACACCGGGCCGCGGTTCGACGGCGACATCACGGTCTCGTTTGTGGAGGAGCTCATTGCCACTTTTAAGGCGCAGGGCAAGCTCACCGCAAGTATGCGCTCAAGCTGCTGGCGCTGGCCAAGCCCATCTTTGCGGCGGAGCCGTCGCTCGTCGACGTCCCGGTCAACGACGCCTTTACCGTCTGCGGCGACGTCCACGGCCAGTTCTACGACTTTTGCAACATCTTCGAGCTCAACGGCCCGCCGTCGGAGACCAACCCGTACCTGTTCAACGGCGACTTTGTCGACCGCGGCTCGTTTGGCGTGGAGATCATCTTCACCATGCTCGCGTACAAGGTGCTCTATCCCAAGGCATTCTTCATGACGCGCGGCAACCACGAGTCGAAGAACATGAACCAGATGTACGGCTTTGAGGGCGAGGTCAAGGCCAAGTACGACGACCGCACCATGCGCCTCTTCACTGATCTGTTCAACTCGCTCCCGCTCTGCGTGGTGCTCGGCGGCAAGGTCATCGTTATGCACGGTGGTCTGTTCTCGCGCGACGACGTGACCCTCGACGACATCCGCGCCATCGACCGCTTCTGTCAGCCGCCCGACGAGGGCCTCATGTGCGAGATCCTCTGGTCCGACCCGCACCCCTACCCAGGCCGCGCGCCGTCCAAGCGCGGCGTCGGCGTCGCCTTTGGTCCCGACGTCACCAAGCGCTTCCTCGAGGCCAATGGCCTCGAGCTCCTCGTCCGTTCGCACGAGGTCAAGGACGAGGGCTACCTTATTGAGGCCGACGGCAAGCTCATCACAGTATTCTCTGCCCCGAACTACTGTGACCAGGTCGGCAACAAGGGCGCCTTTATCCGCTTCGACTCGGAGCTCAAGCCGCACATCACCTCGTTCGAGGCCGTTCCGCACCCGAACGTCAAGCCCATGGCCTACGCCGGGCCGTCATTGATGTCACTGTTTGGCCTCTGACCGCATCGGAACGCTTGTAAATGCCCCCCACTACCTTGGCCTAGCCTGCCTTTGAGCGAATGCGCTGTTGGATGGGTGTGCGGCTGCTGGCTGCTGTTGGTCGGTGAGCGACATCCTCCGGTCTGACTCGCCCCCCGTCGGGCGGGGTCGCCGGCGAGCTCGTGTACGCGAGTGTCCTACTACACTCGACTGCAACGGACCACTGCAAGGTTACGAATGCTCTGGAGTGCTGTGGTTGGTGTGCGGATGGCAAGCAGGGCGGCGGCGGTTCGCGCGGGTGGTGCGGTGGCGACGCGCAGCGCGTCAAGGGCGACAGCGACGGCCGACGCGGGCACGGTCGCCGTCGCTGGAGGCGTGAGCGCCGTTCGGGCGTTCTCGGCCTCGGCATTCGCATGCACTGGGTCGGACCCGGGCTGGAAGGGTGACGGGACGGTGGCCAACGTGGTCTTTGTCACGCCCGAGGGCGAAGAGCTGGCGGTCGAGGGCGAGAATGGGCAGCATCTCCTGGCCATCGCCCACGACAACGGCATTGAGCTCGAAGGCGCGTGCGAGGCCTCGCTAGCCTGCTCGACATGTCATGTCATTGTCGACGACGACTTTTTCGACAAGCTCCCCGAGCCTGAGGAGGAAGAGGAGGACATGCTCGATCTCGCCTTTGGCCTCACCGAGACCTCGCGCCTCGGCTGCCAGATCGTCATGAGCCCCGACATCGACGGCATTCGCGTCACCCTCCCGGCCGCCACCCGCAACTTTGCCGTCGACGGCTTTGTGCCTCAGCCGCACTGATAAATCATGGTCATTCCCTGTCTACCTTCAGCGGCGGCGGCGCCGCCTCGTCAGAGCTCGCCAGCATCTTGCCCTGCCGCACAAAGCAGCGCACCCAACTAGAAGCAGCCATGCAATCAGACCGGCACACGTCCTTACTCCGCGATCTATCCTGCTAATTGCTTCCACCACCCGCCACCCAATTGACTGTGATGAAGTAAACACAAGTCGCTCTCGGTGGCTGGCACACTCGACTTGACTCGACACCATGAGCTCAGGCGAAGAGGATGCCCAGTCGGTGCTTCGGAAGAAGGTTCTGGCCATCCAGCGGGACGCGAGTTTGAGCCCTGCGGAAAAGTCTCGCAAGATCCAGGTAGGTAGTGAGGGTGAGGATGGCATGAGCTTGTATATGGTGGCGTTGTGTCGGGGAGAGGGGGGAGTGGTCCGAGTGGAAGGTTCGCAGAGTCGGGATGGGACGAAGGACGCGGGCAGAGGCACACTCTCTGCACGGCATGCTTTGTCGTGGATGGATAGAGACAGAACTTACGGCAGTGGGATTTTGGGGAGGGGGGATGCACAGGACATCATGATGGCCAAGTGGAGGAGCGGAAATGCTGGAGCAAGTCAGGCGACTAGCGATGAGTGCGACGACAAGGCCAAGAGTTGGTACTCGCCACCGAGCGAGACTGGCGATGACGAGGGGATTCTGGGGTGCAAGCACTATCCACGCAAGTGCAAGCTCTGGGCTGAGTGCTGCTCCAAGTTTGTGACATGTCGGCTGTGCCACGATGAGGAGACCGGCGATCCCGACCATGTGCTGGATCGGTTTTCGGTGAGCAAGATCCTGTGCATGGAGTGCGGGACCGAGCAGGCACCGGCGACCAACTGTGCTAATTGCAACATCGCGTTTGCCTCGTACACCTGCCTCAAATGCAACTTGTTTGACGGCAACCCGAACAAGTCGATCTACCACTGCGACAAGTGCGGGCTCTGCCGGGTCGGCGAGGGCCTCGGCATCGACTTTTGGCACTGTGACACGTGCCAGATGTGCCTCTCGATCGATCTGGAGAACCACATCTGCATCGAGAAGAACATCATGTCCAACTGCCCGGTCTGCCGCGACTACATGTTCACGTCGACCGAGTCGATCCAGATCCTGCCGCGCTGCGGCCACTGCATGCACGAGTCGTGCTTCCGGGAGTACGTTGAGTCCTCGCTCGTTTGCCCGCTCTGCTCCAAGACCATCTACGACATGACCGAGCAGTGGCGCCGTCTCGACAACCTCATGGCGCTCTCGCCCATGCCCGAGGACTACGCCGAGTCGGTCGCACATCTCCTCTGCAACGACTGCTCCGGTCGCTGCCAGGTGCCGTTCAACTTTCGCGGCCACAAGTGCAGCCACTGTGGCTCGTACAACACCCGTGCTGTTCATGTGGACCATCCCGAGCACATCACCGCCGCCCGCCTCGGCGGCGCTATCCCATCTGCTGCTGAGCGCCAGGCAGCAGCAGCTGCCGCCTCCGCCGCCGCCGATGACGACGCCTCGGCTTCAGCCTCGGCCTCAGAGGAGTCGGTCACTGGCGATCAGGACGTGCCCGTTGTCATCGACATGGATGTCGGCGAGTCGCCGTCTGGCACCACCACCGCCGTCTTTGTCGACGCAAGCACCTACGAGGCCAACCAAATCGGCACCGAGCCTTCGGTCTCTCCGCAGCACCCACCAGCCGTCGTCGACGAACCGGAGCCGGTTGCCATGCTCATCACCCCGACCGCCCTCGATGTCACCGCCGAGTACGGCCACACCGGGCCGGGCATGTCGCCATCAAGCAGTGTGCCTGAGAACGGCAGCGCTGGTGGCAACGGCGACGACGACGACAATGAGGTCTGGAATGTCATGGCCTCGCCGTAAACTATAAAGCCGTGTTGGCCCGCCTCACACCTGGTCGGGATGAACTTCAAAGTACGGCCGTGCCGGAGACGTAAAGGTGTCGTCAAGCCGGGCCGATCGCGCCCGCACCTTGCGCCGCACCCGATGGACCTCTCGAGCCGACGACGCCGGTGACTCGCTGGTACGCTTGCGCTGCAGAAACGAGGCAAACAGATCGCCCAGCAGCGCCTCTTCCTCCTTGTCTAGCGTGGAAGCCTCGAGCTCGTTGCCCTCCTCCTCGGCATCGGCATCGGAATCATCTCCGACCTCGACAACCTCGACAATCTCGTCGGGCGCAGCCATCTTGACTGCCTCCCTAGCCTCTAGCTCAACCACCTCGCGGCCGTTCTGCAGCGCGCTGCGCATGGCCGTCTGGATCGCCGACTGGACCCGGGCCTCGTCCATCACCAGCTTGGCATGATGCTCCACAAGTGCAGCCGTCAAACTGCTCTCCTCGCCCATAAGGTGATCTTCCTCGAACCTGGAAGCAGTCGCCCGAGTCGAGGCGGCATGTGAGTTTGGCGCCATTTTGCCGCGCCCCCCCCCCAACCCTCTGCCCCCTGTCCCCTCTGCCCTCCCCCCCCCCCCCTCCTGTCCCCCTCCCTCCCATGCCATTCAACCCTCCCCCCACCCCCCTCTACTCGTCCCCACCACCATCCAGTATGGCTAGCACCCTACCTGCGAATCTTCTCCGCTACAAAGCGACGCAGTTGCAACAGAACGTCCATTCGATGACCGCCACCTTCCATTGTGGAGGAGAGTAAAACCAGCGAGCGGTGACGACGACGACCACACACCATTATTCATCCATCACAAAGCCAAAAACTCATTGTTCACCAACTGACTGACAGACTCGGTCATTCCAACCCACCCACACCTACACACCCACACACCTACACACCTACACACCCACCCACACCATAGACTCAACCCAATCCCCACCAAAGACTACCTTCCCCACACATACACTCTATTCTTTTATTCTGCACGCTATGTCTTCGCAACAGGAAAAGGTAGCCATGTTCCAAGGTAGGCTTCCCCTGCACTCCACACCCCCCCCCTGCTCTGCTTCCCCCTTGCTGCACCTGTGCATGCAACTACTGATGATGTGGGGGTTTTTTTTACACTTCCTTTTCTTCTTTCTCCCTCTTGTACTCACAAACCTTGACAGGCATAACCGGCGCATCCGAGGCTACCACAAGGCAGTTCCTCTCGCGGGCTGGGTGGAACGCGGAGATGGCGCTGTCGAACTACTTTGAGGCCGGACTCGAGCCCGAGACGGTGCCGGTCCCGGTTGCGCCGCCGGTCAACGCTACCGGACCGGCCGACGAGGATCCGCTGGTGGGCGACGAGGTGTGTGCACTGGTGGCCGCCGGAACTCGCCGCGCGATGCCGCTAGTCGGAGCCACAGTTCATGCGGTGGTCCTGGATCTGGCGGCCGATGTTGATGTCGTCTTTCGCTTTGTCAACGACTCGGACGACGCGCTGGAGGCCTCGTTTGTCTTCCGCAATGACGACGTGGCCATCTGCGGGTTCGAGGCTCAGGTCGGCGACTTGCAGATCGAAGGCGTGGTCCAGGAAAAGCAAGCTGCACGTGCAGCATATACCGCCGCCGTGGCCGCCGGCGATGGCGCCTTTCTCCTTGAGCAGGGCGTCAACGAGTCGGTCTTGGTTCTTGCCATTGGCAACGTCCTCCCACACCAGTCGGTCCTCATCCGGCTCCGGTACGTCATCGAGCTCGAGCTCGAGCGCGATGCCGTTGTCCTTCCCATCTCGCTGGCGCGGCTGCCGCTAGCGGATCCGGCCAGCTTGCCGGACGCAGCGCCCGACGACGCCGCCACCGCCGAGGTTCCGCCCGGGCTGGCAGTGACGGTGGCGGCCACGATGCCGTCAGCCATTCACGACGTGGTCTCGCTCACCCACGACGTGCGGACCGAGCGTGAGTCAGACGAGCGGGTGCACGTCACGGTTGAGCGCCCGCTCGGCGGCGAGGTCGCCAGTGCCCCGCTCGTTGTCCGCTTCCACCTCGATGCCGCCAACCAGCCGCGCCTCGAGTGCCAGGCCTCGGGTCTGCTTGGCGACGACGCCCTGGCCTTTACCATTGTGCCCGAGGCTGGCGATCTGTTTGACGCGAGCGCCGCCGAGCTCGGCGCCCAGCGCGCAGAGCTCATTTTCCTTGTCGACCGGTCCGGCTCGATGGCCGGCTCGCGGATGAACCAGGCCAAGAACGCACTGCAGCTCTTCCTCCGCTCCATCCCCATGGGCTCCAAGTTCAACATTGTCTCGTTTGGCTCGCGCTACGAGAAGCTCTTTGCCTCGGCGGTCGAGTACAACGACCGGTCGCTCACCCGCGCACGTGCCGCGGTGGCTGGCATGAAGGCCGACCTCAACCAGACCGACATTCTCCCGCCGCTCCGCGACATTTTTGCGTCCGAGCCCGAGGACGGCGTCCCGCGGCAGCTCCTCATCCTCACCGACGGCGAGGTGCCCAACACTTCGGAAGTCCTCACCTTTGCGCGCAACGCTGCGTCCGAGACCCGCGTCTTCACCTTTGGCATCGGCGCAGAGGCGTCCCGGACCCTGGTCAAGGGCCTGGCTCGCGCAGGCCGCGGCTACGCCGAGTTTGTTGTCTCTGGCGAGCGGATCGAGCCGGTCGTCGCTCGCCAGCTCCGCCGCGCTCTGCAGCCGGCCATCACCAACGCACGCATCGACTGGGGCGGTCTTGCTGACAAAGTTGTTCAGTGCCCGGCCGCCCTTCCGCCCATTTTCGCTGGTCAGGCATTTACCGTCTTCGCCCTCGTTGATGGCGACCGCGCCGAGGGCGCCGTCGACAACGTCCACACGGTGGCGCTTGTCGGCGACACGCCCATGGGCGGGTTCGACCTCGCCCTCGAGTTCAACATCGCCGAGGACGTGGTGCCGGGCGACCTGCTCCACCGCATCGCTGCCCGCAACCTCATCAAGCAGCTCGAGCGAAACGTGGGCAAGCCCGGCCCGGCCGGCAAGGCTGCCCGCAACCGCGTCGTCCATCTGGCCACAAAGTACTCTCTCATCTCGTCGTGCACCTCGTTTGTCGCCCTCGACAAGCGCGACGCCGAGACCCGCCGTGCCGCTATCCGAACCAACCTTGCTCGTGTCGACCTTGACCCTGCTGCGTCAGCCGCCGCTGCTGCGTCGGAGGCTGGCGTCCGCGACCTGCCGGACAGCGTCGGTGTCGCCGTCTCGGCTGACATTCTTCCTACTGAACCCGGACCGATGCCGATTTCACGCGACGCGTATGCCGACACCGACACTCTGCTCGACTCGATCGAAGAGGCGATAGAGCGGCAGTACGAGATATCGTCCGCCATCGGCCAGGAGCTCCACAACCAGAACAACATGCTGAACGAAGTTGCCGCTCCGCCGCCGCCGGCTGCGCGCAGCTCCGACGGGTTCTTCTCTGCGCTCCGGTCTGTGTTTTCGTCGTCGTCGGCGGCAGCAGCGCCTCCACCGGCACCGCGCGCAGCACCTGCCCCCCCGCCTGGAGCCGCCATGTTCCAAGCAATGGCCCCGCCGCCACCGATAGGTGGCGCGCCGATGGGTAGTGCTCCCGGGTATGGCATGGCGCAACCGATGGCGTACGGTGGTGGTGGCAGTGGCGGTGGCTTGGGTGGCAGCGCCGGCTACGCAGGAGCAGCTCCACCGCCGATGCGCCGTGGCAGTAGCGGCGGCCAGGGTGGCGGCAGCGGCCGCGTCCTCGCCCGCGCCAAGGGCAGCCGCGCGCGGCCGCCGGCAATGGCGGAGAAAAAGCGGAGCTCCAGCCCGCGCCAGAGCTCGCGCCGGAGCAAGGCGCTCGGGCTCGATACCAGCGCGGCAGTTAGCTACGACTACACTGGATCTGGCGAGCAGTCGCTGGCCTCGCCGGCGTGGGCCGAGCTCGAGGCTGAGGGCACCGCCGACGGCTCGCTGTTTGGCGCGGCACCGATGGCTGCACACGCCTCAAGGGGCAGCCTCTTCTCCAGCGACGACGACGAGGACGGAAGCACTGCTGGCGACGAAGCGTTTAGTCTCATTCTCGACGCTGCGCTGCGGCCGGTGGACAAAATTATCATGCTGCAGTCGGCATCAGGCGCGTGGCCTGCGACCGAAGCGCTGGCGTCGGTGCTTGGCGTGCCGGTCCGGACCGGCGCGCCCGACGGAGCCAGCGACGATGCGTGGGCCACCGCGCTCGTGCTTGCGCACCTGGCCGCCACACTCGCCAACGACGAGGACGAGTGGGCACTGCTCGCGCAAAAGGCCAAGCATTGGCTCCGCAAGCAACTTGGCGACAGGTGTCAGGCCGTCCTCGATGCAGCGGTGGCCGTCATCGGCGGGTAGATAGACGCCTACCACACAAATGAAAACCAGGCGCCGCGGTGCTCGACCGGCGACCACGGAATCCAGAAAGTGCTTGCCACCAGCGACGACGGGTGGTCATCGGCGAGTACAGCATCTCGGGTCTTGGTCGCCGCGGCAATCTCCGGCGGCAGTTCCAGGCCACAACGCCAGAGCGCAATCACGTTTGTGTCGCACCCGGGAATAAAGAGCCGGACATAGCGGCCGGCGTCCGAGTTGTCAAAAGAGAACGCATCCACAATAACAGCAGGGCTACTGGAAGGCAGCTCGCTGCAGACAAGAACTGCCACTGAAGGTGTGACCTCGGTCGCCAGGGCCACCAGCAAATCTGACCAGAGCCGCGACGTCGTGGCTACGCCCGGCCCGATGGCCATAGCCAGGCATTGGCCCAGCGAGAACGGAGTGTCCGGCCCTGCAAGCAGGTCCCACGAGCCAAACGCCTTGGCAAAGTGCTTGAGCGCAAGCCACAGGGCGGCCACGCCGGCAAAATTGGCACCCGACGCGGTTGGGTGCGGCATGTCGGACGACCACGGAAAGGCGTCGGCTGCGGTTGGCACAATGTCGTCGGTGACATTAACCTGCTGCGACGCTGTGATCGGATCCCAGTAGCGGACACCCGTGACGCCACCGTACGCTGCTTCGCGCGCATCGACCGGCTCTACCAAGCCCGGCAGCGGGTTGCCATCTCCTGCCAGCCAAGCACGAGCAGCGAGCGTAGCCTTAAACCACGCGAGCGATGGCCCGATGGAGGCCCACATGGCCAGAGTGACGATGGAGGGATCAAGTGTACTCACACCTGAGGCATGCGCCAGCTCGCCGAGGCGCTCCCAACCTCCGGCATCGTCATCATCGTCCGGAGGTGGAAAAGAGGCGTCTACAAAGAGCGTGCCGCGGGCATGGGCGACGGAAGCGAGGTGACGGACCGGCGATGCAGTGTAGCCCATGGCCCGCCACCCGTCGCAAGCCTCGTCGCCAGTCTCATCTTCAAGCGGATCGCCCCAAGCCACCAGCGCGGCAGCTTCCTCGCTGCCGGGGAGGACGACAGGCTCGACCAGCGGATAGACGACGCCCTGGCGGCGGAGAACCGACGAGATGGGAAAGTACACCTTGTCGGCTCCGTCAAGGAAGACAACCTCTGTGCCCCGTGGGTCCCAGATTACCTGATACGTCGACGGATTGAGCTTGATACGAGTCGAGACCTTGCGCAGCGACGAGTCGCTTCCCTGCGCCGCCGATGGGAGGTACAGCACCTCGACAGTGACCGGTCTCGACGCATACGAGCCTACAACCAGTGCCCGCTTCCCCTCTGTAGCACCCTTGGCCCTGCCACCCTTGGCCCCGTCCACCACCCGGCCCTTGGATGTCCCACAGCCCATGAGGGAAGGGGGGGGGAGGGGGAGGGGGCGAGAGGTGGTGTGGCATGGCCAAGTCGTGCCCGTGACCGTGGCTGTGGCTGAGCAGAGGCCCAAGTGCTCAATATCAGTAGAAAGCGGTGCGATGGCGATGGCTGTAGATATGGCAGGTTTGGGAAGGGAAGGGAGGGGGAAGGGGGGAAGGATGTGATATATACATATATATATATGTATCAAATGTGCGCCTTGCCTTACGCGAGTCGGTGGCCCTGATCTGCTGCTCCTTACCTACGACTGCGATACTGCTCAGTAAAGCTGCTGCAATTGGCTGTAGGCGGCTCACAGTCCCCCTGAGGTCATCATCATTACCACCACCACCACCACCACCAAGACAGCGCCTCCCATAGCCATTCCCTACCGATATCACCCCCCCCCCCCCCCCCCCTTTACTCAGCTGATCTCCCTCTTCCCCTGCCCCGATCATCCCTCCACCCAGAACGGCAAGCCACTCCAAGCCCCCCCCCCCCCCCCCCCGTCCTTCCCTTTCGGCCACAGCCTCCACCGCACCGATCAAGCCCGTCCCCCACCCCTTCCCCTATCCTCGCCCTCCCCCCCTCCCCCTTACCTCTCCCCACACTCACACCTAACCACACGTGCACTCACACGCCCACACGCCTACACGGTTACGTCGTGTGGAAGTTGGACGACGTGCTGGTGAGGCCCTGGGCCTGGTGACCCCAAGCAGAGGCGACCAAGCAGAAGAAGACCAACAAGCAGGCGACAGAGGTGGCGAGCTTGGCAAGCCGCGGCAGCATGGCGGCCGATGCTGGTGCAGGCAAGAACAGTGGAGAGATAACGGGTGGTATAACTTCGCCAGAGGCTGCTACAGTGACGTTCAAGTGCTTTGTGGCCGATGCAGATGACATCCGACGGCTGGTACTTCCGCTCGTGGCCGGTGGCCGGCTGGGCATGGCCGAGCTGGGCGCCGCGCTGGTGACCGAGTACGGAGTGGCGCCGATGCGGGTGCGGTATTATGACGGCGACGGCGATCTGATTCTGCTCTCGTCACAGGAGGCACTCGATGCGGCGCTGCATGATGCCGCCCAGCGCGAGCTGTCCAAGATCCTAAACCTGGTTCTGGAGCTCCCGGCGGGGTTCGGGGCGCGGGTGCCGCCATCGCCATGGGCGTGGGCGGCGGCGGCAGAGGAAGCGCAGCAGGCGACAGCTTCGTCGACACTCTCGATTGCCACCCGCCGCTCCGTCCAGATGCTGGGCGTGGATGTGCCCGAGCCTGCGAGCGCGCCAGGCATTGTCTCGTCAGAGACCTGGTCGCTGCCTTCGGGCGAGGGTGCGGCGCCGATGGTGAGTCACGGCACGCTGCCCGAAGAGTCCGAGTCTGACGGCCGCGCAATTGTGCCGCTCAACCCGAACTTTGGGTGGAAGATTGGCACGAAGATGCTGGGCAAGGGCTCGTTCGGCTCCGTGTATCTCGGGCTCACCGATGACGGACGAATTGTTGCTGTGAAAAAGGTGGAGCACTCAATGTGCGACTCGCGGGCGCTGGCGCGGCTGCAGGCCTTGCGCGAGGAGGTCAACATCATGCGCCGGCTGCGCAACCCGCACATTGTGCGGTATCTGGGTGCCGAGGTCTCTCAGCCCGACTCGGCCATCTACATCCTTATGGAGTACATGTCCGGTGGTTCGATCAAGGCGCTGCTCACGCGGTTTGGCTCGCTGGCGGAGCCGCTTGTCCGCAAGTACACCAAGCAGATCCTCATCGGCCTCGAGTACCTGCACTCGCACTCGATCCTGCACCGCGACATCAAGGGAGCCAACATCCTGGTCGATAAGGACGGCGTGGTCAAGCTCGCCGACTTTGGCGCGTCCAAGTTGCTGGAGGAGGCCGAAGACGGCGCACGGTCGCTCAAGGGCACGCCGTACTGGATGGCACCCGAGATCCTCAAGCAGGAGGGCGCATTCACGTCGGCAGACATGTGGTCGGTCGGCTGTACGGTCATCGAGATGATCCAGGGCATGCCGCCGTGGGCCCATCTCCACCACCGTGCTCTGCTTCTTAAGCGGGTGTGCGAGGACTGCGAGAGCCCGCCGCTGCCTACAGGTATCTCGCCCGAATGCAAGGCCTTTCTAGACGCGTGCCTGATGTTTGATCCGTCAGCGCGGCCGACGGCGCGCGAGGCCCAGTCGCTGGCCTTTGTCGTTGATGTCGCCGTGCCGCTGGTTGGCAAGCGAACAACGCCGCGACTGGCCTCGACCGGCGACCTGCTGTGGGTGGCCGACGCCGACGCTGACGCCGACACCGAGGGCAATGGTGCTCCCTTTTGTAGCTCTGGCCTGTCACCGGGCTCGCGCTCGGAGACCATCTCGTTCTCTGTCTCGGTTCCATCGCCGCGGTCGCTGGTCTCGACCTCGCACACCGCCACGCTTTGCTCTTCCGGCGCGTCCTCGTCTGCTGAGGACGAGTCCTCACTGGGAGACTCACAGCTGTACTCGACGGTCGAGACAGCGGGACGCTGACACTGACGTCAGGCCCGCCACTCCCGTCGGCCTACCGTGTCAACGACACACTCTCGGAGCTCTCAGGCGATGATGGCGAGAGCTCGGGCATGACCGTAGTGTTCTCGCCGGCCGCTGCAACCAGTTCCGTACCACTCAGTCCAGGCCGGCACCGACGGACCGAGTCGGAGCCGGATCCGCACGCACGGGCAGTGGCAGCCGCCGCAGCGGCGGCAGCAGAGCCCTGCTCGCCGTCGGCGCTCACGGCGTCGACCACGGCGTCAGGCTCAGACTCAATGCCCTCGCCGCTGTACAAGCGGGTCACCAACTTGATCAGTCCGATGCGGCGATACTTTTGGCCAAACGGAGACGGCGAGCTCGGCGACGACGCACCGGTCGGCCCCAGCGGCGGGACGGAGAGGACTCCGCTGCATCGCACGATTTCCGAACCGGTGCGGCTCTGCGCGCCACTTGTAGGCGCAAGTGCGAGTGCGAGTGGATCCGGCGGCTCTAGCTCAGGTCTAGGTGCCAATGTCGAGGGCGGTGGCAACGAGGAGGCGGTCAACACGTTCCTGCGGACGTCGGTGCGGGCCAAGCTCGAGTTTGCGCGGCGGACGCTCGGCTCGTTGGCTTCGGACGTCTTTGACTCTGTCCACGCTGAGCTGCGGTCTTCGTTCACGCGGCCAGAGACGAGCGGGCGAGTGTTCACCCCTGATGCGCCGCCGAGCTCCGCGCCGTCGCCGGCCGGCGGTGCAAGTGGCGGGCGTAGCGAGGCCGAGACCGAGAAACTGCGGCACCGGCGCACCTTCTCAGCTGGTGGGACGGTGTCGTCATGGGCGTCGGCGTCGGCGTCGGCATCGGCGTCGGCGTCAGCGTCTCACATCTACGACGGGTATGAGGCAGCAGCATCACTGGGCGGATATGACGACGCCGGCGATGTGTACTGTGCGCGACCGAACGAACTCTCGTCGTCAGACGGTGTGATGGAGGTAGTGACCGACGATGAGCTCGAGTTTGACACGCCATACTTTTCAGTGGACCGGCTGGTCTCACCTGTGGCGGAGCCGACCACCAGCTACTACGAGCCAAACGCGCGGTTCACCTGCGTGCTCGACATCAAGCCGCGGACGGTCAAGACTGATCTCGGCCTTCTGGAGAACGCCGTGCGGCTCATTGCCATGCCGTCGCTGGTATGGGGCATGTCTTCGTTTGAGCCGGTCGCCTACGGGGTCGTCAAGTTTCGCGTCGTTGCCACGTTTGTCAGTGACTTTGTCGGCGTCAGCGATCTCGAGGAGGCTGTCCTGGCTTTTGAGCACTACGTCCAATCGGTCGAGGTGGTAGCCGTCAACCGGCTCCCGGGCTCTGGCCCGTCTACTCCACGGGTAGCTTCGCCAACCTCGCCACCTGCACTTGCTGCACCCGATGCCATCGAGGCCGTGATACTGTAGCTGGAGTGTGCGATGGAGATAGCATGTATTGAACGATGCGTGGACTTTGCCACGGGAGGGCGAGGAGGGCGAGGGCGAGGAAGCGGACCATTGGCGTTGGTCACTCGACTCAATCATGTCGCGCCTCACCGCCGACACGGTAGCGACTGCGCTACACTACCTCAACCCATGCGGGCTTCTTGAGCTTGACCTCCGGGGTAAGTACCAAGCAAGAGCGAGTGTGAGGAGGTGGTTAGGTGTGAGGTTGGCCCTGTAGTGGGCGCTGTGGAGAAGCGGAGAGGGAAGACTGACGTCTGGGCGGGGCCGAGAGGCAATGGCAGAAAACAATCTGGCGGCCATTGAGAACCTTGGCGCCACACGGGACGGGTATGAGGCCATTGACCTCTCAGGCAACCATATTCGGGTCCTGGGTGGTTTTCCAAGGCTGCGCAAGCTGAGCATGCTGCTGCTGGCAAGCAACCGCATTGGCTCGGTCGACTCGGGCCTTGGCGCTGCCCTCCCGGCTCTCCGCTCGCTGGTCCTCTCCCACAATGTCATCGGCTCGCTCGACGCCCTCAACCCGCTGGCAGAGCTGGCGGCCTCGCTGCGTCGCATCTCCCTGGTGGGTAACCCGGTGGCCCGCAACCCCAAGATGCGGCTGTACCTGCTGCATCTTTGCCCGCGGCTGCAGGTCATCGACTTTGTCAAGGTTAAGCGCGCCGAGCGTCTGGCTGCCATCGACGAGTTTGGCAAGCCCGGCGAGGCTGCGGCGCACAAGACATTCGACCCGCTCGCGGCCTTGCCGTCGTCAGCGGGTGCCGCCGCTCCCAGCAAGGATGCGACGTCGGCCATGTCCTCTGATGAACGGGCCGCCATCGCCGCCATCCTTGCCAACGTCGACTCGCTCGACGAGATCAACCGCATCAAGATCCTGGCTCAGACGCCTAACGGCCGTGCCTCGCTCCTCGACGGCTCGTACGCCGCCGCTGCCTCGCAACATCCGCCTTCTACCGAGTCTACTGCTGCCACCGCCGGTGATGTCGAAGACATGGATGATCTGGACTGAGCGAGCTCGTCTGGCCCCGATCACGGGCCTCATCCTCGGAAGCCAAGCTGACCGCTATCCGCAGAGTTTGGCAGCGAGGAGTTGTTGGAGAGGAGAACGAGAGCAATGGCGCCGGACGCTTCGATGCGAGGCGCGGAGGATACCTTGAACTGCCGCTCGCTCGCCGGCAGTGGAAGGCATGGAAATGAATGGAAGAACTGTGTTGTCCACCCGGCACACATCGTACACAGACACACTCACTGACATTCACAACACCGCACACATTGCTTCACACATCAATGTCTGCTCAACAGTGCAAGGGTGGGTGCGGGTTCTATGCCGGTGGCGACTCGCCGTATTGCTCAAAGTGTGCACAGGATGTGGCCAAGGGTCGTGAGCTCGGCTCGTTGGAAAAGGCCGAGAAGGCGGCCAAAGCTGCTGCGTGGGCTGCTGTGAGGGCGCGTGAGAACGTGGATCAAGCTGCCTTTGAGGCTCTCGGTGACGCCATACACGCCATGGACTCGATCACGCCCACGCTGCTCTGGCCGATGGTCGAGGATCTGGTCTTCTCCCCGTCGCAGGGCCTGGCTCTCGCCCGGCTGGTCGAGGCTGCCGTTGCCGATGACGACCATGAGCGCAAGTATATGCTCGGCCACGTCATCTACTCGCGAGTCTCCGATCTGCACAGTCTCGACGAACTCGCTAGCTCAGAAAATACCCGTCCGCCGTGGCCAGGCGTCACCGGGTACTTCTACCCCCACGAGGCCCACGATCCCCATCGCCGAGACTGGGCTCCTCCAGATCATTCTTCGACATTCTGGTACTGATGGTTTGTCATTGCGAGCCGGCGATCCAAGCCAGCCGAACACCAGTCTCATCACCTACCTGATCACCAGCCCGATCGGCACAACGTTGCAGCCCCAGCTGCCATGGGCGTAGTCCCCCCATCATGGACAGCAGAGGACGATACCAGTCATAAACAGGTAGCTAGCGTCTGACAGCATGGCTTCTTGTCGACGCCACCACGATAGCTACGCCCGGTGTGCACGAGCTCGTCAGCGTGTGAGATCGGCATCACACCAGCTTGCCCTGGCCTGGCAGCTGCCGCGGCGGTGTCAGCGCGCGCCGCAACTGTCCACCACGCACGCCACACACTACACCACACGCGACTCGGCCTCGAGCATGGCGTGTGCCGAAAGCAAGCAAGAGACAGCATACACCCTTGAGGTGTATGTTGAGGCCGTGTTTGGCCTCCGTGCTGCTCTGGGCGCCGCCGCTGTCTCGTTTGTCCTTGGCGACTTTCAGCCGCTGGTGGTGATGGCGCCAAATGGCGCGGCGGCTGTCTCGAGCGGCGACGACCTTGTCTTCTCCCGTGGCAAGTCGAGTTTGTTTGCCATGGCTCCGGACGAGCTTCGCCGTGTTCTCCGTGCTTCTCCGCTTGTGGTGCTCTTGCTCGACGTAGCAGATCCGTCAAAGCCGCTGCTCTGCGCTGCCGCATCTATCGATCTCAGGCAGCCGCTCGACGCACCGCTCGCTACCCACGGTCTCGTCCGCGGCATGTACTACATGTACGACCCCGTTGGCAATGAGATTGCCAAGATCGGGCTCGCTGTCCGCCTGCTCGACCGCGGGCCGCAGCTGCTCGCCCACTTGGCACGCGTCGCAGCCACCCGCCCAACGCCGCCGCCGCCGGAGCCTGTCGCCGATGATGCTGCTGTTGCACCAGACCTCGCCGAGGAGACAGAGGCAACGTCGAGGGAGCGCAGTCCGTCGCCGCCGCCGCTGCCCGACACCTTTTGCCCGCCGGCGCTGTTCTTTGAGAACGACGGCTCGGAACCAGCATCCGCGCCAGCCCTGGCGCCGGCTGCGGCGGAGAACAGCGCGTCGGCCGCCAACTTACAGACAAGCGTGCGGACAAAGGTGAGAGTGAGACGTGTCCGTCGTAACCGGTCACCGGAGCCAGTGCCACAGCCACGGACAGACCCGCTCCGGCTGAGCGCGCTTGGATCGCGCCCAGGCGTGGTCGACGCTCTCTTGTCAGAGCTGGGCGAGCTAAAGGCCGCCGCCGCTGCCTCTCGGCGGGCCGAACACATGGATCGCACGCTCCGGGCTACGCTCCGGACGGAAGAGCCCTCTGAGCCGCGACTGACGCGCTCCGAGGTGCTGCGGCGGTCCGCCATTGCGCAACGCAAGCGCGACGCCGCGCGGACTGCCGCTCGCGAGCAGCGGCTCTTTCGCGCCTTTGCCAACCCGCGCCCGCTTCCCAACTCACCTCCGGTCCGACCTCAGCCGTCTCCTGATCTGCAAGCATCGCCTCCGGCAACACCACTTGCACACAGCATGTCTGGCGCGACAAGTCCAACAGGGATGCCGTCACCGGCCAATGATCCCGAGCTCCGTGCCGAGCTGGACGAGCTCATCTCGGATCTCGAGGCCTCGCTCTCCAGTGCGGACGACAGAGCCAAAGCAGGTACCAGTCTGCCCGTTCCTGTCGATGCCGTCTCGCCGTCGCCTACATACGCCATCGACGACTTTGACTCGCCATCAACCTCATCGACCTCGTCTCCGGCGTCGGCGCTGTCATCGTCGTCGTCGTCCAACTCGCCCTACGTCCCTCGAGCACCGCTCTCCATCGACCTGCTCTAGTAAGACCTCCCGCCGTCACAACAGCCATCGGAAGTGACTCTGGGCAAAGCCGACACCGAGCTGCATTGGTCGTGCGCTTTGGTAGCTGGACCTGCAGCCCAAAGTCTGCCCACACGTCTCCCCTAAAAAAACGCATGTCAGGAACAACGAGCCGAGCGAGCGCAACGAGCATGGTGGGACGAGTGAAGGAGGGCATGAGGAGCTTGGTCCGCCACTCGCCGGGAGTTTCGGGACTTGTTGTTGGCCTTGTGCTGGGGCCTGTGCTCTGGTGGCTGGTGTGTGCTCTGTGGCTGGTCCTGCTGGTCCTGGCTGGCGTCGCTGCTGCTGGCCTTGCTTTCCTTGTCTCCAAAAAGGGTCTGAGAATGCGCGATGTACGGATGCTCGTCGGTGGAGTCCGCATCCAGCTGTATCTCAAGAACGCGGACCGGAAGAACACAACTGTGGATCAGCTCTGGGAGTCGACCGTGGCTTGGCGCGGCCGTGGCGCCCCGGCCTTTGCCCATGTTGACTCTGGCGAGTACTTTACCTTTGGCCAGATGGACGACGCCGCCAACCAGGTGGCGCACTGGGCGCTAGACGCCGGCCTCGAGCCTGGCACCATTGTCGCGGTGTTTGGCTACAACCGCCCGCGGTACATTGCCGTCTGGCTAGGCCTGGCCAAGGTCGGCGTCCGTGCCGCGCTGGTCAACACCAACCAGACTGGCGATGTGCTGATGCACTCGATCGCGGTCTCGGGCGCGCAGGCCGTACTGTTTGATGCTGCACTTGCCAACGTTGTCGCCGCTGTCCGCGACGAGCTCCGTGGCCTGCACTCGGACGTTCTGCTCGCCTGCCTTGACGACGATGCGGCCGACGAGCTCGCGCGGGTCGACGGCGCGTCTGCCATCGGCTGGTCAAGCCTCTCGATCAAGCCGGTGCCAGCTGAGAGCCGTGGGTACGCTCGTGGAGTCAAGACGCGTGACCCACTGCTCTATATCTACACCTCGGGCACGACCGGCCTGCCCAAGGCCGCCATCGTGACCCACTTCCGCTACCTGACTGCGGCGTCGGCGTTCTCGATCTTTGCCAAGGTCACGCCCGACGACCGAGTCTACACCGTCCTCCCGCTCTACCACTCTGCCGCCGGTATGATTGGCGTGGGTATGGTGTTGTATGGCGGTGCCATGATGGTTCTCCGGTCCAAGTTCTCGGCTTCACGGTACACAGCCGACGTGGTCAAGTACGACGTCACCATTGTGCAGTACATCGGCGAACTCTGCCGCTACCTACTCGCGGCGCCGGCGCACCCTCGTGACGCCGACAACTCGGTCCGCCTGGCCATCGGCAACGGTCTCCGGCCAGACGTGTGGTCCAAGTTCAAGACCCGGTTCGGCGTAGACCGCATCCTCGAGTTCTACGCCGCCACTGAGGGCGCGGCCGCCATTCTCAACCTGGAGGACAAGGACAACTCAATCGGATACATCTCGCAACCGCTGCAGGCCATTCTCCCGCAGCAAATCGTCAAATTTGACCGCATGACCGAAGAGGTGGTTCGCGGACCCGACGGCAGGTGCATCGCGGTCGAGACCGACGAGGCTGGCGAGTTTATCGCCAAGATCATCAAGTTCAAGTCGGGCGCGACCAACTACTCGGGCTACACTTCATCGACGGCATCGTCGAAAAAGGTGCTCAAGGATGTGTTCAAGCAAGGCGATGCCTGGTTCCGCTCAGGCGACCTGCTCAAGCGCGACGACGAAGGTTTTGTCTACTTTGTTGACCGCATCGGCGACACGTTCCGCTGGAAGGGCGAGAACGTGGCCACTTCGGAGGTTGCTGAGGTATGCGCCCGCTTCACCGATCCGGCCCCGCTCGAGTGCAACGTCTACGGCGTGACCGTCGGCGAGTACTCCGGCCGAGCTGGCCTGGTGGCCATTGTCGGCGCCTCGCCTGATGCCTTTGACTTTACCGGCTTTGCCGCTCACATCCGCACGCACCTCGCCTCATATGCCGTTCCGCTCTTCCTCCGCTTTCTCCCGGCCATGGATCTCACCGGCACGTACAAGCACAAGAAGGTCCAGCTCCGCGACGAAGGCATTGACCCCGAATATGTCCCCGACATTTACTTCCTCTCAGGCAACACCTTTGTCCCACTCACACCCAAGCTCCACGCCGACATCATTTCCGGCGGCGTGCGCCTTTGATCTGCTCTATGCCGCTAAACTGAAGCCATCACCCGATCGAGCACGTTGTGCAGGCCTGGCCCCATCTCGCCGCAGTACACCTGCCGGCCGCGGGCAAGAACCACGCCCGGGCGGCGAAAGACAAAGTCGACGACCACGCCGGTGTCATGAACAGCGGCGATGCCAACCTCGCACGACAGCGAGTCGAACGGGAACGACTCGACCTCGTACACAATGTTGGATTCGTGGACGCGGAGGCTGCCGGCGGCCTCGGCGGCGGCATCGACGTCGTGGATGAGCGACTCCCACGCCGCGCCCATCCACGCTCCGTACTCGGCAAAGTACACGTTGCCCACAAAGTTACTGGCCATCCGATCCGTTGTGTGCTGCCAGACGTGGACAACTGCACCACCGCGTTCGGACGAGGCCCAAATCTGCCCGCCAAGATCGGTCGCCGGCGCCGCCCTGGCCTCGGCCCACTCGGCATCGTCGACGCCCCAGTCGGCCTGGCACGCCACGCCGCCGTGCCACGACGGCGACGCGAGGACTGAGCCATCAAGCACCGATCGGAACACCGCCTGCGATGCTTCTGCGTACGAGACTCTTGGCGCCATGGCGCACAAGAACCGCATAAACGCCGCGGTCCATGGCGTCCGCGCAGCCTCGCGGCCTTCAACACGCACTGCTGAGATACCGAGCGTGGCGTAGGCAACCGGTACAAACTCGGTCCCGCTGCGCCCGGCAAGCATGCGGATTGAGAAAACGGCGGACGCCTCGGTCACGCTCACCGCTCGGAACTCGACCTGGAGTACGTCCTTGACCTCGATCTCGCGAACGCGCACGACATGGACCCAGTCACTCACCGACGCCACCTCGCCCTCGGAAAACCTGGTAGCCTCGGAGAGAGCCTCGGGCGAGTACCGCATCGACAGCTCGCGCGTCCGCCCGATGACGTCGTACAATCGCGCAAAGAGGAACGTGGCGCTTGCGGAGCCGGTGTCGTGGAATGAGACCGCCATGCGGTGCCGTATGGTGAACGCGATGTCTGACGAGTTGCTGGGCTCGGGCGAGAGCGCAATGCCGAGGTTCCACCCCAGCTGCGGCCCGGGCACTACCAGCCCGAGCGTGTCCAGGCCGGCTTCGCGCGCGGTCACAGCAGTCATAATCTTACCCGATCGGGTCAGCTGTAGCGGGAGAGTGAGAACAAGGTGCTTGCCTTCGCGTCCGGCGCCGTTCGGGCCCTCAACCCAGAGCAGGACTGCATCGCCGCGGCGGCGGAGGACACCAACGCTTGCATCACTCCATCCGCGGCTTGCATCAGCAAGCGGCCCACGGGCTTTGAACGCCGCCTCGAGCGCTGCCCAGATTCGCGCCCGCGCCACGTGGGCGCTATCTACACTCACCTTGCCATATCCGCCCGAGGTGAGCCAGACCACCACCTTGCGATGGCTCTTGTGTGGGAGCATGGCGGCGGTGACGCGCGACGCGTCGTCGCGGAGCGCCACCACGTCGATGCCGACGGCGGAGCCAAATCCAGCGCTGCCATCGTCACACGCCGCCGCCAGCACTCGCTCAGTGTACGAAAACGAGAGCCCAGTCTCGGCTTTCGAGCTTCCTGGCGACCGCAATACCAGGTGTGGCGCGCCGGTAGGGCTGTGGCCGAGCTTGGCATGACTGCCAACGAGATCTGTCACCATCTCAGCCTGGGCCTTGCGCCGCGCCGTCTTGATCATAGCCTGCACTCCGGCAGGCCTGCCGACGGCCTGAAACGGGAGCTCAGCGGCGCAGACCGCGAGCTTGGGAAGCTCTATACCAAAGGCAAAGGCTGCTTCGCTCATAGTCTTGTTCAGCACGGTGTTGTCACGAGCGCTGGGCGCGAGAAGGTCGGCTGCCGCCGGGCGCGTCGGATCGTGGCGAACAACCTTGTATCTCAGGCCGTACCACTCTTCGGCCACCATCGAGGCGCCACTGACCGAATGAATGCCGTGGACAACGACGTTGGCGGCGTAGACGCCGTTGTATTCGCGGGTGAGCGTGAGTACCACATCGAGGACGTCAGCATCAGCCAGCGCGAAGCTCGCGGCTTGGTGGACATACAGTGCTGAAAGCGATGACGGCAGCGAGACCTCTTGCGGGATGATCGCCAGCGCGCACTGGATGACACCGTCACGGAAGAGCGGATCCCCTAGACCGCCGAGTGACTCGCGGGTGGCCATGACGTCGTCAACGCCGCCGGGCGTGCGCGAGACCCGGGCAATGACGTGGCCGCGCCCAGCCGCCTCGTCCCACATGAGGGCACGGATAGCGCTAATGCGCCGAAAGACGCTAGTGTGGAAGAGAAGGCCGGGCTCATAGATGTCGGCCTTGACATCGATGTACGTCGGGCTTGAGCTGCGGGCGTCAGCAAGGAGCTTGAGCGGCGCGGCGCACCGCGCAAAGGCGCCGTCAGCAAGGGTGTCAGTGGTCACGATACCAACGCATCCGGTGGCGGTTAGCTTGCCAAACTCGTTTTGCACCCATACGACGGACCACGGATGTGCCTGGCCATCCAGCCTGGGCGCTGCTGTCCAGTTGGCGGCGGTGACAGCCACGACGGCACCGCGGCGTCGATGGACGTCGAGCGCGAGAGGAAAGGCAAAGTCGCGGCAGACAATTGAGCCCGCGCTCACATCTTTCCAGCTCGGCTTGGTGCTGGCCGGCGGATGGAGTGGGGCGTGAAGCCCCGCGGCGGCCTGAACACAGAGCGCCAGCTCGACCGCAGCTGGCACCACCACAGAGCCGCCGATCGAGTGGTCGGCTAGGTAGCGGGCATTTTGGATGCTCATTTTGCGGACAAGCGTCAGCTCGAGGTTGGGCTCCAGCGCGGCGACCGAGTCAAAGGCCGGTGCGTTGCTGAGAATCGAAGCACCCGCGGCGTTGCGGACCCGCGGATGGGAGCAGTTCCATCCGTTGCACCAGGTGGCCAGTCCGCCAAGGCGCGAGGCAACAACAGCAACGATCGGTGCAGCTAGATTGTCAGCAACAAGCGCTTCGGCGAGTAGCTCGACAAAGGCGCGCGAGCCGGCTTCGACGCTCAGCGGCGTCATGCCTGATGCCTCCATAAACTCGACCGAGCCCATGCGGGCGCCCATGCCAACCTCTTCCCATACGCCGTAGCGGATGAGGACGACTGGAACCGAGCTGGCGACCGAGCCAAAGACGCGCTCCATCAGCAGATTGGCGCTGCCGTAGACGCCTGCCGAAAACATGCCAGTGGCGGCAATGATCGACGAGAGGCCGACTATAAATTCCAGCCCGGGCTCGCCGCGAGCGCGCGGTGAGGTGTGCAGCGCGTCGAGGAGGACCGCGGCGCCGCAGACCTTGACCTGCATGTCGCGCGCGGCGGCGTCCCCCGATCCCAGCTCGTCGGTGGCAGCTGGCTTGTTGGTCGCGGCACCGTGGACAAGGCCGACCACCTCCCATGACGGCTCGTCGGCACTCAGCGCCTCAAGCATGGCGTCGACTGATGGGCGGTCCGTCACATCTGCGACGTAGTACCGCGCCTGCAGGCCAGGCACTCGCGCCATCCGCTCGAGCGTAGCGGTGACCTGAGGATGCGAGGCCGGCGAGGTGCCAACAAGAACGAGCCTGGTGAGCGAGAGGTAGGCCGCAGCACGGAAGATGCACTCGGCCGTGATGCCCTTACCACCACCCGAGACAACGACGGCACCCAAAGTCGACCGCGGAGCATCGCCGCCGCGGGCGAGCGCGTCACACCACGAGACAACGGCAGCTGCCTCCGATACTGGCGCAACAGCCACAGCCGACGACGCCAGAGCCGGGGCATCGAGGAGGAGTGGCGAAGAGTCGAAGGAGTATGGTCGCGGATGACGGAAGGCGATCCAGGACTTGCCGTCGGCCGGAGCTGGGCCGGACGTGGTGGCGATGACAAACTTGGGCTCGAGCGGGCAGCGAGTTAGTAGAGCGGCAGTGAACCGCCCGGCATCAGCTGGCGACAGGCTCGGCTCGCAGGTCACAACGGCTGCTGGGACGTACGAGCCCGCCTCAAGGAGAGCCGAGGCGGCAAAGCCGCGGAGTGGGACAGGCCCGTCACCATGCAGCACATAGATAATGCCGCCATCATTGATCCGGCCACCGCAGCGGTCCTCCATCCTCCACACATCGCCAACAGCACGGACGAGGCGACCGAGCGTCGCCATCACCGTCGCAGTTGCCGTCACCGCAGCACCAGCAGAAGTTGCGGGGTCCGGTATCTGTGGGGCTACGACAATGAGATAGGACGCAGCCGCAGCAGCCGCAGCCGCAGCGGCTGCATCGGCGGCGAGGTCAATAACGATAGTGGGCTCGGCAAGACCCAAGCCACTGGCCACGTTGTGGGCGGCGGCAGCCGAGTCGTCGCCAACATGAACAACAAGCGTGGCGGACTCGATCGAGGCGATTGGATCGGGGTTGGGAAAGAGCGGGAGCGGCATTTCGTCAAAGATGCCGAGCCAAGACCAAACCGATTGGCTTGCGCCCGATGCAAGGCCGCCTGACGCCGGGCCAGCGCGCTGGCCAGCGCCACCGCTTGACTCACAGAGGATATGCATGCGCTTGGCGAGCGAGGCAAGCGTCATCGGTTTCTGCCAATCGGGCGACGTCGGGTTGACAAGCGAGGCGTCGAGGCCGAGGGCAACCGCAATGTCGGTGATGAACCGGACCGACTTGATTGAATCGAGGTAGAGCTCGAGCAGCTGGGTGGTGGGCGCGGCGGCAAAGGACGCAGCCTCGGAGGCCAGATCCACAACAACCTCCAGGACGAGGGCAGCAGTCATGCTCGGCTCGGCAGTGAGGACGGCAGCGGTGGCTGCCACAGACATGGCGCGGATGCGTTGCTGACGCTTGGCCTCGGCGGCGGCGTCGGCGGCCTCGATGGCGGCCTGGACGCCGCCCTTGCGCATGTCAGCTTCGATGAGCGAGGCAAGGTACTTGCCACGGACCGCAAGGTACTTTGCAAGCGCCTCGTTGGTTGCGGCATCACCCGCCGTGGCGAGCGAAGGCACGACGGCGGTCTCAAACGCCACCGCAGCCTTGGACCTCGGCTTGCCGGAGTTTGTCTTGGATCGTGCGGCTTTGTGGTCCTTACGGCGGGCTGCGGCGCGACGCGCGGCAGCACGGACATCCGAGCCGCGGTCGTTGGCAGCACTTGCGCCTCTGTCGCGGATAGAGGCTGAGACGGTAGCAACTCGCGAGCGGAGCTTGGTGGCGTCTTGCAGTGGCGGGCCGTAGATCGGCGACTCACATGGGTTGACGATGAACGTCCTTGACCGCGGGTCGACCCACTCGCGCACAAAGCGGTGGTCAAAGAGCGGATGGAGGGCAAGCGTCGCCGGCGCCGCCGCCACGGAGCGGGCGACCAGGTCAAGGAAAGCACCAAAGCAACCCGGGCGAGCCTCAACCGGGAGCAGCTTCAGGGCGTCGCCACAGCGACGGGTCATTCGGGTCATGTCGTGGGTGTACGACCCGATCTCGATACCGAGCTTGTGGCCAGCAGCGGTGGCGGCGGCGACAACACCGACGTAGTCGACCGGTGACGCCACGCACTGAGCAAGGTATGTGGCGAGGGCGGCCGGGGACGCCATGGCGGAGAGCTCAAGCTCGCCACCGCGGCACGAGGAGTAGACCGGCACGCTGGGTTTGGCAAGCGTGGTCTCCTCGAGGATGGCGAGCAGCGCAGCCTCAAATGATGCGGCGACGTCGGCCATGCTTGGGGTGTGGAACGGGGCAGAGACCGAGGCAAGGACCGCGCCCGGGAGCCCTGCGTCGGCCCCGGCGGCCACAGCGGTGGCGATGGCGTCTGGTGGCCCCGCAAGGACGATGCGGTCGGGCGCGTTGATGTTGGCGACGACCAGCTGGTTGCCGGTGGGAACGCTTGCCAGAAGTGCGGCAGCAGCGTCAGCTGATCCGCGCATGACCGCCATTCCACCACTCGGCGCGCTAGCAAACGCGCGCGCGCGCGCGTCGACCACTTGCCACAAAGTGGCAAAATCAAAGACGCCGGCAGCGTATAGCGCGATGACGTCACCTAGTGAGTGGCCGGCGACGGCGCCGCACGGCACGCCGCAGCGGCGAAGTAGGCCAATCCACAGGGCTTCAGTCACAGCGAGAACGCGCTGGGCGTCGTCTTTGAGCGTGGCCAAGAGCTGAGGATGCGGGGCGGCAAGTACAGGGAGATGAACGTCGAGCGCGGCAGTGACAACTGCCTCGACCTCAGCAGCCAGCTCTGAGTTGGGATCAATGCCGAGCAGCTCTGCGCGATGAGTAGCAGAGAAGCGGCGGCAGAGCTGGAGGGCCATGCCCGCCCGCTGCGTGCCCTGGCCAGCGCAGACCCAGACGAGCTCGGGGTCGGCAGCCTTCCACGACGGCGCAAACGAGGCATAGAGGCTCTCGGGCAGCACGACCGGAGCGAGAGCCAAGGCGTCTGAGGCAGCAGCGATGGCGTCTGCAACGAGGCTCTGGGCATGGGCGAGCGAGGTGACAACGGCAGCGACAGTGGCTGCACAGAGGTCGGCATCAGATGCGGCCGCCGCCGCGGCAAGATGGGCGGCGTAGTCGGCGACCTCGGCCCAGGAGGCGCGCGAGAGGATGTCAGCGGCTTCGGTGAGTTCGGCAAGGAGGCCAGTGAGCGAGGGCGCGTTAAAGACAAGGAGTTCAGCATCCTGGGCCGAGGCAAGATAGCGCTCACGGGCGAGGTGATCGGGACCGCCGAGTAGCTGAAGCGGCGGCGAGGCAGCGGTGGATGAGACGATGAGGTGGACGTTGATGCCGCCAAAGCCCATCGACGATGACGCGGCATGCATGTCGGTGTCAAGAGCAAGCGCGCGGCCGTGGATGACTGGATACACGCCGGGGAGCTTGGCGAGAGCTGGCGCAACCGAGTCGAGCTGGATGCCGGCCATAGGTGGGATGACCCGCTGGTTGACGCCGAGGACGGCCTTGAGGAATGCAGCAATGCCCGACGCAGCCTTGGTGTGACCAATGATGGATTTGATTGAGGTCACGCCAATGCAGGCTGGCTCGACAGCCGGCTCGCCGGCATCGGCCGTGGCCGCAGCTAAGACCTTGTGGATGGCGCCGAGCTCGATGGGGTCGCCGGTTGGGGTACCGGTCCCGTGGCCCTCGACAAAGTGGGTGTCACGCGGATCAAAGCTTGCTCGAGCGTAAGCGCGCGAGATGGCGAGAGCCTGGCCATCAAGGAACGGACGCATGATGCCCTCGTAGCCGTCGGCTGAGATGCCCCATCCGTCGAGGAAGGAAAGGATGGGGAGTCCCAGATCAGTAGCATCGTCTGCGCGCATGATGACCACAAAGCCGCAGCCCTCGCCAGGGAAGAAGCCGTCTGCGGCAGCGCCATAGACGTTCATGTCTGTGGACGATAGCGCGCCTGCGCGTGAGAAGCCGACGAGCTCGAGCGGATCCAGCGAGATGTCGACGCCGCCGACGAGGGCAACGTCGAGATTTCCGGCAGCAAGCTGGTCTGCAGCGACGGCGACAGCGAGCGCAGACGAGGCGCACGCGCCATCGACTGTGTATGCGCAGCCTTGCAGGCCGTAGTGCTTGGAGACATGGCCGGCAATGGTGTTGGAAAGAGCGCCGGCAAGGGTATCCTCGGTGGTCTCGGCAAACGCAGCCTTGTAGCGGGTCTTAAGCCCGGAAACGAGTGCGTCGATGGCTTCGGGGGCGAGACCTTGGCCGGCCGCGGTCTCGCGGAGCTCGCGCTCCACAAAGGGCCATCTAAGGCGCATGAGTGACGCCCGCGAGGTCTCGCCGGTCAGGGTGTTGCCGACAATGACGCCAAAGCCCTCGTTGAGCTTTGCAGGGAGATCAACCGAGTCGAGGGCGGAAGCGGCAACCTGCAGCGCGAGCCAGTGGACAACGTCGGTCGATGCGACCTTGGCCTTGTTCGCCCGCCACTCGCGAGCATTGACCGAGACACCATCGAGGACGGCGGCATACTTTGCGGTAGTCTTGTCCTTCCAGTCCGGATCGTACTCGTTGAACTCGCCTTCGCCATTGCCACCCTCGGGAGCACCGTAATCGCCCAGAGGAAGGCGCTCGTCAGGCACGTCACGAAACTGACGACGCGATGCCAACACATTTTCCCACAATTCTTTCAGACTCTGCGAGCCAGGATAGTTACAGGCAGCACCGACAACAGCCAAGCGCGGCATAATGTCAAGCAGTAGCGAGAGAGATGTGTGAGACGGTAGGGGTGAGGAAAAGACGCTGACCTGCACATGGCACCGAACCGTGCTGCTGAGAGTTGTGCGGGGAGTGAAGCGGGGAGTGGTGCGGAGAGTGGTGCGGAACGATTAATAATTTTCCACATGCTACGTGGTGCGCTTGTGCGTGTAAAGGCGGGCGCAAGGGAGGGGAGAGAGGAGGTATATGCCTGGGCTATGACGACACTTGACGACTAGCTCACGTCGCGCTCGACGAGTCGAGTATGCAGTTTGAAATTGCGTCGTACGAGGTGAATGGACGGAGTATTCTGCAGTCTGTGGCTGGCGAGGTGGCGCCTGGGTCCGTGCTGGGGGTGATGGGGCCGTCTGGGGCAGGCAAGTCGACGTTCCTGACGGTGGTAGGCGAGCGGCTGCCTGGGGTGAGCGGGGCTCGGCTTGATGCGAGGGTACAGTACGGCGGGATGGCTTACTCAAAGCACGTTGCGTCTCGTCTTGCTTTTTGCCCGCAGGACGATGCAGCACTGATTCCGTGCCTTACGGTCCGCGAGACGCTGGAGACGCAGGGAGCGCTGCGGTTGCCGGTCGGGGCGGTATTAAGCGAGGCTGTGGACGCGGTGCTTGCGGATCTGGGGCTGGAGCATGTCGCCGATTCGCGAATCGGGTCTGCGTTTGAGCGGGGCATTTCCGGCGGCGAGCGGCGGCGGGTGTCTGTGGCGTGCGAGCTGCTGTCACGGCCCAAGTACCTGCTGCTCGACGAGCCGACGTCCGGGCTGGACTCTGCGAGCGCAGAGCGACTGATGGCGGATGTGGCGGGGCTTGCGGCGCGCGACGGCGTTGTGGTCATGTGCTCGATCCACCAGCCGTCGCGGGCGATTGTGGGTCTGCTGGACTCGCTGCTGGTGCTTGTGGGCGGGCGGATGGCGTACATGGGGCCACGATCACGGCTACAAGAGGCGCTGGTGTCTGGCGGGCTTGCGCCTGCAGGCGCCAATGTTGCGGAAGAAGTGCTGCGGGTGGTAGTCTCACCAGGCGGGTGCGATTTGCTTGATGTGGCGGTGGCGGGGTCGGGCGAGGAAGAGGTGGGAGGAGGGAGCGGAACGCGGCGGCGGGCGGCGACGGGGCGGGTGCTGGTGACCAGCAGTGGGAAGCGGCGACTGACGACGTCGTACGGCGATGACGAGCCCGTGTTTGGAGCGAGATCGCTGAGCAAGATGAAAGTGCTGTTCTGGCGACAGGCGCTGGTGGTCAAGCGCGATCCGCACGTGTTTTCCGTCCGCGCGGTCATGATCTGGTTGATGGCGCTCATGATTGGCGGGCTGTACTTTGAAATTGCGTCCGACTACGAGACGGTCCGGGACCTGGTCAATGTCTTCTTCTTTGCCGTCCTTGTCACCACCTTTGTCTCGCTGACGACTCTCCCACACGCGGTCCACGACCGGCTCATTCTCCGGCACGAGTACCGATCGCGGCTGTACTCTGTAGCAGCACACGTGTCTACCACGCTTATTTTTCGGAGCGCTGTCATTTTGATCATTGTGGGCGTGTTCTACGCGGTGCTGTATGCCATGATGGCGGTGCCGGGGGGAGCGTGGGCCGGTTCTTTGCCGGTCTGGCGGTTCTGGTGGTGGCCAACATCTTTGCCGAGCTGTTCATGCTGGTGATGGGCCTGGTCTCGCCGGACCCAGTCATTGCGATCTCGGTAGGTGTGACACTCTACGGGTTCTTTATGCTCACCTCGGGCGCGATCATCAACCCGTCGCGGGCGCCTGCCGTTCTCCGGCCGATGTTCTTCTCGTCGTTCTATCGGCCTGCCATCCAGGCGCTGATGCTCATCACGTTCCCCGACATGGCGTTCGAGTGCCCAACGGTGCTCGCGCAAGTCATCCCGGACTACGCCGCTTGCCGGGTGGCGGGGCAGGACGTGCTGCGGACAGTGTTCAGGTCGGGCGACACATACTTTATCTCGTCGGTCGGTGCCGGTGTCAGCCTCCTCCTCGGCCTCATCGCGGTTTGGATTGTGCTCTACGCTCTTCTCCTCCACGCGGTACTCTCAGGCACAGACTTTGGCTTGTTGCGTTTGTGGGAACGAGTCCGCGGGCGGAAGTATGCGGCACTATCGCGGATGGAGGCACCGTTGATCGGTGGGAGTGTGTTACACTCCAATGAATGACCGAAGAGGAGTTTTCGTTGATCACCAACTCTGTGTCCCATGGCACACTTTCTCCCCCTCTTGCCGATGCCGACGATGGCGATGGTTGCCGTGGTGACGATGATGTGCGCATGTGTGTAGCAAGGGGTACGGGGCAAGGGAAGAGTAGTGATAGTGAGCGATGGCTCAATCGGAGTGCCGCATGCGGACTGGGTGGCATGCTGAGGAGGTAGCTGCTGCTGGCCATGTGCGGAGTTGCGGGCGGCAAGCGGCAGTCGCATGTCGGTGGTCGGTTGGCGGCACTCATCAACAACCACTCCGCCACACGTGACTTACCAATACACCATGAAGCTTGCTGTCGTCATGATGCTCGCCCTTGTGGCCACGGCGTTCGCCATCCGTCTCGAGGATGTGCCTGCGCTGTCTGTCAAGAACTCGGGTGGTTTCACCGAGGAGGAGACTCTTGTACGCCCCGCCCCGCCTTCCCGTCCCCCCCGCCCCCCCCCTGCCCTTGCCCCTCCAACCAAACCTTCCCCTACCAAAGCGGCATTTTTTTTGGCGCACGGGCTTTTTCCAATGGCTTTCATTTTGCGTGACGATGGTCGTCGCCTTTGAGCTTGCACTGTGGCGGTGGACGGCTCAGCTGGGGCAGACACTCACTGTGATTCATGATGGACATGACAACAGTCGCTCTTCCGCCAGTTCCAGGACAAGTACGGCGAGGTCTCGCCGTCTGAGATCGATCTCCGTCTCAACAACTTTAAGGACACGCTCCGTCGTGTGGCCAAGCAGAACGCGGCACCGGGCAACACTGCCGTGTGGGGCGTGACCAAGTTTGCTGCACTTTCGCAGGAGGAGTTTGCCAAGAACTACCTGATGCGCGACCTGGACATGGCCAAGGCGCCGAAGCGGACCGAGGGCGCCAAGGTTGCGCCGCTCGAGTCGACTGCACTCCCGTCGTCGTTCACCTGGGTCGGCCACTCGCCGCAGGTTGTCTCGCCGATCAAGAACCAGGGCCAGTGCGGCTCGTGCTGGGCGTTCTCGGCTACCGAGAACATCGAGTCGATCTGGGCGCTGTCGGGCAAGCCGCTTGTGGTCCTTGCGCCGCAGCAGATTGTCGACTGTGACACGCAGATGCAGGGCTGCAACGGTGGCTGGCCGGTGAACGCCATCCAGTACATTGTCAAGAACGGCCAGGAGCCCGAGGCGGACTACCCGTACACCGCCCGCGACGGCACCTGCCAGTACTCGTCCTCAAGGTGGCCGCCCACGTCACTGGCTGGCGCTGGGCCTCGACCAAGAAGAACGAGACCGAGATGGCCGCCAACCTCATGGCATGGGGCCCGCTCTCCATCGCCGTCGACGCTTCGTCGTGGCAGACCTACCAGTCCGGCGTCGTCCAGGCCTCGGCCTGCGGCCACCAGATCGACCACGGTGTCGGTGTTGTCGGCTTTGCCAACATTGACTCGGCCAACGGCTACTGGATTGTCCGCAACTCGTGGGGCACCTCGTGGGGCATGGAGGGCTACATCCACCTCCAGTATGGCAAGAACACCTGTGCCGTTGCTGAGTTCCCGGTCACTGCTATTGCCGACAACAACCCGTCGACCACCTCGTCGGGCAACTCGGGCAACTCGGGCCATTCCACTGGCGGCACCTCGTCGGGCGGCTCGTCGGGCGGCTCGTCGGGCGGCTCGTCGGGCGGCTCGTCGGGCGGCTCGTCTGGCTACTCGTCTGGCTACTCGTCCGGCTCAGTCTAAGCATTGATCCATTACACACACTCCTTTTGTTGCACCCATCCACTTGTTTTGTTGCCACTCGGCCCTGCAGTTCTCCTTTTCGTCCCAGGCAGGCAGAGCCAACACTACTTCTTCGGCTTGGCGTGGGTCTTGGTGTGCTTCTTGGCGGCCTTGTCAAAGGCTGCACGCTTGTCCAGGTACTGTGCCGCGAGCTTGGGCCGCAGCGGATCGGACGGATTCGGCTCCTCCATCAGGTCGCGGACGGCAGTGAGGACGTTGATGACCGAGTTCATCGGGCGCCACACGTCGGCCTTGAGAATGGGCATGCAGATCTCGCCGCTCTTGTCGATGTTCGGGTGGTAGACCGGCGTGACAAAGACAACCGTCGGCGGCTTGAAAGGAAAGTCTTCCGGAAACGTGATCTGCAGTTCAAACTCGCCTCCTGCGTACGGCTCGCCCACGTTGCGCAGCACGGCCTTCCAAGTGAACATGTCCGTGTCTGACACCGGGCCAGCCTCGGTATTCGCCAGCTCCTCACCAGCCTTTCCCACACGCTCCAACTCCTACACAACCCGCACCCTCACACCAATCAGTCTCTTTCCCTTCGCATCTCCCCTTCTCTCTCCCCTCCCCTCTCTCCCTCCCTTACTTTGCGACCTCTACCGTCAGGGCGACCTGCGCCCGGAGCACGACCACTGCCCCCCCCCCCCCCTCCCCCCTCCCCCAACCATTCTCACTTACCTTCATAATGCGGCGGACAGCCTTTGACGAAGCAGCCATTGTGTGGTAGTGTGTATACGTGTGGTCTCTGTCTCTCTTTGTCTCTGTAGCTGTGACTGTGTGTGGTGTGCGCTATATGTGGTGTGGTGTGGACGTAGGTGAGTGTGGGAGGGGAGTGGAGGGGGGGGGGAGGGAGGGGAGGGGGGGGGCAGAGGCAGTGGCGTCACCACCGTCAAACGTCAAACCACCAAAAAGTCTAACGT